TGTTCGCCGTCTACTGTAAATTATACCGATCATGAAAATGAAATTGCATTAGCCAAAGACGCAGCAGATCTAAGATCAAAAGAAAAAGAAACTAAAAAAGATGTGAACCTGAATAGGGAACGGGTTAGAAAGATCCCTAAAGAGATTACGGCGCACTCAAAAGAGGAAAGCGCAGTAACTAAAAAAGAATTCGTGAAGGAAGTGACTCAATCGGGTAGCACTTCATTGGAAACAACAGAACCACAGAAAGCAGTGACTCAATTGGGAAGCACTGATGTAACTGATGGTTCGACCAGTTCCAAAGAGGTCAGGAACACCTCTAATAAAAACCTAGACCACAAAGAAAGAAAGAGACTGACAGCAGCATGGACGCCACTCTGGGTTGCTGAAAGATTACGAGACCAAAAGGAAGACAGATCCATTGGTATTCTCAACATCTGGACGCACCAAAAGAGAAGCAGAGAAGTCACAATAGAGACGATACAAGAGTTAAATGCATTAACGCTACACGATGCTGAAATCGCTCTATTAGAGTTACACACCCCAAAGAAATATATTAGGGGAACGCAAGGAAATCAGATGAACATTACTTGCAAACTCACAACTCTTGACACAAACCGATCAACGACGATTGAAGCTCTCTTAGATAGTGGATGCACAGGGAGCTGTATAGACTCAATGTTCGTAAAAGAACAAGGTTACGAGACAAAGAAGATACCGAGACCCATTCCAGTTTATAACGCTGATGGCACACTTAACAAAGATGGTGCTATCAAAGAATTTATAGAATTACGATTGAGCATAGAAGACCACGAAGAGAACATTCACTTTGCCCTAACAAGCTTAGGGAGTGGTCGCATGTTTCTTGGACATGAGTGGTTAACGAAGCACAATCCTACTATAGATTGGAAGAAGTCGGAGTTAAACTTTGATAGATGCCCGAAAGAATGCAAACGACAGGTTGACTTCCTTGATCCGGAAGAAGACCCTGACACATACTTTTCGGAAGTAGATCGCTCAGATGGGGATCAGCTGATCCAAGTGAATCTAATGAACTATGAAGATACTTCTATTGATGATCATTACTACCATATTAGGGCACAAGGCACAACAGCTCAAAGACTTGCCGAAGCCGCTGGTAAAGATCAGAAAGAAGGAGGATTCGAGAAGATAGTTCCAAAACACCTCCACGATTACAAAGACGTATTCGATAAGGAGTCATTTGATGCACTACCAGAGAGACGCCAATGGGATCACGCCATAGAACTCATCCCAGGCGACCATACTCTGGATTGCAAATGTTATCCACTGGCTTTAGGAGAACAAGAACAATTAGATGCATTCATAAAAGAAAACCTCGAATCAGGAAGAATTAGACCTTCCAAATCTCAATTTGCATCCCCGTTCTTCTTCATCAAAAAGAAAGATGGAAAACTTAGACCCGTCCAAGACTATCGGAGATTAAACGATATCACCATCAAAAATAGATATCCGTTACCCTTGATTAATGAACTTGTAGACAAGCTCAGGGGCGCGAAATACTTTACGAAGTTAGATATCAGATGGGGATACAACAATATCTGAATCAAAGATGGAGACGAACACAAAGCAGCCTTCAGAACGAATAGGGGGCTCTTTGAACCACTAGTGATGTTCTTCGGACTCACAAACTCGCCGGCGACATTTCAAACCATGATGAATGCGCTATTCAAAGATCTGATTGATGACGGAAAAGTCGTAATATACCTCGACGACATCATGATTTTCACAAAAACAATTGAAGAACACCGCGCAATGACGCGCAGAGTGTTAGATATCTTAAGGAAGAACAATCTTTACTTAAAACCAGAAAAATGCGATTTCGAAGAGACCTCAACAGAGTACTTAGGTCTTATCATTTCAGAAAATGAAATCCGCATGGATCCGGTGAAAGTAAAAGGAATCATGGAATGGCCAGAGTGCAAATCAAAGAAAGAAGTACAGGCATTCTTAGGTTTCATGAACTTCTACAGAAGATTCATAGAAGGCTTTGGGTTGATCGCCAAGCCATTAACGAAATTGACCGGGAAAGTAGAGTTTGTGTGGGGACAGGAACAGATCGACACTTTTAACGGATTAAAAACCCGTGTCGGATCAACTCCCATACTCGCCTTACCAACTGATGACGGCCAATTTAAGATAGAAGCTGATAGCAGCGATTATGCTATGGGGGCGGTTCTTTCACAAATGCAAGACGGGAAATGGAAACCGATTGCATATCTCTCAAAAGCGTTAAACCCTACAGAACGCAATTATGAGATTTACGATAAAGAACTTCTCGCTATAATGACTGCGTTAGAAGAATGGAGGCATTATCTCGTTGATGCTAAAGAGGTGTTTGAGATCTGGACAGACCACCAGAATCTTCTCTACTACAAACAACCTCAAAAGCTCAACAGAAGACAAGCTAGATGGGTCATGGAATTGAGCAATTACCACTTTACGCTCCATCATATTCCAGGTACCAAACACATCAAAGCAGACCTTCTCTCGAGACGAGCAGATCATGAAAGGGGGGTGGATGACAACGAAGACGTAATTGTTCTAAAAGCAGAACACTTCAGAATGATGATTTCACACACAGAAAGACAACGCATGGCAGAGCAATCAGCCAATGCAGTGGAATTATACAAATGGATCTGTAAAAGAATGATGAACATAGACGAAGTAGCGCGGAAGATGATAGAGAAAGGGGAAGACAGAGAAAAAGGCATATGGATGGAAGATGAGATGTTGATATTCAAAGGAAGGATCTATATTCCCAAAGACGGGAAATTACGAGAACACATCATAAAAGAAAACCATGACTCTACTGTAGCAGGACACCCCGGACAGTATAAAACCAAGGAATTGGTAACTAGATGGTATTGGTGGCCGTACATGGACAGAGACATCCGAAAGTACGTAGAAGGCTGTGAAACGTGTCAACGCACAAAGATTAATCATCAAAAGAAAGCGGCACCGTTACACCCGAATGAAATCCCAACTAGACCATGGGAAATCATTACCACAGACCTGATCGGACCATTACCGGAATCTCTCGGTTACAACATGATACTCGTGGTAGTAGATCGATTCTCGAAGATGATCAAAGTCATGCCGACTTATGATAAAGTGACGTCAGAAGGAGTAGCCAGATTATTTAGAGACAACGTCTTTAGAAATCACGGCATACCAGAGAAGATCATTTCAGATAGAGGACCGCAATACGTCTCTAACTTCATGAAAGATCTCTATAAGCTCCTCGGGATAAAAGGAAATCCCTCGACCGCTTATCATCCTCAGACAGACGGACAAACAGAACGAATAAACCAAGAGATAGAACAGTATCTCAGAATATTCGTCAATCACAAACAAACAGACTGGGCCGAATGGTTACCACTAGTGGAATTTTCTTATAACAATAAGTCACACTCTGCAACTGGCTACAGCCCTTTCTTTTTAAATTCAGGACAACATCCGAAAGTCGCAAAAGGAATTAGAAGTACGGTAAAGACAGAGAGTGCGGAGGAGTTTGTGAAGAGGATGGAGGAAACAAGGAAGGAAGCAGAAAAATCGCTGGTAAAAGCAGCAGAAAATATGAAAAAACAATATGACAAAGGAAAGAGAGAGGCTGTTGCATACAAAGAAGGAGACAAAGTATATGTTGAAGCGGAACATATAACCACCGATAGACCCGCAAAGAAACTCGACGATAAAAGACACGGACCTTTCCCCATTGAAAAGAAAATAGGCGAAGGAGCCTATAAATTAAAACTTCCTGGACAATGGAAAAACATACACCCGGTCTTTAACGAAAAGTTACTTACACCCTTCAAAGAACCAGAGTTCGAAACTCAAAAGAAACCAAAAACCGCACCACCGGTGATAGTGGAAGGAATCAAAGAATACGAAGTAGAAGAGGTTCTAGACTCACGATTGAAACGTGGGAAACTAGAATATTTGGTACATTGGAAAGACTTTCCGAAAGAGGATCGCACGTGGGAACCCGAATCCAACCTAACACACTCACCAAAACTCGTAAAACAGTTTCATGACAAAAACCCCAGTGCACCCCGAAGGATAGAATTTACTTTAAACTATCAACCATTCAAAAACCTCACAATTCCAACTCGTATTCGAAAATCCTTATATAACTGGGAAACCGGAAAGCTAGACTCTCACTTTCGGGACGAAAGTCCTAAGGAGGGGGTAATGTCACGATCGTACCCATGTGACTCATCTTTTTTATCTAATCGTGAGATAGAGACTATTATCTCACCTAATCTAATCTCTCTTTGATCTTATCTTATCTAGTAATCACGTGACACATTAGTAATACTCATTACCGATCAGCCTCACGCATTACACATGTTACTTACCAATACGCTACGTCATACCTCACCGTAGCCTCATGCCTTCTTCTATATAACTAGCACGATATCCATGTACATACCCCAGTTGTAGATTTACTCTTATACTTGCTTGTCGAACACTTGTTGTGCGATTTAAGTCCTACGCTGCTCGGGTTACCGGCATAACAGCTAGGGTCTTTACAGGTAAATCCAGAAGACAATGAGTAGTGTGTGGTTCATCATGGATTGAGGTGAAAGTTTGGCCAGTGTCTTGTCTTTGTGGACAACACTGGGACCCCCAAATCATCAACTGCAACCTTTCTGTTGGTTTCACTGGCTGGATCCTCCATTCAATGGAGATGTAGTACTCACCGCCCATCCATTGATACCCTCCCTTCTTCAAGCTCTGATCCAGTGCCAGCCTTCCACAATGGCAGGCCTCCCCACCACGCACACACACTGCATCTCCCCATCACCTCCCCTGCCCTTCTCCAGATGCACTGTCCCCAAAAGGTTCCAGGACGTAATGTGGTCCGACTGCATCCTGAAAATGTTGATATACAACCCATTCACATCTTTTCAAAGTGCCCTCGTTGGAAGCCAAGCCGCCGATGCCCACACCTCTTAATGGCCATCACGTTGCCGCGCCCCGTTGACATGTTTCCTCTAGTCATAAGCGGCATTTCTGACGACATGTACAAAGAAGAAGAAGAAGAAGATGAAGAAATCAGTAATCCTTTGCCGTCTAGTAGGTTCTTAAGTTGAAAGAGCCAATGTGTGAGGCATGACTGGGAAGTTTATCTCAAGTGCTCGTGCCAGCCCATTCAAGATGCGTCGCAATGCGCTTAGGGAATGGTGAGAAAAGTGGCTTCCAAAGCCAGTCGGTCGCACAAAACAATTTTTTTTACTTTTGACCCAGTTTGGCCACAGTTGGCAAACCGCCCACTGGAAACAGTTGGGCAGTCCCAGTTTTAGGATCCTCAGGTCTCCCAGATCTCGAAAAAAACGCCAGCCGGTACGGGCCATGTCTCACATGGCCTGCCAGTGAAACCCGCATCAAAGATGCGACACGTTCGCCACCCGCCTCCGTCCCTCTTGACTTCCGAAGGGGGGGGGTGGGGATCACCTTTCCAGTCAAACCCATGTTCCAGACTATGGGAATATCAGAAAAAGCCCAGCCTCCGCATAGTTGCCGAACCCCCCCAGCGCCTATCCTCGCTCTTGCCCCCCCCCCCCCCCCTTTCCGTATGTTCCCAACAGGTCCCTAGCGCGCGGGGAGTATGCCATCACCCCACAGCGCAGGTTCAAGCCAGCGCATTGCCATTCAAGCCAGCGACACGTCCGCCATCGCCGTTCGTCACACACACACACACGTCCATACACACGCAACACAGTTTTTGATGGGGGGGAATGCCATCGAATTTGCCTTTGTTCCGGTCAGGTCAAATTGGCAGTCGGTTTATTGGCAGAGATTTGATCTGAGAGAGATTTGGGTATTTTTTGGTATACCTCGAGAACGACCCTTCTTTGGGCACAAAACTCGCCACTTTTATCGCCACCTTCGTTGTAGGCTCAGTTTTTGGCTCTGAACTTTGTAATCTAATCATACCGTTTGAACTTGCAATAAACTTTGGTTTGAGGACTCAACGAGCTCATCTCGCCCATAGTTCGGTGGGAAAGGCAACAACGTCTGTATTTCATGAAAAGCTAACCAAGAAAGAGCAAAACAAATCGAGCGATAGCACTAATACATGTACAGGAGAGAGCATAGGGTTCCAGGGATCACAATTGGAACTTGTAAAGAATGAATTGAAAAAAAAAAATTGAAACACGCGCATTTTTCTACTTGTCCTCGCCGTGTTCGCCATGCCTTCCGTCAGCTCTATACCCATTTCCACTATCACTCGAACCACCGGCGGAAGGCGGCTTGGCGTACATCGGGGGCGGGTACGTCGCATAGTGGGGGGGAGGGACGGACATCTGCCCATCAGGACGATGAGACATCATGTAGGGCGGGTAGGGCTGCGCGTAGGGAAGAAAGGTGGCGGGGTAGAACTGGGGATGGGGGTATCCCTGGTTGTCGTGACCCTCCTGGCCGGGATGACTCGCCATTTGCATGGGAGCGATGTAGAACTGGGGGTAGAAGGGGGTGCCATCGCCCGGTTTGGGGGTGGGAGGGGCCTGGAACTGGGGGTAGAAGCCGGGAGGATAACCCACCGGGTTCATGTAGGGCGCCATCGGGGGGGAGGCAGAGGGAGGAGGGACCCCCTGTGGAAGAGGAATGCCCTGCTGTATAGGCACGTCGAGTTGTTCGACGTTGTTGCCTGCGCGATCTCGATAAGGATTAGGAAGGCAAGGTGGTGAGAGAGGAAACACACACCTTTTCCATCGCGCTTCTTGTAGGGACCTCTCTTGATACCCTTCTTCCGTTCCTTTCTCTGAGAGTCGACGCACTCCTCTGCGATGCCGTACTTGACACATCTGAGACAGGGACGGGCGTCGTCACACTTTTTGCAGGCCTTCTGGCAGTTTGTGCAGGCGTTCTTGACCTGCCTGCGCTTTGAACGAAGAGGCTGGGCAGGAACGAGGCCGGGCGGGAAGGGATACATGTGCATGGGCATGCCGGAGTAACCGACGGGATGGATGGTCATCTGGGGCTGCAGGGAGTCTGAAGAGTCATGGGGCTCGTCGGCGTCTGGGGTTGTGCGACCGGCGGTAGACATGGCTTGGAAGGAGGAGAGTGGATGTGGACGATAGTGGGAGATAGGCCGAGAGGAAAGGGCAGGAAAGGGCTAGCTGGATAAGGTGAGGGTTTTAGAGGAAGGACAGGGTGCTGTCAGGGTTCACGTGGTGGGAAGCGAAGTAGAGGTGGGAGTGGAGAGGAGAGGAGGAGAGGATGAGGAGGAGGAGGTGTGGAACGGGGAGGAGGATGGATCTGGCATGGCAAGAAAAGGGACATGAGCAGCATTCGCGGGAATTGATGTGAAAAGGGAGATTACCAGAATTCGCTGAGCTGCGGACTGTCGGTGGTGGATTGAGGTCGGGGACTGCAGTTGGACAGTCGTCACGAACGCTGAGTTGCAAGTTTTATTCCGTTTTATATGCGGAACCAAGAACCGCGCATGTCTATAAACGGTCCCACTTTCGCGCCAATTCAGTGCGGAGTGATGTTTGGTGATGTTTGGTGCAATGAGTCGATGCTGAGCTCGCTGTCTTTGCCGACCTCCGACTTGCTCCTTTCCAACGCCGCGAGGTCCTCCGAGGATCTCCACTCCTCTCACGGGCGCGGAGTTCACCATCGCCCCTCAGTGTCCCTTACTCCGCGACTCCCCCTCCATCGCGGCCACCAATCTTGCCCTCCAACTCCCGCGAACTCAACCCCCCTGACTAATTGGCTTCGATTCACTTGCACACCACAAATTCCCATTACATGTATTGTCAGTCTGTTTTCGGCCACCATGTCCATTGACTACTGCCTATCGTAATCCTATACATAGACTGGGCGTCATCCGAGCAAGATGCAACAACCACAGCAGATCGAAACAGCATCCTATTCTTCCATCACCGGAGGCTCGCCCGTGGTTGTCTCCCACGCAGGTCCAGCAGGAACATCCCACTCGCCAGAACACGCGTACGCCCAGCCTTTCGTCCTAATCGTCTCTTTTTGCGCCTCCACAAAGGTGCTCACCGCGCACATCCCGTCTTTCTGCTTCGAACACGCTCCAACTCCCGTAAGCGGTACAACACCGTCATTAATGATAACACGTATCTGTCGCTCGGGTTTAGAATCACAACAAAGAACTACGCGATAAGGTAATTAGGGTTTCCATTGACAGCCGAAATCAGAAGGATAAAAAAACGCATTGAACGCACGTTGAAACTGGATGTTGGTGGCGAAAGGTGCCAGTTCCGATGACCGGAACGTGCGCCTCGAGGGTATATGACTGGAAGGTAGAGGCCCGGTCTTTGCAAAGGATGACAAGTTCAACGCGGTTATGACTATCAAGCAACGTAAATTAGTGCTCCTTGTTCACTACATATGGCGGGACTTGCCATTCAAAATGACAGTCTCGTGCGTTGCATCAACGTAGAGGCTATTTCCCAGTGGGAATTGGACGGGGTTATGCATGGTGGCATTTGTAGACGAATTATGTGTTTCCAAAGGCGTCTCTGTTAGCCTCGATACAAGTTCTTGTACGTACCCGACACCTTGAGCTTTGGCAACTGGTGACCCAAAAGCGACACCGTACCTGTATCACACACATGTCAGCCAGACTCCAGGCCGGGAACGATTTCATCATTCATACCAAAACTTCAAATCAGCACTGGCAAGTGATAACGTCAATGTCACGCCGAATTCTGGAAGCACGGCAACTCACGCATAATCAAAGCCTTCCCATTCCTTCTCAGTAAAGAGCTCACAGAACTTGGAATAACCGAGAACGACAGTCTATTATTGACCGTGTATTGGTATAGATTGCCTGGATATTGTATCTGTAACTCACCTCATACGCACACGATTCTTGCATAGCGTACACATCGTTTACTGTGAGCGTGTACCCATGCAAGTGTCTCTGGAGACGGTGTACAGCATCCTTCAGATATCTGTCCGTCCAGGCTTGAACATAGCTTGATCCACGATATCCTTTCGATGGCACATTGTTGTTCGCACAACTAGGTAGTCACGTTAACTCAATACAATCTCGATGATAAGATGGACCCACGTTTCGAACGGAGCCAGTGTATTATTGAACTAAAGAATGTAAGTAAACATCGATCTAGCTCGATGTAAAATGCGACGCACCTGGGGAGCTTCGATGGTCACTACTTGTTGATATTGGCCGTCATACGGAAAGCCGAAGAAGCCGAGAGCGAAGTTCTGCGCAGACGCCAGCATACGTGTTCTACAAAAGAAGAAAAACTATTAGGCAAAGAAGTCATCATATGGATATACATGTGACATACTGAGATGTTGTGCGGAAGACGGGAATGGTATTTGATTCTGTGAAATTCTGCAAGGGGATAGGGCCATGAGCGGTGATAAAGCACTACTTGAAATAACATCATACATTCAGCAAGAAGCCATACTTCATGCGCATCGATACACCGAGGTCAACTGATAAGAGAATTCCGTCAGTTGTGATCCTTACATATGGCCAAGATAAATTACACAATTGCGCTCTTCCGTATGCCGAAAGGCCTGGAAGGGGAAAATACATTGATATGGTGAGCAATATATATATAATCCAAACCAAAGATTTAGCGTTACCTTCCTGGCCGAGCTTGTAAGTCCTTCAAGGGGAACTCAGTGAGTTTATTTATGGTGTGTAACGCATAATTTACCATTCATTTAGGAACGAAAGTGGGCCTGTTGCTTTTAGGCTGGTAGCATTAGCGTGTAAACGAAACGCCAAACCACCAGGGCCAGATCCCGGTTCTATAAGAGAAAAACAGGTCGATGGTCAAGCGCAACCTTACGTTACTAAAAACATACAATCTCACTATAATCAGCTGGATTGCGAGCCCCGTGTCGATGCAAAAGGTGCAAACCCGTGATTCGACAGCTTTCCGGCGCCTCAGGCCCCGAGTCAACACCAAAATGACCCCGCTCAATGCTGTACCAAGGTGAGAGACTGCCCCAGGATTGAAACATGTCAAAGTGCTTTTTAGCGCCTGGGAAAGGGCCCTTGGCCTTGGGGAGACGAGAAGGCACTGCGAGCTGAGGTGCACCCGTGTGGATGGGCACTGAAGGTGCGGTAGCGACTAGACCGGGTTCGGCCCCTGGACGCGTCGCTCCAGCATATCCTACATCTGTAGGGAAGATATCAGGGAATGCGTTCGTAGGCGACGCGGGTGGATATTGGTGCCACTCTGGCGATCCGACATCGCCAGAGGCGAGTGCGTGGATGGTATTATCGTGACTTATACTGAAGCACATAGGATGCCATAGGTAGATCTGAGCGACCACGGCCAAGGTCAGGCCAACTCCTGCGAAGAAAGCACATCCCAAACGGAGGATTGGCCGAGTTTTGCATGATGGCAAGGTGTTTGAATGATGTTCTTGGTGTGGAAGGACACCGGCAAAGATGAGATCAGCTTCAAGCTGTTGTGCACGTAGGTTCCCATCGAGGAAGGGCCTTTCGGATTTGGCGTACAGATCTTTGGAGGACATTTCACTTTCGTGGTAGCAGATCTTGGGGTGGGAAACGAGGCTTAGTTATATGAGTGTGCGCCTTAAATGTTATTTTCCGAGTAGGGGTTACTCGTTTCCTTTTCGCGCCCGAAGGTTATAACGTACGCTTTCGAACAGGCGGGGAGCGCTTGCTGAACCGAGCGTGCAGAAAGATATGTTCCCTGAGGAGCAGGTATACAGATAGAGTTGATCCACCACCGAATCAGTAAAGAAAGGCATTTCCATTCAATGATCAAGTTTGCAGCGGTATTACTGTAACCTAAATCTGAGCATACATGCTATCGACGAGTTTAACGATCAATGTCAAAGGATATACGTGCTTTGCATCAAGCCAACTCAACGTCTAGGGGAAGCCTGAGCTGCTTTTCGCTTCCACGAAGCCGGAAGCACATTGAGGATCATTTTGAAGCGCATATATGCCTAATCCATACAAAGGAAAGAGAGATTTTACTGCACTCGTTCGGTATGATGGATGATGGTCTGGAAGTGATATGGTTAGACTCAGCGGGTGGTGTTTACCCGTTGCCACCAACCCAAACAAGCGTAAGCACGTACATTCTCCCACGAGTGCATTCGCTGTTCCGCCGTCGCAGACCCGATTGAGACGAGCGCTGAAGACAAGCAGCTGTGTTCTGCCCACTTTCCCTTTGCTTGTCGTTGTTGCCGTCGTCGTCGTCGCTGTCGTCGCTGCCGTTGCAGCTGTCGGCCACATTGTTGCTCTCGTCGCTGTCATCCTCGTTCTTACCAACGCAAAACTGAAGTCGATCTCAGCAACATCGCCACTCCAAACAATTTAACAGAAGCCTGCAAATCACCTTTTTTGCTATTTTTCTTTTCTTTCTCCCCCTCTTTTTTTCATCTACGGCTTTCCTTTCCTTACGTCTTTCATTCGCTCCTTGTTACGTTGTCTAATGTCGCCGTCCTCCTCGCCTGTCCCATCCAACGAACCATTTCTCACAGCAAAGAGGAGAGATAGACCACCAGCGCTCGATATTGTAGATTCGAAATCTCCATCCAACTTGGACATCCCCTTCGACGACAATGCCAGTGGCAACGTCGTACCACTCAAACAGGTAATTTTTATTCATATAAAAATCCTTTTTTCCTTTTTGAACTCACCAATACCTTCATTGTCCCAACAGCCACGCGTCCACGTATCTGAGGCCAGTGGCGAACAAGAACTCATGGATTCGGAGATTGATGCCATAGAGCCCATATCACGCTCAGTCTCAGCCACATCATCCCTTGACCCGTATTATTTCGGCGCACAGTCGCCGTCTGATTCCCCTGGTCTTCGAACAGCCTTCCTGAGCACCACTCCCGAGACACGTACAGTCAACGAACCCCCAATGACTCCCGCCAAAGATCCTGCGAATATTGATAGGAGGGGTCTCGTTGGCGTTGGCGAGCTCGCCACCCCACGATGGGCCAAGTCATATCAACGATACACACAGAATGACGAGGAGGAACTTCAGGAGCGCAAACAGAATATAATCTCAGAGGAAGAGGAACAAGGTGAAGAGTTGATTGCGCCCGTAATGGAGAAAGATGATCCAGACAGTCCATGGACTATAGAGGCTATAGATGGCGAGTCTGACGAGAAGGATGAGGTGCGTTGGTGTCCAAATATTTTTCGTCTACCCCGTTTAACATGTTGTTTTTATATCAGCCCACGGACGTCAAATCAATTCCACGTACCATCCGCACACGACGATCCATGGCAGAAGAAAGTGGAGGCGAGGAAATTCTATACCCACGCAAACTACAATCAGGGGCGGATCACCTCAGACCCCATGGTCACACTGCAGAGACGCTACTGGAAGATTCCCCTCTTCTCTCAGTCGCAGATGACCTTCCCTCATCTGAGCAGTCTGCTACGTCTCCACCTAGCTCTTTCACGACCCCCTTACGTAAAGCTAAGAAGCGTACTTCTGATGAGTTTGAGATGGATCAAACAGGCTCCCTCGTATTGAAACGCCTTGGATCGTCTTCAGGCATGAAGGACAAAAGCAGCAGCAAGGAAGAAAAGTCATTATCTGCACGCAAGCATCGTAGTCTTGGGGTAAACGTCACCTCTACCTCATCTACGCGTGAAAGGGTGAAGGAACGACGCAGGGAGAGCCTTTCTCTTAGTAGCACTGCCACGAAGTCGTCGCCTGTCCCTGGCGCTACCGCCAGTGCTTCGAAGCCTGAGAAACATACACGACAAGTGTCTGCGAGTGAGTCGTCGTCGAGTCATAACGAAGCGCATCATCAACGCCGCGTACATACTACGGACTTTTCCCACTTACCTCCATCCCCCTCTTCATCTTCCATCCAACACTTTCTGCGACATGCGGGCAGTGCGAATAGTGGTAGTACTCCTCCCTTGCGTTCGTCATCGAAAGAGCCACAGGCGCAATCTCAAGCACAACCACAGGCTCACTCTTCTCCTAGTGTGGCGCACTCGCTGCTACGTGGAACACAGGAAGGATGGTCAGGTATGGATGATGATGCAACAGCGGAAGCGCTACGAAAATTAGATGGGCTATCAGGGAAAATCGCTCGTGCAAGAGCAAGCGTTGGTAGTCTCGGGAGGCCGGCAAGCTTGAGTCGTCCAGGAACGCCTGCTAGCCGGACTGGTGTTCACTGGGAGGGCGTCGGGACTGAGGGTGGAAAAATTAGCAGGAGAGGAAGTGCTAAAGATAAGGACAAGGACAGAGAAGCGCGCCAGTCTGTTGGACTTGGGCTTATATATCCAGACGCCTCGCAGGATGTCACTGAATTGGGAGCCAGTGCCGTGGTCAGTAGTGACGACCAGGCCTTTAGCTCTGGTCCTGACAAAACCCCAAAGAAATCTGGTTCGTCAAGCACCCGTCTAAGCTTCACCCCCAAGCGTGGTTCTGCATCGTCCACCAATTACACCAGCACGCCCACTAGCTCGCGTGATTCTGCATCACTCTCGACAGCTACGAGTGCCACTTCAGTCTCCATGCCCTCAGGTCGTCATTCGTCAGGAAAGATCAGACGCAATAGCGCAGGAAGCGATATTTCGAATCCCTATCCAGGTGATTCCACTTCTGGTGGAGATATACAGGAAGATTACCGCGTGCCGCCTGTACCCCCCTTGCCAAAGGATCTATCGGGATACAGGTCTCCTCCACAATCGTCTGGGGCGGTTGTCTTCCCTCCGGCCAACAGTGACGAAGGTGATCTTGATCGGACTATCTGTCTTGAAGTGCCTCCTATTCCTTCAAAGTCATTGCATCCATACACGCAGAATGTGCAGCGAATGTCTAACAACGGTAGTCTTTCCGCTCCCGAGTCCACTCCAGCAGTGCCAAAGACTCCTTCAAAGAAATGGAGCTTTTCCAACGCTCTTAACATCAAATTGTCAAGTTCGCCCTCTCTTGCCTCTATGAAAGACTCGCCGTCCAAATCTTCTGCTTTCCCTTTGAGCCCCCGTTCTGTGACATTTGGACAACAATTGCGAAAATCTGGATCTCGAGAACAGCCCCTTTCGCCTTCAACCACAGGATCCAAAACGCCATGGTCCCCTATCCAGCAAGAAGCGATGGCATCCGCTGCATCTCTCGCTTCCATGTCTTCCATCGGTTCTACGCGTACCCCTAAGTCCCCTGGGGTGCCATCATCCACTGCGAAGACACCGGACCGCGGTGTGTCGAGCCGCCCGGGAACAGGGTCCAGTGCAAGCCACAATACCACTTCTGCACTTTCAGCCCCTCATCATGCTCCTCTCAGTCCGTCCTCATCCGTCCGGAGGCATCAATCGAAGCGTCTCACGCCCTCGTCTATTCCCTTTTTCCGACGCTCTTCTTCCCAGTCTATGCAGCTTCCGCCTTCCGCCTCTGCGGCTGCGATGTCTACATCGCCTACGCTTTCGACAGGTCCGATTGTATCCGGGCAGGCTCGTGTCAAGGCAAGCATCTCTCCTTCAAGAGACCGTACAACCGTTTTACCCCCCACTCCTGCTTCGTCTCAGAAAAAGTCGTCTGTGCTGAGTTTAGGGCTACCATCATTGCTCAAAGGCTCGAGTTCTAGGAGGAGTTTGCATGGTGATAAAAGTGACTCGAATAAGGAGAGTAAGGAAAGTACCGTACGTGCAAGGAATTCGGAAAAGGAGAAAGCAAAGCAGGATCAAAAGGATCGGAGCGAGAGCAGAATTTCTGTATTGATGGGAAGAAAACGGGGCAAGGTGTGTGATCATGGTATTAATATGTGTCTATTTTACTCATCGATCGCACGTGGCAGACATTGTCCTCCACAGATCCCAAGAAGGGTGTGCCAGCTGTCAGTCTACCACCGATGCAAATGTCTGCGATCCCTCCAGCAACAGCCCAGCGTGTTGCGAGCCTCAAAACACCGTCTTCGTCTTCATCAGTGTCCACTCCATCGTTGGGTGTGACACGGACCGTGTCCTCCTCCAGGCTCACTTCGCAAACCGTTAGCTCCATGCAAAAGCAGTCAGATGCTTCTCTCCGTAGCCGTAATCACCTTCCTACCATCGCTGGATCACCATCTGTCGGAACCAACAGTTATCATGCATCCAAGGAGCCCAAGGAGCACCCACCATCGGCCTTGCTTAATTCCGTTTCCAGTGTACCGAAGGAGACCCCCACCAAGATACCACGCATTTCTAGTCGTACTTCTGCTACAGGCTCTCCTACTCTCAAAAACTCGACGGCTGTTACTCGACGTATCAGTCTTAATGTTACTGCCCCTTCGACTGACCCATCACCTACACCAGCTGAAGCCTCTACAAACGAATTTGGAGTGTTTGAGAACAGCGATGCTCAGAATGCGAAACAGACATCCAATGCGACTTCCCAGCGGCAGCCTGTTCGCGCATCCCCGTCTACCAGTTCTCGCGTTCCTCGTCAAGTCTCTGGTCCTCCAACGACAAGCGGCGTTCCCCGTAAATCCAATCGTGATTCGGTTTCATTCAGTGCCCTGCGTAAAGCTTCAACAGGTTCTGTAGCGTCTATCTCTTCTGCTGCTCCTCCAGCGGAATCACACCACCGGTTCTCTGCGTTGTCGCCTTCGAAAGGTCTCAAGCTACTTAGTCCCAAGATATCGCTTCCTACATCTCGTTCGTCTTCTCACAATAACAGCTCATCGACCCCTAGCATGCATCAAGCAGTATCTGGGACTCCTTCTTCTTCTGGCCGGCAATCTCTGTCAACGCCTTCACCAGTTCCAAGTTCTATTGATGAGGAGGAGATGCTCGGTGATGAAGAGATGATGAATTATATCAGGCGACAGCAAACGAAGAAGATGGCGAATGGTGCAACGCAAGCAGAGTTGGATGAACTACTCAAGTTCCCGGAACCGATACCTCCTGCCTCTGGGTCCACACCTGAAGGTTAGTGATATTGATTTTGCAGGTTCCCCTTCCTCAAACTAATGGCTTCTTTGCAGAAATCCTGAAGAGCCCTCAGGCTCAGTTCCTATCTCAGTATGAACGCGAGGAGATGCTTAATTACCCTCAAGTATACTGCATTGGTGCCAGGAGTCAGAAAAAGCAGGCGACCACTGACAATACTACCAATAATCATGGTTATGATGATGAACGAGGTGATTATCTTGTCGTTAATCACGATCATCTAGCATATCGCTATGAGGTTATCGATACTCTCGGGAAAGGCTCGTTCGGTCAGGTACTCAACTGTCGGGATCATCATACTGGGCAGTCGGTCGCGATTAAGATCATCCGAAATAAGAAACGTTTCCATCATCAAGCACTGGTGGAGATCAAAATTCTTGACAACTTGCGTAAATGGGTATGTTTTGTTTTATAATGACGTGTTGACGTGTTGCAGTCGAACATCGCTCACATTCATACAGGATTCCGAGGACAAACATCAGGTTATCAAGATGACGGAGCACTTTTATTTCCGTAATCATCTTTGCATTGCCATGGAACTTCTCAGCATCAACCTTTACGAGCTCATCAAGGCGAATGGTTTTGTCGGGTTTACCACGACTCTCATACGGCGCTTCACGAGTCAAATGCTCTTATCTTTATGTCTCATGCGACACCATCGCATTGTCCACTGCGATTTAAAACCTGAGGTAAATGCCACATCTCGCTGGTGGACTGGTAGCTGACGATTACCTTCTAGAATGTCCTTCTACGTCACCCTGCAAAGAGTGCTATCAAAGTGATTGACTTCGGCAGCAGTTGCTTCGAACATGAGAAAAGTTTGTAATCTCCCTCTTTCTCTCAGCAAAAAATTTAATGACAACGGTGCCTTAGTTTATACTTATATTCAGAGTCGTTTCTATCGATCGCCAGAGGTTATCTTGGGCATGAATTACCATATGGCAATTGATATGTGGAGTTTGGGCTGTATTCTGGCTGAACTGTACACTGGTTTTCCGATATTCCCAGGAGAAAACGAACAGGAACAACTTTCGTGTATCATGGAAGTTCTTGGTGCTCCAGACAAGGAATTTGTCAATCGTAGTTCTCGCAAAAGAATCTTCTTTGGTAAGAGTGACTTCTTCGAAATTTGTCGCAGTTTATAAACTGTTCGCTTGTGCAGACAATAGCGGAGCGCCTCGCCCTGTAGTAAACTCAAAAGGCCGCAGGAGAAGACCAGGAACCAAATCTCTTGCCCAAGTCCTACGCTGCTCAGATGACGATTTTGTCGACTTCATTGCCAGATGCCTTGTCTGGGACCCGGAGAGGAGGATGAAGCCACAGACTGCCATGCAGCATGCGTTTGTTCGAGCAGGTCGCCGTGGCAAGATAACTAATCCTACACCTTCGACGGCGAAAACGTTACTATCTTCTTCGAGTTTATCTGGAAACAGAAACAAGCATTTGACCGAAACTCCAAAGAAGTCACAGATCAGTGCGCCTACGCCCCTGACTGCCCGTAGCTCTCGCACAGTTACGAACACAGTGCCCTCTACGCCTGTACACGCGACGTCCATCGGTTCATCATCTCGCTCTTATCGTTCATCTCAGTCACATGGTCTTTCTTCACAATATTCTAGCCGGACACTCGGTGGGTTTGCAGTGAGTCGTTCATCCTCGCCTTCTGGTGTGCCTTTCGGACAAGAGCTTATGAACTGGCTGCAGACGACAGCTGCTAAATAATACACACAATTTGCCTCGCTTTCCTTACTTACCCTCAATAGGGAACATTGCTGATCGCTAGATTCCTTTTACTAAGCTGGCCTTTCTTCATACCCTCGGTCCGCTGTACTTTACCCTTGTTCTTTGCATGCCATAAACTGTTTCTTTGCATATCATCGTAATGCCTCCATCACTCAATATAATTCGCACACTATTCTTTAAGTTCGAACTTGAGCATTTGCATAACAGATTCAAATAGTAAGTCGCACGTTGGTTGTATGATTTAGCCCCAACGTCTTCTGTGGATTGAGGTGCTTTGATTTCTCAACCACGAAGTCGACCATAGATGAAATTAAAATGGCTTATAATCACGTCGCATGGAACCAAAATCACACCGAAAACTTTCTGAAGGAAGAGATTAGAATTACACGATAAAAAATGGGATCAACTCGAGATTCCAGAATTCTACAACTGTACATTACGTGGAAACCGAGGATGTTCCAGGTCACACGTCAAGGCGTTAAGAACTTTCGATTCATATCCTCTTGGCACTCCCAAGGAAACATCCACAGCACTCTCAGAGTCAGAGTTTGATTTAAACGTCCTCAAATAGAATTTTGAGACTCCAGATGTGAAGAACTGCGAAGGCTCTGGAAAGCCGAAATTCACGACACGCCAATCCAGCCTTTCCAAAAGGTAATCGTCCAAGAGCTTGAATATCAAGGTTGAGCATGCTCACGAAAGATTCGAGTTAACCGCTAGTACATCAGGCTGAGGGAGGAAAAAATGCTGCTTTCCCTCTAGCGCTGCAGCGTGCATGAGATAACTTGCGGCACTCATCCAATTACTGATAAATACTGCTTGTCTCCATTCGATAATCGATTTCCTTATCACTGTGGCAATGGTGCCCACACCTTTTGAGTAAGGTGGCATAACTTCTGATCTGACCTGCAGATGTAGTATCAGTATGTCAATTAACACACACGCTTGAGTAAAAGTAAAAGACATTTAACCCACAATGTATATCAGATTTCCGGCGACGTCAGGGTGAACAAAAGGGGCGTCACTATGCCGGTACTGCAAATTAGGAAAGCATGAGTGGAAATAAAAGCAACAAAGGGAGGGAGCTGACGCTTGCTGCATTTGTGATCATGTGTATCGATGAGCCCAAACATCGGTTCAAGACGTTGACAATGTAGGCTGTTAGGCAATCCTGAGTGGTTATTTTGGCAGCAACCTTATTATCGTGATCGCTGACAGCCTCCAGTACCATATCACGGAGGACTTCTAAATGACCTGTGCTGATGCGCCAGTCTACACGTGCCATGGATCCATTAGCCTTGGAATACTTTTCCCCTAATTCATGTATGTGAAATGTCTCGCGTAAATGAGGCATGTAGGGTAAATACTCTGAGAGTAGCGATGGGGATGGAGGGGAGAAGAGATACTTTGAGAAAGTCGGCGTCGGATATGGCGACGACAAGCCTTGGTAGCTCAGGGACAGGGTATGCATGAACCGCAAGAGGACCGTCGCGTCACCTAATACAGGTAGTCATTGTGTCATTTTCAGGCTGTGTAGATGTCAGAAATAATGTACCTAGTGTGTGGTTCCAGGAGACGCCAACACTTGTTCTATACCCACAGAATGTCAGTTTGAACCGAAGAAGTGGTGCATCTCCGTTGACCAAGGCAGTATCCTTTGGTTTCTGACTGAGAAGGCGAGTGATGTTATCTTGAATCACCCAATCATTTATTATGAGGGCTTCGAACAGATTACTTGGGGCATGTTCAACGTCAATCGGTATCGCTGACTGGGTCAACTTGAGCTGAAATGGGTAATCTGCATCAGTGGATGATATGCCAGAGTCAAGGTATCACTATGAGACGTACAGTGAATCGCCCTTGATCTTCATTCAGCCGCCCCGCCGCATGGGGGTACAGCTGTAGAGTTTTTGAAAGTGCTGTTTGGAATCTATCCAAATCTAATATGCCGTACAACATATGCACATTATTGATCTTTCATTAAAATCATACTCTTAGTGTAAAGGGGTAAATGCATGTGATGCAAACGTACAAAATTCGTCCACAGGTCATAACCTGGGAGCTCCACTTCGTGCCTTCCCTCCAAGATAGTGGGAAAACAAGGAATGACCCAATAGCAGCCGTTCAATGACATTTGAAAGACAGCTATCGGTTGAACTAATTGGTCAAACCAGTCAAGACCTGTACAAGATAATCTGAATGATGACAATTTAATCTATATATATGGCCCATTCGTCCTGGGAGAGTTCCAAGCTTTATAAAACACTATATTACACCCCCTTGCTATCATATTGTAAAGTTCTGAGTGCGTCATCCAAAGTCATCCACGCAAGGATCAGACCAGAGATAGCTGGAAGACATAAATATAAAACAATGCTGTGTGGTGAAGGAAGCGCGTAGATGACGTTGACCTCCCAGGACAGCGAGGCCACTACATATCTATGGCGACGTCTTTACACTATGTATCGCAAAGCCTTCCTAGACGTTCCTTCAAACATAGTAGGTAAATATACTTGAAAGGATGAAATGGGATAAGATCTTACGTTTAAACTGTTTCGGTGGAGCTTTAGACTCTGCCCTTTCAGCCAACGGGGATGTAGATAATGAGGGATCAGAGGATTTTTGCTCGCTAGGCTTGGAAGCTCGAGGTATTGACGAAGGAGTGGGGTGCGTAGACTCCAATGCAATGGTAGGGGCAGCAGATATAGAACTTGACGTGGAGTTGGCTACATTTAAGCGACTCGGAGGCAAACGGATCTTCAAAACGGGGGTAGAAGAGGTCCCAGACTGACTGACCGATACAGTAGGCTTTGACGAGTTCGATGGAGCAGGAGCAGGAGGAAGAGCTGGAGCAGGAGCAGGAGCAGAGTCCACAGGCAGGGTAATATTCGAAGTCGAGGCCATAGGAGACACTGTGGGAGCACTAGAAACAGACGCAGTCGATGTTGCAGCTTGTGTGCCAGACATGGACGCGGTAATTTCTTTTATCTTTTCATTAGGCTTTGACTTCCGCCGACTACGTGTTACACGTCCTTCAGCTTCTGCAGAGCCAGTCTACCACGACAGATCAGTCATCTCGTCTAAATCATGGGTTGACTCGTTTACCATATCACTGCCATCGTCCTTCGCTTTATCAAGTAAACCCAGCCTCCCATCCTCCACCTCACTCTTCACACTGATTCTTGCCCTTTTAGAGCTTGCAGGGGCGGGCGAAAGACGTTCCGAAGACACATTTTTCGAATCTAGATCATTGTGTAACGACTTGTCCCTGATGTCTTCATCTACGGGCTTTGTAGGTGCTTTACGCTGTAAAATTATCGGATTGAGAGTGGAAACCATTGAAATGAACAAGCCACTAACCTTCATTAATGAAGACCTTGGGGTTTCTTTAACTGGCTTTATCACGGTCCATGGATCTTGAGGTTCCGTCTGAGCGCCCTTGTCAAGCGCCGTTTTCTTTTTTGGGACCTTTAAGCTCTCCGAGGGTAGTAAAGGGCATCCGTGATCGCTCTTGGCATGGCGCAAACCACATAACATCTATTGAAGATTAAGTAGAAAACCCTACTTCGAATAGTAGCGATAAGCTTACTTGGGCAACATGCAGCTCGTCAAAAGTGAAAGACGACGGTAGAGGAGTAGTAGGCGGTACATCAGCTTCCAACCCGTCCAGAGAGCTTAACGACGTCAAAGGTGATGACATGTCAGAAGGCAGGTCTGGTTCTCTAGAAACACTAAATGAAGAATGTGAATATATAATACATCACGAAACGTACCTCTGTTTTGGATGCCGATCCTTGCTAACTTTATTCCAGAAATCTAACATGATCACTTTCTCTGGAACCTTATACAGACGTCCATTGATTAGGACCTCATCCATCACTAATTTTGGGATGACGGGAGTAGCCTGTGGATGAACAATATCTATGTTACCGTTGTTGAATTGATTAGGTTTTGCTATGTCTATTGTAGTGACGTTTTGTTTCGGAGTTCGACGTTTTGGATGCTATGCAAGCGATGAAAGATTGAGGTAAGCAAAAACACTAATGAGAGACCAAAAGCTTACTAAAACCTGATCCGTATGGTTCGGGCACATCCATTTCTTCCCAAATGGTGGCATGGACGCGAGAGGGGGGTCGAGACAGTCAAGATGCCAGTGCAAACTGCAGTAATCGCAGGATAGCATACTCTTCCATACCTCGGGCGTACCACTCAAGGCTTTCTCTGTTAACTTTCTTGCACGTTTGGAAGAGGAAGTAGCTGCTGCAACACTTGAAGGAAGTGCAGAAGCCCCACAGCGGAAGCACAGCACTGGCGCACCAACCCTGTCTCGCAGTCGGTATGGATCTCGATCCTCGAGCTGGCCGTGACGACTGAAGCAGATGTAAATAGAGTACTTTTGATGGTAAAAAAGAAACTAGTATACTTGCTTCAATCTAGGTTGTTTGACTTGGGAGGTATCCACATAGGTACCTTTGGGTCCAGCGCCCACTGTGTACAGATATCAAACACGTAGATTTGCAGTGATATGATCGAGTACCAACCATCTTTAAAGAAAGTTCTGATATCATCCGGCAACTGATATTCTCTCGGAAGGCTTATTTGAGCGTGATGAATGAGAGGCGCTATTAATGATGGTGGAGGTTTGGGTGGTGGGTACTGATTGTGCGCATTTTTTTTGAATTTAGTATCCAGAAAATCGGTAGCAACTGGAAACTTCACGAACCTTGCGAACTGTGCAACCTGGACAAAACCATTTATCTCCTTCTGGAAGGTCAACGGCTTCCATCGGCGGATCTAGACACCAGAGGTGAAAGGCACGGGGACAACCATCACAATAAACTAGCGATCCCAACGAACGACATGCAGAGCAGTGGTCTTCGTTAAGCTATCGATAGGCAGATTTAACAAAATATAGTCATAGATTTGAAGAAACGTACCAAGCCAGCGCCAGGATCAGGCGAGAGTGACAACGTGGCCATCGACTCCTCTTTAACTCTGAACTGAGATTTCTCTACCTCCTTTCCCTTCCCTTTGTCTTTTCTCGAGGTCTTTGATTTCCCATTTGACATGAATGTAGCGTTATCTTCCATCCTGGGAGCCGAATTGGCGCGAGAGTTGGAGGGTCCATCTGAGTCGGGTGGCACAGGAAAAGGGTCCGAGTCTGGTATCGCTGGCATAGTTGATGATGCGATAAATTCTTCAGCGACTACGGGATCTGAAGCTGGAAATGTATTGTTGAGATTACGAGCAGAGGCACGTTGTGCACGACCTGCAGCGGAGCTACTATTCAGTTACATGGCGATAGTGATGACGAACGGTGGGATTTGAGAGGACCGACAAGGGTGGAGTAACATGAGAAATAGAAAAAAATATGAAGACTATTAGCAACAGATAGTAAACAATGAGAATAACGAGCATTCACCTTTTGTCTACACGGGCCCGTTTTCGACGAGGGCCATCGACATCTGAGCCGCTGAGAGGGCCCATGAGACCAGAATATGTGGATCCTGGGTCAGATGTTGGCAGATAGGACACAACAGCAGCTGGTTTCTTTGGATCGCGCCTTTGCGCAGCCTGCTGGACGGACAGCAAAGAGGGTGGACCTGGTAAAATCTCAGTGGAAAGCGCAGGATTGGAGAGACCTTCCAGGTGAGGTGGTTGTATGACTGGGACTCCTGGCAACATGTATACTGGTACCTCCGCCATGGAAGCCATCTTTTCAGAGAAAAGCAACAATCACGTCGGATAACGTTCGTTCCACTTTGGATATACCTTTGGAGCGGACGAGAATCAAGGCGGCGGGTCAAAGGCAAATTGTGCTCCTCACGGTCGATACTCGTGGTGGCAAGCGAGAATGCGCGGCGGCATCGCTCCAAGCATCAAATTTTCTGCAATTTCTATGCCGCTCATTTGATACATCGTAGCTACACACTGATCATCACACATTTTATAGTAACATATATGATTTTTATCTTGCAGACACAGACAAGCGCAATGCTTCGCTTGAGAGCACCACAGACCCTGCTGAAACTAAAGGATCGAGCAGTTCCATACACCAGTACCCACTTGTCGCGACCGTCGACAGCCAAATTCACAGATACGAGGGTCCTCATCCTCAAGCTTTTCGTCGTCCTGATGTAAGCGCTAATGTATGATTTGCATCCATGGCTTGCAAAAAAACTGCAGTGTGAGCGTCTGATAAACAGATTCAAAGCTCACTCGTCTCGATGATCATGGGGGTCTGGCGTGGGAGTCAACGTTAATCACTTGTGGTTCATCACTCCAATCTGACGAATCGCTTTACTTGATGATGTCGCGCCTAAAGCGTACAGTGGAAGAGTCGTGCCAATAGGCCTCCCCTGGGGCATAGACATAGACCCAGTCAAGCACGTAAGCATGAACATCGGAGTAGTACTAGGCTCACACCTGGATCAACGAATATTGGCCAAATCACTATCACTCGGTAGAAGCCTACGTGAGTAGGAGAACAAGATGTAGTCCGTTGTCCATTGTCAGCTGCTTCCAGATTCACTTTTAACTGAGTGACAGCAGACCACTCCCATGTCTTCACTGATACTTTGCTGATGCAGCGAAAAGTTTCACTTGTAGGAGTGCCCATGGTACTGCAAAAAAAAGGGGCTGCAATCAGTTATGTTAAAGGTCCACTTCAACAAGGAACTGACCTTGGACGGTTCCCATTTACACTCCAGCTGCAATAAGCACATACCCAAATCATCAATGATGAATTCAATCCAGTAAGTTTACGATGTCTAAGCGTCGATATTGTCAAGCTTCAAAGATTGATATTCTAGATCCTACACTTTCTACTTCAGAATCTTCCTTCAGTTCGATATCTGTAGATTGGATAGGGAGCCATGGCCCTCGGCCCTTGCTCGTTTTGTTGAGAAGGCGTCTATGAAGACGAGTATTCTGGTGGGCGTCCCACTCGCTACCTTCTTCAATCATAACAGGTTGGTCTTGATTTGTAGTACAGACAGGACAGATCTTCTTTCGTCGGGCAAGAAGGACAGCATTTGGGCTGAAACTCCATTAGCCAGCATCACATTAGAAACACTCAGGGTCATACTCTGTGGGTTTATCCTTCACACTGAGCATCTCGCGGGCTGTGGCGGACAGGGTGAGAGGATCCGGGAGATCGCGCAGTTCTAGAAAGGCTAAAAAAATATTAGTATGAGGCCAGAAGACAAAGTGGTAGAGATACCGTCTGTTATATCTTCCGCTCGGTCCCGGACTTGAAGAGCCCATTGATCGCCCAGCTCTAAAATAAAAAAAGGGTGTCAGAACAATCTAGCACATAAATTCCCGAGGGAACATGCCTGTAGCGTCAAGAAGATAAGTTGGCGTTAACGCCGACTTATATGATTCGCAATTGGCGTTTGCTGCATATACGGCTGGAAGCAATTTATTACGAATCCAGGAAACTTGCCGCTTGGCGTATTTGCGAGTAGAATGCTTCATATCTTCCACAGCTGCCCTGAACACCTCGTCGGATGGAGACGGCGAAGACAGATAACCGTGAAATTCCTTGTATCCTATGCTCTGGTAGATGCCAAGCGTATAGTCTACCGAAGCTGCACTCGCTTCCACGGCGTGCATGGAGTTGTCTTGACAGGTTTCAGACACTGGTCGAGGTTTGGATGCTATTTTCTGCAATGCGAGAAGTTCCCCTAGTAAACCTTGCTGCGCGATAAAAGTTCAGCGCAAGAAATAAACTCAGCAATAAGCAGAACCTTGATCATATCATCCACACGAGTATCGAGTCGCCCATTTAGCGTTGGTGGATCAGCATAAAGCCAGAAGCAGAGTGTGCGGTACCTGCCACAGAATTGTCACATGCATACACGACCTAAAGACATGGCATAAATGCGAACCTTGGCTCTACAGCCACGCTAGACTGCTCGTTGATGATCTCACTTGGTTTTCTGCCAGTATCTTTGATGATACGTAAGCTGCGGAGAACCTTGCGCGTATCCCTCCAGTGCCATCGTGATGCAACCGGTTCATCGAGCTCCATCAATAAATTATAGAGTGAGAACGCCTCTTCTGGATTCGCTGAAGCTGATGGTGGCTGTTCTGGAAGGGCATTCAGAAGTTCCAATAAAGTAGGAGGAAGTCTGCTAATCGCTTGAACCAGATCAGACGATATGGGAGACTGCTGCTGTACTGTGTTTGACTCAAAGGAAGACGTTAAGCGATTGGGAAACATCAGATGTTGTATCCAATAGGATGTTCCGCCTACGACAATTGGGATTTGATTCTGCACATGCGTCTCTTCAATCTGTTATTGACGGCCCTTTAGAGTATGAGTGCAGGAGTTGCGTAGAGTGATTGCCAGTACTCACGATTTGGATCGCATCCTGTACCCACTGTCCTACAACATACTGTTCCCCAGGCTCTTTGAACCCCATCAGGTGGTGCTCGATACCTTCCCGTTCTGATTCTGGCACCTTGTTGGTAATAATATCCATCCCTGCGTAGACCTGCATGGAGTCCGCATTGATGATTTTCGCACCGCGCCATCTACCACCACGAACGCCATTGGTGAGCTTGAGCGCAAGTTCAATGGCCAAATTCGATTTTCCAACTCCAGTGGTTCCACAGATCGCAATAAGTGGTCTCAGAACCATGTCGATTTAACTAAAACTCATGAGATGTGGTAGAACGTCGACAAGGCTTTGCAAGTGATTTCAACTGAGATGCAAGTATACAAAGAATAAATGATTTCTAATCCCGCTGCAGCGCGATTACGTTACGTTACAAACTGTATTTCCATTCTTCTTCAAGTTGACCAGTGTTGCAATATTTTTTTGAAGTGACAGCTAAGTTCACAATGCGAGGATGACAGCTAACGGCAGGTCAAAGCGAAACCAGGTAATCGGGCAGCAGTTCACAGAAAAGATACAATACTAAAGTAAAAATTAAGTTGAATGATCCACAGGTGATACTAACATGCTCATTGCTCCCCACTGATTGAAGAAACGAACATGCTGGATGGGGGCCGAGAAAGTTCCCATGGTATCGTGCTCAGCTCAAATACCGAGTCTCTGGATTGAAGTCGAGACATCCCTCGCCTCTTCCACGCCCGCCGTGCCTGTAACGTCTTCCAATTTAGCCTGGATATATCAGCATGAGCGTTCATAATCTTTTCGTATAACCGAGAAACACTTGCAAAGCCAACAAAGCATTGGCGTATACTGAAAGGTGTGGTTTAGCAAGTATTGCAAGTCGTGTTTAAGTCTTTAAGTTGACTTACAACCTCCAATAATAATATAGAGCGCGATGTAGTAAAGCTGGAGTGGTGTCAAGAAAATCTAAAGAATTATCAGCGACAAGATCTCAGGTGCACCTTCAAACTTACTAAGATAATCATAGCTATGGATACCAGGCTGGTGAGGAAATATATTAGTTTGATCAATGATACTGAACTGGTCGTGTCTTACGAAGTGAGTAAACCGGTATTCAATGCGTATGCCATCAAAGTGCTAATAAGATTGTCTGTTCTGCATCATAAAGTTCCGTGAATAAGCGAGTGAGTGAACGGCTTCGCCAATGTCAGAGAAAGCATACTCTCGAATGCCATTTTTGGAGCGATGAAGAGTTACGCAAAGTAAAAAGGTTGCCAGGATATCATTGAACGCAACCAACGAGAAAGAGCAGAATATAATCCACTGCAACGGTGACGGGTTATTAAAATATCACAAAGGCAGACAAGGTAGACCAACGTCGTGATGAATGTCAGCCCAGGTAGATTCATTTATGCTATGGAAGGAGATTAGGGCATGGAGGGGAAGAAGGCACAAGGATCAGCCACGCACTGCTTGATAAACCACACTACGATAATTTATGGTATTTCTGGTCAGTTTCTCGCCAAGAAAGTGAAGTTGATTACTAACCAATCGTGAAGACTGTTTTATTGCATATTAGCACATGATGTTTTGGGGGGATGACCATAACTACGCACCTACGTCAAGAAGGACCAAAAGACACTGCACCACGGTGAACGTCATGCGAGAGAATGTAATTAAGATATCATACCATAGATATTGCTACTGGCGTTCTCCGTGGACTATTGCTGACTGCGAACGGATGTGTTCGAAGAGATATGGAGGCCAACAATAAACCACTCACGGGTCCAAATCCGCATAGTCCATACACTACAAAAACGATACCCGATAAATATCTAAACCGGAAAGGCAATGATATCCTTACTATTGTACAACCCCGACAGTCAAAATCTGTAAAAATGGTCAACAAGAACCTGCTGTAGCATCAAGCAGGAGAGATGTACTGTGGGTAACATTTGAGCCTGTAAGTGATTTCAAGCCGCTGAGCTTCACAGAATTTTGATGATGAGATAAAAACGAACAAATAAACTCCTAAAAATAAAACAATGGAATCAGTCGTACATAAAAAGGAATCCATCGTGTTAGAAATGACGCTACCATATTGGTGTCCCTAGAGCATCGAAATTTCCATGACTAGTGACTGCGTAGTAATGTGTTGAATGAGAAATAAATATGAAGTGTAATGTGTGCAGGATCCTATTAAAACAAGTTAATACTAACGTTGCGATGAACTTTTATGAGACCCCGCACCAAAGAACAGTAACCTGGTTGTCAAAAAATAGGGGGTTGGTAATAATCATAAATTAGCAGCGGTAAGACGTACTATGGCTTTATAATTTCTCCCATTGTGCGCACCCCTTTTAAAAAAGATAAAAGTTTGTGCAGAAGTCACTCCGTACAGCCTTTTGTAGCATTCAAATATGATGATATCTGAGCGTTGGATTCACGTACAAAGTGGAAATTATGAAAGCAATAAAGAGAGCACCCAGTGTCGGACCCAGGTCAGGACTGAACACATTCATGGCTTTGTCGAAAAGAGGGACATAAGGAAGAATAAAGGAAATGGAGCAAAGGTCTCTCGCCTGCTATTTTCTCTAAAATCAGGAGCCAGTGGGCGGAGTTACATAATGACATCTGAATGAAACATATGGATTATTGATCGGGATGTAGCCTGAAAGGTTAAAAGCGGCGTCAAATGACCAAGTGAAATTCGGAGAGTGTAAGGTCAGCTCTCTACCTAACACTCTCCGAATTTCACTCTCTAAGGGTCGCTCTGTCATACACAGGGTCCCATGGTTTGCGCTACTAATAAACTCTTCCTCGTGTGATTCCTGAAGAATAAATAGTGTTTTTCAGATCAGACAACATTGTGACTGGTGTGGTATCCGTCCTACCATAATGGTCTTTGGAAAACAAGTGTAGTTAATTTGATTATAAATGCTAACCTGTCAGGAGATTCAAACTGATGAGGCTGAACTTGACGCGATTCAGAGACTTGACTCATCAATGAGCCCCAAGCTTTCTAAGACCTGTAAAATATATCGAGATTCTATTACTCAATTCTGCAAATATGATGGTTACCACAACTATGAGTGTCCTTGAACATTCCAGTATCACTTACTATGTTTAAGGATTGTTATATGGACTAGTGCGATGCGAACTCAGCTGTTTCCGAACCGACGCAAGAGATATTTTAGCTCATGGAAGCTCCCATATCTTGATTACTTACAGGGACGTGGATCTCTTCGCCCGCCGTGATGGCAAAGATAGGCAGCTATCGCCTTGAGCTTGAAAGTAGAATCACGGTACTGTAAGGGTGCCGCAAGCTGATGCGGCCTTTTATACCCAGGGTACGTGCAAATCGGAATGGACGCAATGGCCATATAATCAGTCAAACATCAACAGTAAGCTTTATTGGAAAAAGGGAGCGCATTAACTGAGTATTGTCAATGAGTTCTACCACTCTTTGGTGGCTATGGCAAGCATAGCGCTGTACGGCCAGTCCCAGACCGGAATCATCGGCCGGTATTGCTTCGGTGCTCTCGGGAAGGTTCCGCGTAATCTTTCCCATTAAGTACCCATAGTCAACTCCGCCCCGCTACGCCGCCATAGTTGTCTCCGAAATTTTGGACCATGTTCTGTTGTGGCAAAGATTCAAAAAGCTTGCTCGAAAGCAACAGTTTGAGCGGAGTGGTCACCAGTGTTCCATTTCAGAAAAACATAGATAATGCCTTCATTTATCCGTGCACGAGCTGCCCGTGTAACTCTATCGAATCTGTCACCAGCTCCAAAGTCTCAACATTCTGTTCGTTTCTCTGCTTAGCACTTGCATGCGTGACACTGATATATTTGGCATAGCAAAAACGTCTTGGAAGGGGTCAAGGATCCGGTCATGGCGGCACTTCAGGTCGAGGACACAAGGGTCAGAAAGCTCGCGCTGGTAATGGTAAACCGAAAGCTGGATTTGAAGGTGGTCAGACACCTATAACAAAGCGTTTCCCCAAGAGAGGCTTTGTAAACCCGTGAGTAGCCTGGTTTCATGAAAGGTCATTATCTTAATTGAGCCTATCACGTCTCAGGAATCGAAAGACATATGCACCAGTGAACTTGGAGCGCATACAATTTTGGATAGAACAAGGCCGTTTACACTCTTCCCCAACAAATCCTATTACCGCTCGAGAACTCCTACTTAGCGGCTGTGTACATGATGTGCATGACGGAATCAAGCTATTGGCAGACGTAGGCTACTCTTGGATGGAAACAGTAATTACGTGTGCTAACAATTTTGGTCAGGGTGCAAGTTTTTTGAAAACGCCAATTCACATAACGCCATCGCGGGCATCCAAGAGTGCTATCAAAGCCATCGAAGAAAAGGGAGGGAGTGTATTCTGCCAATATTACAACCCTCTCTCACTTCGTGATTGCGTCAAAAGCAACACAGACCGTGTAGCTGCCGCGCCTACGCGACGAGAGGATATAAGTAAGATTGACTCCCGTCTGTTCTTTTAAAATAGCCCTGACTTTATGGTTTGCTCTTACTTAGTGTGGTATACTGATTGGCGTAACCGAGGGTATCTATCCCCGGAGGCCATTGCTCAGATGCCCGTCGTGCAAGAACGGTGGAAGGAGCTCTCGAAACAGCTTTTAAAGTTTAAAGAGCAGAACTTTGATACCAAAAAAGCGTAGAGTACATATAATAGGCTGATCTCTGGAATCTATGACGCTGTGTCCATTCTGTCGGGTGAAATGCTACGACTACGTGAACGATAGGGCGAGCCAGACGGTGATCGAGATGGTGACCGAGATGGTGACCGAGATGGGCTTCGCGATACATACCGTGGCCCCACTGATGATCCTCTACTGCTAGGACTTCTGCTGCGTGAGTGCGTGGGGCTCTTATTTTTACTTTCACTCCTGCTTCGACTCCTACTCCTGCTTCTACTAGGGCTACGACTTTTGTCACTGCCATGGTCACTTTTACCTTCCATGGCATCCAAGAGACGGCTTTTTCTTGGCCCAATATCTCCATTCTCTTCAAGAGTTTGACGCCGAGCTATACGTGGTAAAATGATGTCGCATACTCTTTCCTCGGTCAGGAGTGAGTATATGAACTCGTCCATAAACGTCAATGAATATCCAGCTGAGATTGTGATCAGCCGGTACAAGCAACCAGTCGAATGAGCACTTACCCATATCTCTATAACGTAACTTCCGATAGTCCTTTAGCAGGGGTTCCAGCATCTCGTACACGTCTACAGCCGCGAATGTCATTCGAATGTACATCGCAGCCAAAGCTCTCATATATCTAATTTGAGTTAGTTTCGAGTTATTCATTCAATGTTTTTCAAAGAGAACATACTTAAATTCATCTGCTTGGAGATATTCGACTAATATCTCTTTCTCTGGTTGAATTTGGAGTAACTTCAAGAGGAGACACAAGAACTCCGTAGGACGCTGGTTGCCGTATACACCACCGATGAAACGTACTTCGATGGCTTTATCAATCAAGGTCTCCGCTGTGCGGCTGACTATCAAGATCCTGCCTCTTCTATTCAAGTTGCTGGAAAGCTTACCCGTCAAAGCGAAGCAGTGCTCTTTCCAGTACGTCGCCTCATATATGCGATTGCGGATGACAGTTTCGACTAAAAACTAGGACAGGCTCATGAGATATTTCGCCACAAATATGCCGGACCATACCTGTGGATTTTGTCCATGAATGGCCTGAGCGCCTTTTACTGTAGTGTTCGCCATGACTGATTTCTCTTAAACTGGCAATACTTCGGGAAACGATCAAGCTTAGGCAAGAGCTCAGGCGTTATTTGCTCCTGTTATTTTTGGAAGGATTTGCTTGTTACGGACTCTACGCCACATGTATATCGCACGACCATGACCAGTCGGTTCTTTTGTCCTCACCTCACAAAAGCCTCGAAAAGGACACAAGGCAAACGTCAATGGTGCATTTTTTCACCCCTTACTGATTGTTACAGTACAACATGTTTCACGATGATCTGAACACGTCATACTTTTGTGTGATGCACGACCCGTTCGCCACAACACGCAGATGTCGACACTAGGGTTGCGGACTGGGCAGAGTTTCCAGTATTTTCTGGGCACGCCAAAGACAACTGCGGTTAGACTGTTACTGCGAACTGGTATTGCATCCGGGAGGAAGACTTCAAAGCAAGTCTCGCTGCTTCTCAATCCTGTCTCGGGTCTTTTCGAGCTCGCTTTGACTTCTCCTTTAAGAATTTTTGGCAGCATGCCTGTCATTGAACACGCTTTTGTCGTTCTTTTTGCTTTTATCGTGCACGCTTTGATCTTCCATATATCTATTTTTAATCAAAACTCACAGAAGTGGCAGTCGCAAAACATAACTGGTCAGCCGCTGGAGGCTGACTTGGACCACCGTGATGGCCACCCTCCGAGGATATATAAACACCCATATTTTCCCTATCCTTTCGACAGTTCTTCTCCTCTCATCGCGCTTCACATCTTTTGACTCTGATTTACTTCAATGGTCCCTGTGTCGGGTGCCTCATACCGCGTTCTGTATTCTCGTTATCCAATGTCATCAATGCTTCAAGATGAATATTTTGCCACAGTGGCGTCGGGCCTACCATGGATCCTCTCTCTAATGCCCTATACCAGACCCACCTCACTTCTTGGAACCATCATCAATGCTTCAAGATGAATATTTGGCACAAATGGCCGAACCTTAAGACTCAAGTAATCGAAAGGCCACTCAAGAAATGGATCGATTATCGACTTGGGATGGTGTTTGGTCTATTGCCTCAAATTCCGTTCACCCAATGGACACTCTCTGCTAATTACTGGTTGCCTCGGCGGTCTGTCGCGCCATTACTCATGAAGGGCTTTGTCAAATATGCAACATTTTGCATCAAGCCCTATCAAAATAATGGCCAACCCCATGTACTTCTATTCTCCTTTCTAGGAGCATAGTCATCTTTTCAGATGGCTGCAAATCTTCGCTATGCGAGATTTGAGGGCTTTGCCCCTTTATAATTTTTTCCCAACCCCTCTCTTCGCGAGACGCTTTTGCCTAATTTTTTTTTTGTTCAAGCAAACATGTGAGGTTTTTCGGTGGTGAGTCTTTCTCCTTCTCTGTTTGTAATGATACTAATACGAATTCTTTTTTCCAGTGTGGCAATCATCTTCGATGATTCCCGTATCTTCCTAGTGGCCATGCTCATACTATACGCTCAAAGTCAACGCGATGGAGTCTGTCTTTAGGATTAAAGCGTTGAAACTGTCTCTTTAAATCTTGTCATACTTTTTGCAGTGATCCAACAATGTGAACCGATTATGGTTGAACAACATACCGAGCACTTGATTGAACGAGCGACACAATGAGCACAAAGTTTACTATCTTACAGAAGTTATTCAGAAGTTATTCGATGCGATAGATTAGGTCTGATGCTTATTCCTCCATTGCCCATTTGGGCAACCAATCTTCCCAATCTTCCCATTGCTTGTCCTCATGCGCATCAGGGTGCGGCTTACCGTCGCGATCCTTGTGGCGACGAGGGACCAAAAGTTTTCCAATGACATGAACGGCACCGTTCCTGGCAACCAGATCACTCAGACCCACATGTTGTCCGTTGACATGGAACTTGGTGAAAAAGCGAGGAGGACCGGGAATAGGAATGTTAATCTTGTATTTCTCGATTTTTACATGAATAGGGTGGTCTTCCAAGAACGTGGGCAACTTCGTTTCATACGAGTAAACGGGAGCCGGTTTGTGAGGTAATGGAGGGGGGGCGTGCAACCCAGAATCCATCTCAGACCTGCGAGAGATACCGTCAGGGTTGACATAACCGTCTGCATGTTCGAATAGATCTCCCCAAGCTCCACACGTGTCCATATCGATCTCTGGGTGTTCTTCGAGCATCTCTGCAAGAAGACCGCTCACGTCTTTTTCTGAAGTCGCATTATGAACATAGTCTACACCGAATAGTCAATCAAATTATTGCAGCGCCTCATATGTAAGCACTGACCTGTGTGTAAGATGAACTCAGCACAATATGGTACTGCAGTATTTTTTTCAAAGCTCTTTCTCCAAAGGGCGAGAATAAGTAGAACTGCAACTTCTTCGGCAACCTCTCGAACGACTTGGACGTGGGAGCGAAGAATGTAAGAGCTGGATTTCCTTCTACTACACCTTCTTTATCGCCGTGTCCTGGGGTGTACCGACGCTCTAAAGCACCAGTCAATCCTACACGTTGAAGCGCCGAAGTCTAGAAAACATGTAAGAATCTCATCTGAGGTATATGACAATCACAGACAATCACTTACCACAAAAGAGAAGGCCGACGGAACAAGGAAAAGTTCTTGGAAGACAGAAGGAGGAGGAAGTAAGGGGAGAGTTATGACATGGATGACACCTGGTGTTGTAACGTCAGCAGAGCCTTATAAGTGATCACGAGGACCCTGACCATTCTTAGCTGCAACATCTGGTCTGATGATTTCAGAAACGATGTTAACCTGCACGCGCGGGGGAGTATTCCTAGATTGGACAGATATCCGCAAGGGCTCGTAATCAAGAGATCCATCCTTGAGCGTGAGATTGGTTTGGAAAGTGGAATACTCCAACAACTTAGGATACGGGGTTTTCTCCGGGAGTATGTGATAAGCCAAAATGCCGCGAACGATCCTAGCAATGACCTTTTTACGGTGTTCCTTCTCGTCATCGTCCAACGGAGAGCTTTCAAGTTCTTCAACTTGCAAAACAAGTTCGCCCAAATTGCGAGCGACGCCATCATCAGTTGCGACATTTCCAGCAATTTCGTCGTGGCGAGGTCGGCGCGGACGAGGCAAACCTTTGTTCGGCACTGCGAAGAATGTGATGCTAAAATAACAAATCAATGTTTAAGAAATTTCAGTGAAATCTAGGAAGCGAACCCGGCAGTGGAGTCGTCGAGGAGTGATACCACCCTGTCACTCAAGTCGATTGCTTTAACCAAACGAGAAAAGCTGAAAACATATAAGAACGCATTTTAATAACCAAAGAACAGTATTCTTCACTTTTCGTCATCCTTCAAGGTCTGATAGATCGTTTTCTCCTCAGCCAAAGTTTGCTTCGTGCCCAGTGCGACTTGATGTCCATCTTGAGGACTAAACCAAGATCCACATGTTTTCCTGGCATATAGAAGGGGATCAGGGAGTGCCAAAGCACTCGCAGCGAAGAAGAGGGGTGTCAAAAGGTGAAGACGCATTTCTGAGAAAATCTGTGAACAGCTCTCAGTGTGAAGAGAGCAGGTTTGAAAGCCTCTCAGCGTCAGTTTAAGTGTCATTCTAGGCCAATTGGATCAGCAATCTGTCGTCATTACCCTGTCATTCCCGCAACTGCGCAATCCTGTGATTTGGGCGGGCCGCATCGACTGCGGTCGTCATTGAAATCTGAAATCTTATTATTTGAAGAGCATCGAGCCATTCAAAAGCCTCCTAAATGGAAAACATACCGCTATTCTGTTTGCGCAGTCCTCTTCGTCTTCCTCGTTTTTCTCATGCCCCTGATGCAATTAAACTCAGATAACGGCTGTGCAAAAGTACGTGCCTGTTCCAGCGATCCAAAAACGCTTGATCCTCAACGTTATGACGACACGTTTACCACGGTAAACTCAAACTATCAAACAGCGCTGGTTTGGTTGCCTAGAATAATGGTTTAAAAGCATCACAGAGTATTTAGATGATGAACGATTCAACTACACATTATAATTAGACTGAAAACGTAATGCTCGTCCAGAAAAGGAGTCCATAATGTGCCGCTATAGGTGATTCCTTTACTCTACCATCTGTCGGAATTTGTCCTGGATCTCCGTGTACAACGCATCCAATTTCTGTGTGATGGGTTCTTGACCTTGAGATGGCGACTACAAAGCATGTTTTTTAGTCAAATTCGCGCTGCGACATCATGTTGTAGCGACATACCTCGAACTTCATCTGAGACAACTTGAACATTAGATCGCTCGCCGAGTCTTTGATCTTGGCGAAAGTAAGGTCTCCTTGAGCTACTGCTCTCAAAGCTGCATCATGGAACCCGACGAAATTGCGAAGCATGGCCGTGGTCTTGTAGAAGGGGCAGAATCGATCGTATTCACTCATACCGTTCTGTTGCAAGAAATCATCTTTCAACATACGTGCGACCTCCAAGGTAATCTTATCATTCTCGCCAAGAGCACTCTTGCCCACCAGTTGTACGATTTCCGCGAGATCCTCCTCCTTTTGCAAAATCTCTTTTGTCTTCATGCGAAGCTCTACGAATCCAGAATGTGTCTTTTCATAGTATGGCTCCAGGATTTTCGTGTACTTGGAATACGACAAGTTCCAGTTGACGGATGGGAAATGTTTTCGCTGGGCAAGTTTCTTATCCAGACCCCAGAACACTTGCACGATACTAAGCGTGGCAGATGTGACGGGATCTGAGAAATCACCTCCAGGAGGGGAAACGCTGAACACAACCATGAGATAGATTCAAGCCTCTAAATCGAAAGAAATACTAACGCTCCAACGATAGAGACAGTACCTTGCCTCTGCGGACTTCCAAGACACTGGACTTTGCCTGCACGCTCGTAGAAGCTAGCCAGTTTAGTTCCGAGATAAGCAGGATAACCAGAATCAGCCGGCATTTCAGCCAAGCGTCCAGAAATCTCACGCAGAGCCTCAGCCCAACGTGATGTCGAGTCGGCCATCATCGATACGTTACTGCCTTGGTCACGGAAATATTCAGATAGCGTGATACCAGTGTAGATGGAGGCTTCACGAGCAGCCACAGGCATGTTGGACGTATTTGCCACGAGGGTCGTGCGTTTCATGATAGGCTCTTGACGGTCACCGACTTCCATTGTTAATTCAGGGAACTATTGAAACAAGTAACGTCAGACGTGAAATGATGATACCACCGAACTAACCTCCATTAAAACTTCAGCCATCTGAAGATTACAACGTGAGCCTCATACGCTATACGTGGCGACTGATGTCATCACAAACCTCATTTCCTCTCTCACCGCAACCAACATAAATGATAATATCACTATTAGAGTACTTCGAGAGTGCCTGCGAGATAACCGTCTTCCCACAACCGAAAGCCCCTGGAATAGCTGTGGTACCGCCTTGCACACACCTACGCGAACTGTTAGCTTTGTCCCGCTTAAAACTATATGATTACGCTTACGGGAACAAAGCATCGAGAATGCGCTGCCCAGTTAAAAGAGGATAGTCGGCAGTCTGTTTCTCCGTAACAGGTCGAGGTGCTCGGACAGGCCATAATTGCATCATAGAGTGCTTAGTAGTCTTGCCTTCGAATTCTGTCTCCAATATGGTGTCCTAGGTATTTGACAGATGAATAGGTAGCAAGACAGAGGTCAAATAAGAAACGAACGGCAACGGAATAGCTGCCTTTCTCCGCAATGTGCGTGATTGTGCCAAGCGCGCGTGGTGAAAGCATGATCTTGTGGTTATCGACCAGAGAGTTCTCATAGACGCCTCCGAAGATGTCACCGCCTGATATATGATCGCCAACCTTCACACATACACCTTTCAGATTGTGACTGCGATGACGGAGTTGTACTTACCTTGAACGATGAAGGATTGAAGTCCCAACTTAGCGATCGATCAAGTGCCTCAGTGTTGATACCACGGGGAATGTAAATTGACTTTGACAGCTCTTGAATTGACTATGGATATGTATGATATTGAGGGATTCCGATGATGCACTGTGTACCGAATAGGACAACTTACTCGAAGAGGTCGCTGAATGCCATCCACGATGTTGCCCATCAAGCCTAGGACAAATTTTCAGCCAATAGCTCTGTACCACGAGTTAATAGCTCATTTACCAGGACCAAGTTCTACACTCAATGGCTTTCCTGTGCGCAGCACGGGATCACCGACTGTTACGCCGGACGTCTCTTCGTACACTTGAATCGTCGCTTTGTCAGACTCTATGCGGATGACCTCTGTGATTCCCTCGTAAGTACTGGACTAAATTAGATACATGGATACAGATTTAAGGCATACCTCCTACCAGCTCATCGTGCCCGACGCGAACGAGCTCGTACATGGCGGCACCAATCATATTTTCTGCAATCACGACAGGACCTGAGACACCAAAAACTTGGCCAAATCGCGATTCACGCTCTTCATCTCTGATCTTCCTGAGGTCTCGTTTCGCATTTTGAAGGGCTCCTGCCATGGTATCGTTAATGCAGTCGTCGTCAAATGAGCTACCAGAGCTCAATAACACTATCCAGGTTTCTAAATCGGACTTTGATTATGGCGGATGTAGCCGAGGCGCGTTCGTGAGTAGTACGCTGACATACAGTGACGCGTCCTCCAACGCCTGTCCAGAACACATTATGCCACCAAAAGCGTAAGTACTTTTCTTCGTTCAAAGCCTTGAAATATGCTGAAGGCCTCGCTTTTAGTGACTGGGAGAAGTGTATGTCGATAGTAGCTACATTTGTGCATCCGGCTCATGTCTGTTATAGATCAGAAGAAGGTAGACGAGAAGGAGGAGAAGATTCAAGGTATTTGTCGTTCAGTACTTGTGGTGATTTACACTTACGCTTTCTCAGCGCTGGATGACAGCGATATCCAAATCCTCAAGACCTATGTAAGTCTTAATCGTTGTCATACCAGTGGTGTTTATTAAATGTCCCCAGGGTCAAGGTCCTTATGCAATGAAACTCAAAAAGATTGAGAATGACATTAAGGAGGTTCAAAAGCGTATAGATGAAAAGCTTGGTGAGCTTCTACCTATATCGACTTTTGTTTTCTATTGACATTCCTTTCAGGTGTCAAGGAGTCGGACACTGGCCTTGCGTCACCAAACCTTTGGGATCTCCCCGCAGACCGGCAGCGTATGGGTGAAGAGCATCCTCTTCAAGTGGCAAGATGCACAAAGATTATCCCGGTAGACCCAAAGGCAGCAGAAGCAGCCCGTTCTCTGAACCCTGCGGGAGCTGCGCAAGGACAGAAGGGTGCTGACGAACAAGACAAATATGTCATCAACATCAAGCAAATTGCAAAATTTGTTGTGGGTTTGGGTGAACGTGTTGCTCCTACGGATATAGAAGAAGGCATGCGTGTTGGGTAGGCTACTCCGTCTTTGACCTTTTGTCTCTGCTGATACGTTATCATAGTGTTGACCGAACCAAGTATCAAATACAGATACCACTGCCCCCCAAGATTGACGCCTCAGTAACAATGATGCAGGTTGAAGAAAAACCTGATGTTACATATTCAGATGTCGGTGGTTGCAAAGAGCAGATAGAGAAACTACGTGAAGTTGTTGAAACACCGCTATTATCAGTGAGTTTCGTCCCCTATGTATGCTTCTGATTCTAAAATTGTGGATTAGCCCGAACGCTTTGTGAATCTTGGAATCGACCCACCCAAGGGCGTTCTGTTATATGGCCCCCCTGGAACTGGTAAAACTCTGTGCGCCCGTGCTGTAGCGAACAGGACAGATGCTACTTTCATCCGTGTCATCGGTTCAGAGTTGGTGCAGAAGTATGTTGGCGAGGGTGCACGGATGGTTCGCGAATTGTTTGAAATGGCCCGGAGTAAAAAGGCCTGCATTATATTCTTCGATGAAGTGGACGCTATCGGAGGTGCTCGGTTTGATGATGGTGCTGGAGGCGATAACGAAGTGCAACGCACAATGTTGGAGCTTATCAATCAATTGGATGGTTTCGATCCCAGAGGTAATATCAAAGTATTGATGGCAACAAACAGGTACACTTCGTGTTTTGGCTTGCTTTGAATGTTCTCTAATTTTGTCATAGACCGGACACCTTGGACCCTGCACTTCTTCGACCAGGGCGATTGGACAGACGAGTTGAATTCTCGTTACCTGACAATGAGGGTCGGGCTCATATCCTGCGGATCCACGCACGAAGGTAAATTGCAGAAGTACCTAAGGTGTATGTGATTTCTCACCTTTAACGTTTAGTATGAGTGTCGAGCGAGATATTCGCTTTGACCTCATTGCTCGACTATGCCCAAATACAACCGGAGCTGAGTTACGATCGGTGGCAACAGAAGTGGGGTTTATCATTATCCTCCGTTATACTTTTACTGACCTGTGTTATTTCAGGCTGGTATGTTTGCAATAAGAGCACGGCGAAAAGTCGCTTCAGAACGAGATTTCTTGGATGCTGTTGAGAAAGTGGTGCGGCAAGGAACGAAGTTCTCTAGCACGTACGTGTTATTTCCTATCACTATACTACAGGAACTGATATCTCTCTTTTTACAGACCGCTTTATCAGGTGTATAACTAGTAGATTAGGTTACTGCAGTGTAAATGTATCGTTATACACTGGACTATTTTTTTTTATACGAATGAGTGAGCTGTTGAACATGAAGCCCTCGAATCTAGTTCTGGTTTATTTAGTAGATGTAGCAAGACACGTTAATAGATAATGGCTGTTCAACGTTCAAGTGGGGGCTGCCGATCCCAAATGTGGAATTGTGACTCGGAACTGCCATGGACCAGCCTCATATCTCGTTAGCTCCGTCCGTACGATGTTCGAGTCAATCATCTGTTTCTAGAGTTGTATCCTGAACTTTCCATAAATATGAAGCTGGCAAAAAGTGGACTGGCTCTGACTCGAATACATGTTTCACCACTACCGCCATGTCAATATCGACGGTTCCACGTCCGACGGGCTCCTGAACCACCGTCAGCGGAAGTGGCTCAGCTCCTTGCCAGTTTTGCATCGCATCCACCCTTACCTCTGACTTTATTGACACTTTTGTCCTTTGGCCGTCCTTTAACTCCCGAATCCGTGCTGAAATCTGTATCCTACGCTCTCTCAGAGATACCACGCCGACTGGCTACCCGCGTTCGCAACCTCGAGGCCCTTCCGTTTATCGTAGGCACAAACCCATATGTGGCGAATACCTTGACTGCTTACAGACAAAGCTTCGAGTGGTTGGCAACATATCCGCCAGTCAAGACTTTAGAGGAGAACGCCGAGTTTACTGCACAGCTGGAGCAACTTGTTACAAGCCATGCTAATGACATACCCACCATGGCAAAGGGGTGAGTGCCTTTTATGATATCTACGGCCATTCTGGTGCTCATTCAATTGAGCAGTTTTCAGGAATGCTCTCGCTATATGTCCCCTACGCAAATCAGTAGCTTCTTAGATGGTGCAATCCATAATCGCGTCTCTGTTCGGCTGATTGCAGAACAACATATTGCCTTATCTCAAGCACTTCAACGTTCATCTGGACATACATCTCATGATGGGGTGGTTGATATGGCATGCTCTCCTGCGAACATGGTGAAAATGTGTGGAACTTTCGTAAGCGAATTATGCGAGGCAACTCTCGGGGCTAGCCCAGTCATCGTCATTGATGGACATCCTGAAGCTAGGTTTGCGTGAGTAGCATTGTCATTCCATTAGAATAGAACTCCGTTTCTAACACCATTATTTTGTCAGTTATGTCCCAGTTCATCTAGAATATATTATCACAGAAATCCTCAAAAACGCATTCCGCGCTACAGTAGAGCATCATTACAAGACACACGGCCATTCACCTGCTCATAAGCTTCCTCCGGTCCAAGTCACTATTTCCCCAGCTCCCAGCGCTTCCGGCATTCCCTTTCTCTCCATAAGGGTTCGAGACCAAGGAGGGGGGGTATCACCCTCCAACATGGCTCGAATCTTCTCGTATGCCTTTACTACAGCAGGATATAATAGCGAACCTGATGATGGCGATGGTGGGCCTTATGCTGCTCAACATGTGGGAGGAAGTGCCGCTATAGGTGGTGGAGGTTCCGGCGAAGGTAACCTTTTTGGAGAGATCACAAGTAGAGGACTGCAGACCGGGCTGGGAACCATCGCAGGATTGGGTTATGGCCTCCCGATGAGCCGGTTGTATGCCAAGTACGTATCTTACAAATGCTCTGGGTGGTCTCATGATTTATGGACTTGCGTGCATTAGATATTTTGGAGGCTCCCTTGATCTCTTCTCTTTGGATGGGTGGGGTGAGTACACCACTGTGTGTGTGTTGCTTCTTACAGTGCTAACTAGCCTTTAGGAAGCGACGTATTTTTGAAATTACGATGCTTAGATAAAGCTAGTAACGCAGAGATATAACATGGTCTTGTGTTCTTATTCGTAGAATTTTATATGTGTTGCACCTGTTGCAGTTTTAATCTGTTCTCGTGTCTTCAGGTTTTTTCCCTTCGGTTTACTTTCTGCTACGCTTGGTGTATGAAGTACACAGTCATGTAATTTATTTCTCGATAATTTCCGAGACTTCGCTCGTCGTATCTAGATATCTGATGATAATGAGGGACTACGCTCATAGCTCCAGATTTTGCGTTCATTTGTATTCGCCAGTGGACGGGTGCAGATAAGCGCTGGTCGAGGTTTCAGGTAACCCCGCGGCGCATGATCATATGCTAGTTGTAAGGATCCCTCACTTCGAGCTTTTAATTTAAGACCTACCAGGCTAATAACAGGTCGTGAGGTAACATATCGAAATTTACCTCTAAAGCAAGTGCTTCTTGAACTCTGAATCTATCTATGATACAGGTCGATCTTACAACCTTTAGCTTTTTCGCGTTCAGAAAACGACCATGACGGATCAATCACTTGAAGATCTAGTTAAAGAATGGTTGAGGCTCGATAAGGTACTTTCGCTGTCGAGATTTCTTGCTTATATTCACAACAACAACTACTCATCTAGAATTCATCAACCAGAGCAGAAATTGAGCATCTGTGGAAGAACGATGCTATAGAGGAGCTAGAAAGACGAATGAGGTGCTCATCTCAACCTTAAGCTATCATAGCCATATCTTACCAGCAATTAATTAGGCCGCGCATCGAATTTGGTACAGCCGGTATGTTTTTGTCTTTCTCGATCGAATGGTCGTGTTGGCGGGGCAGCTCTGACATCATTCGAAAGGGTTAAGGGGGAAAATGGAAGCCGGCTGGTCTCGAATAAATGACCTTATCGTCATTCAAGCATCACAGGTAACTATATCATTACGATCTTTCATATTACTTGTTCAAGCATTAAACCCCTCCGAACAGGGACTGTGTGCTTATGTCCTTGAACACGTCGACAACGTCATCAATCGAGGTGTGGTTGTTGGGCATGACCACAGACACAACTCGGAACGATGGGCCCAGCTAACAGCTGCTGTATTCATCGCCAACAACATCAAAGTTTATCTCCATCGAGGTCTCGTACACACCCCACTGTGAATTTATGCCATGATGTTGTTTTCCGCACCTAATTATCTTTACTTTTAGGGTGCCATTCACAGTGAAGCGAACACATGCTGCATGCGGTATCATGATCACAGGTCAGTTATGAAATAACTCATTATTGATCCTAGCTGAAAGAGAGGCTATGATAGCAAGCCACAACCCTAAGGTAAGTGCATACAAGGATTCATTTCAGGCATTATATTCACATTCAAGGAATTAAAATATGCAGCAAGATAATGGTTATAAAGTGAGTACTTTCTGTTTATCCTAGGTTATTATGTTTCTTGATATCGCTCAGGTCTACTGGGAAAACGCAGTCCAAGTGCGTGTATCTCGTTCTCAGATCACCGTTTTAATCGTGCTTACCATTTAACAAAGATAATCGGACCGCACGACAAGGGCATTTCAGATTCAATCAAAGTCAATCTCGAGCCTCTCGCATGGACGACAGACCAGATTCACGCCAGCGCACTGTGCCTAGATCGGACACAGGAGATGGAAGACGAATATTTCTCAAGTCTGACAAGCCTCAACATATCCAGGTCAGTTGATCCAGCTTAAGTTTCTTTTCCAAGAAGTGTTTTCATCGACGACGATGTATAGATCACTGAATTCCGCTAGCGAAATAAAATATGTGAATACCTCTATGCATGGTGTCAGTCATCCATTCGTGTCCAGGGCCTTTAAAACATTCGGATTCGCCCCATTTATTCCGGTGAAGGAGCAGCAAGAGCCAGACCCTGAATTTCCAACTGTGAAGTTCCCCAATCCAGAGGAGAAAGGCTCGTGTTCATTTGTCTAGCAACTATAGGTATATAATGCTTATTGTTATATCTCAGGAGCCCTCGTGAGATCTTCCGCCAGTCGATAAGATAGAGTGAACTGGTAGCTGACGTCCTTTTAGAACTTAAGTCTTGCAACAGCTGAAAAGGAAGACGCCCTCTACGTGCTTGCTCAAGATCCTGATTCCGACCGGTTCACAGCGGCAGAGAAAGGGTGCGCACTCTTAACATATAACCGTCTCCATAATAATTATAGAGGTCCGCCAGACATGATGGCGAATGGTTCACGTTTACGGGAGATCAACTTGGTGCATTGTTCGCGGCTCAGGTTCTAGAGCAATACAAGTACAGTGGCAAGCCTCTGAGTATGTATTTCTCCTTTCCTCGGTGCATAGAGACAGGGATTTTACTAGCATAAAACTACAGGTAGACTGGCCATGGTTGCATCAACAGTCAGCTCCAAGATGATCGAGGCCATGGCGTCCGTTGAGGGTTTCAAGTTCGTAGAGTGTCTGACAGGTTTGTTTGCTACCTTTTTGTCCCTCCCAGCTCGCTAGTTGAAATATTCCTTATATGGCTAGGCTTCAAGTTCATCGGTAATACTGCGCTAGACCTCGTTCGTGTGGGGTATGAAGTGCCTTTTGGATACGAGGAAGCCATTGGTTACATGTTCGGGTCTGAGATTCGAGATAAGGATGGTGTTGCTGCCACGGTCCGTACACATTTAGATCTGATATTGAAGTGTGCTGAACATGAACGACAGATGGTTTTCGCTCAACTTGCAGCAGGGTTACGGCAGCGAGGCCGGACAGTACGAAGTCTCTTAGAAGAGTTATACGAAAGGTCCGTCTTCGAATATACTGGGGTGCCACCTATGAGTGACGTATCTATCGCAGATATGGGTACTTTGAGGTATCGATCGCCCAATTACTGATTTCGACAAGTTGTTGACATTCAGAAATGGATTAAAGACGAGAAATAGCTACTTCATTTGCACAGATCCCAAAACCGTCGAAAACATCTTTGATAGGATTCGATCCTATGGTCCACAGGTAAGTCTTCGTCCAGCGTCGGCATTTCAGCTTCTCATGGAACATCCATCCTAGATGACTAAATCTCTCCCTTCGTATCCGCCTTCGATTGCGGGACTCACTATCACTAGTGTAGTAGATCTGACAGAAGGCCACGGCTACGATAGTAACACGCTGACTTGCGAACCAGTTCTTCCACTATCTTCAGGGCAGATGATCCAGTTTAGGGCCAAATCAGACACTGAGGATGGGACCAAAATTGTGTTGACAATAAGGTCGGATGTTCTTTATCGCAGTAAGAGATCTACTCACCTTTGAACGCCCACAGAACTAGCGGAACTGAACCAAAGGTATGAGATACTCTTGACACGACTACCACATCGCTGATCAATTGCTCTTCAATCCTTCATGGCCCGTTTACTGAATGTAGATCAAGTATTACTTGGAAGGAAATGGCAAAAATGCCAAGGAGGTGGGAAGACTTCTTCCGCTCGTCGTAAGAGAACTGGGAGAGGTGTGGATGGAAGCAACGAAAAATGAACTAGGGCAACCGTAACCATGTAAAGTGATCTGTAGAAGGACAGTGTCATTTTGGATGGTGAACTGAAATGCACGAGATGTCCCCCCATGACCAAATCATGCGCAGCATAGAGTACAGGCAGGCACATGGGGCGAGATGAAATGACCACGTTCTAGCTCTGGGCGATTAGATTATGGCGTCCATAATTGTATGATTGGCCAAGCTAGTGATCGAGGAAGGGGGTCCAAGATGCGGAAGGGGTGTAAACGTTCAGGGAACGGCCAAAAATCTCGCCGTCCACTGAATATGCGTCGAGGATGTTTCAAAGGCATCAGAAAACGCTGTTATCATCGCGTGGATGCCCCAGAGCCTTCTAAAAAAAATGCTATGGTGTTCCATATGACTGAAAAGCAGGGATGAAGTATAAAGACGGGGAGGATGCAGTGGAGCACGTATAACGAGCTGAAGGTGGAGAAGTGGTGTCGATGGTCTTTGCATTGTTTTCCAATGCACTGGACTGTTTGCAATAAATGTATCCCGATGAAATGATCATTCTGGTCTCTAGGCTGGCCAGAAAGCTAAGAGCTAAATAAGCGGGTAAAAAAAAGGAAATAGCGGTACAGAAAATAGGGACAAGCCTGGCTTGTGAGTGGCAGTTTTGGTGGCCATGCCTGCCTTTGTTTGCGCTGCGGTGAGACACGCTGGGTTTCCGGGTGACGGAGAACCAAATTCAGAATAACATTCCCTCTTGCTTGTCTCGTCGAGGGGCATAACCTGCATCGCTGGTGAGGTGTATGGCGTGGGGGTTAGCCATCAGACCGTCAGCACTTCCCCATAACTTCAAACTGGTATTTGCGGTGGTGGGGCTCATGTCTTGCAGAATCTTGCTCCCTTGATCTCTTGCTCTTGTTTTAATTTTGCTGCACACCTCGCACATCTCTCGGTCAGCTCTATGGGATCAAAGAATAGCTCACACATTTTTGGGTTGGCACCGACATACTGCATTTCTTGACATCGTCTAGCGACGGCAGCAATTCACAAACGACACCGTCGAAAAATCTGACAATGGGTTAACCGACAACAGTCTTGCATACTCTTCATTTTGCAGCACGCCAGTAACCTGGACCTTGATTCAAACTTGACTGTCGATATCTCTGATCTTGTCGTGCTGGGCGCTTTTCTTGAGGGGTACGCACAACTCATAGGACGATGCAACCAGCTGCCATTCTTGACACTTGAGGTGCGTTTCTCACACGAAACATGCTTTTATTCTTGAGCTTTGAAGTGGGTTGATTGCATGGCATGGCACAACTTGCGTGCTGGGACTTTCATGTTGATGGGCGTCGCACATCACAATAGTTGAAGGGGGGAACAGTCTTTGTTGATTCATATGTTCTTCTTGAGTCAAACTTTTGGTGTATCTTGATGATTTTATGGGCTGGACGAGTATTTGTTGAGTTTCATTCATGGGACTGACATTGATCTGGATAAAAACTCGCCTCTTTGTTGCGCGCCCATTGATGGCGCGCTCGTGACGTGACAAATTAGGTCACGTTGCGCCGTCACGCGTCGCGTGCTGCCCAGCCATCTTGCTGGATACATCCCTGTGCGTTGCCTTCAGAAAGATTTTCCTAGACAAATTTTTGGGGTGGAGTCAACGGACACAGGATAACGTACAGTTGGGATTTAGTGCTGCTTGCTGGGTGGTCATGGGATATCTCGCTCTGAGTAGGAGAGTCTCACTTGGTTTCATATACGTGCGTTTGTGCACTGGTATGCTGCACCTGGATGGGACGTTGGTGCAGCTCCATCTGTCTTTGCGTTGGGCTTTCTCTGTAGCGTCGTTGTAATTGCTTAGATCTCGTGCTGAACGTTTGTTGCTCACATTGCTAGGACATCTGATACGCCAGATCCCATTCTTACTTCTCACGTGAGAAGACTTAGGACTGTCCTGGCGTCTCAGATGTTCTTGCTGTTGCGCAAAGCACGCCCGTGCACATGTTCGAACTTCGTATCGATCCTAGATGTGTCCAGCGAATGGGGCATGGAGGATTGCATGGGGAGAGGGCTATTGGCGTTTGCCTCCGCGAGTGCGGAAGCTTTTTTTCCCTGGTTGACACCTGAATGCCGATCAGTTATTTGGCCGTGGGCCCATATACAGAAAATGGGAACCCCCCACTGCAGTAATAGGAAAGTCCGCCTTATGCAATCCCGACGCAGGGTCCTCAGATTGAGATTGCGGAACATGCCAGTGGGGTTCTAGCTCGGCTTTTTGCCTCCCTCTTTTTTGACTTTTTTCCTCATCTCCACTTTACCATCCCGAATACCGAACTGCTATATAAATGGCCAAGCTCACTTACGCTCCTTATCCTTCCTTTACTCTTGTCATCTCCCAAAATCAATTTTCTACAATGCGGTTGCCTGCTTATCGCTCTTCATACATGCTTCGGTACCATCCGTACCCACGGCTGTCTCTCAGCCATCACGAAACGCTCATGGTAACGTTCTCTTTGGCATTACCTGTGCTTATCCCACTTTTCACTTATTTTTTTCGCTCTTTTAAAAGGACACAGTTGACGAACGTGACTCGCCGTATGGGGAATCCGACTATAGCGACAGGTTTCCTGCTCTCTTCCAACTAGGAGCACCCTGCCTTGTATGTCCGTTTCTGCGATTTCGCTGTTTGATATTAAAAGACTTTCCATACCGACTAGCCGACGATAGACGAGTACGATGAGGCAGCGGTGAATCTGGAAGCAGCTCTCGCGTTTGAGGACAAGCTGAGCTTCCGCAAGAAAATTTTCAGACGTCGATTCGTCCATATAGTATTGGTACGAGTCACTTTTTATCTTACGTTGCTTTTTTGCCAATCTTTTTTGACAGGACCTTGCATTGTCTATTAAGCGCAAGCTCAAGATGTGAGGCAAGGTCACACACGTTCTCTTCGCTAATGTAATCTGTACCACTTCGCCAACCGCCGTTCGTTATGAATAACTGTACTCATTGAAATACACATTTATCGTTACAATGTATATATAATCCACACATTTATAAGAATTTTCTTGGTTTTCGTGATAGGTTACTAGAGCCGCTGAAGTAAATTGTTTGGAGATCTCCAAGACAGTGATGTAACGAAACAATTCATCACGATGACTTCAGCGTGTTCGACGAAAGGACATCGTAAATATCACTACTACACACTCACGGTTCTCTATAATTAAATATGCTTAACGACAGCTTTTCTCTTCGTTGAGTTCATGGGCATTGGGTGCCATATATGTACCGTAGATAAATTAAGAAATATTATGGTTACCAACTTGCGGCGGTGCGGTTCAATGAAAGAGCTAAGAAAGAAGCCGTATGTGGTGGAGGGGTTCTCCCGAGTTCAATTGGCATAAGCCTTCTAAACTCGCGTTTGACACAGCAAAAAAACCGTCACTCGTCGAGCCACAGCCTTGTGAACAAAGTGTTAGCAACGCAAACGGTGAGGCAGTGTTCAGGCGAGGAAACGCACCGCAACGTGGTCGAGACAACATGTGTGGCGCTCGCGCACAGGCTCCTGATCCATTGACAAGGTAGCGACCTCGTCCTCATCCTCGTCTTGTTCGCTTATTGTTGGCTGAGAGTGACCGCCTGTTAGCCGTTGCTATAGATGATACTGTTGTGCTCGTGCTTACAAGGAGAACTGCCCGTATCTGGGCCGTTCGGACGTCATTGACGTCTGCATAATTGATAGACAAGGGTTTGTACACGGTTTCAGATTCCTGACCGAGTCAGCACCTAAAATAGTGGGAGTGTCAATATAAATACTCTCACCATCATTGATGGGGTGTCAGACAATGAGGCGATATATAGTTCTCGAAGTTGTTGGATTCAAAAGAGGTAAAACTGAACGTGCGTTTCTCTGAAGGTTTCGGAGGCCTTATAAAATGGACGGTACAAAAAGAAGACCTTTTTTCATGGGAGGGAATCTGTTTTGACCGGTTTGCCCTTCTTTCTTGCTGCTGCCCTACTCTCTTGCTGGAAAAGGCATAGATAAAAATTTTAACCGGTCAAACGGACAGTAAACATTGAATCCACGGAGGCAAACACGAAAAAAAGGGGGCCGTTCCTCTAGGTACTTTCCATGCTCAATGTGGTAGGAAAGCCTCGGCCCTCGAGCGGTGGGGTTCAATTGATGTGAGTTATGGCATGTACGGGGAATACGGGTTTGGGTGCATGTTGCGTGTTTAGATCCTCTTAGAGGCCACGGGCATCACAAGCACAACAATGTCCACGAGCGCGTGGAGTTAGGTGCCTTTAGCGGGCACATTTTTCTGGAACGACGTATCGTAACGTCGTAGCCATCGAAAGGAAAGGAAAGAAAAAGGGAGAATTAAAGAAGACAGAAGAGAAAATGAGACGTTGGAGATCGTAGAGACTATGGTATATGCATAGCACGAGGATAGTTATCTTTATATAATTCCTTCCATTTTATTTGCGACGTTGACGAGCAACAATCGTACCATAGTACGGACGTACAGTACCTCTCCAGGAAGGAAGACGACGATGTAATAGCCCATGTCTGGTAACAAGCGCCATAAAAACGCGTGTTCTTCTCCTCATACACATACACAACGCCAGAAAAAACACTATTCCAACATCGCCAACGGCCCAAAAGACGTTCACTCTTGCCTGTAGTAAATGTGTACAGGCAAGAATAGTCACGGCAAAAAAATGGAGTAGTCCACGAGAAGACGTGCGTGCCTGCTCTCCCGTGCAAGATTGATAGACACCTCCAGCTTTCGTATGAGCCCATATACGAATAGCTCGAGAGAATAGACTCGAGCTTGCGGTACTTGTTCTGCAGAGGAGGGAAAGAAGGAGTAACCTAAGATAAAACGAGAGGTCACGAACATGTGGGTTCATTCCCTCTTAAACAACGCTGAGCGATACGATTCCAACACTTCCATCAGCATACCGAGTAATACTGCGCATTGTCTGCAGCACAACCTGCAGGCAATATGACCAAGACGCAGTAGCCCAGATGAAAAATGCCAAAGCCACGACGAGCCCCATAAAAATGTACATTCACTCCCCATCGCAACAGCACAAATAAAGACGAACGGCGCATTCTCGATAGCAGAACGAGAAGATTGTGGTCCATCCTCGCCTCCGTTCTCAGGGATTGGAGAATTCCAGGGCCATAACGTATGTCAAAACAGAATTGCAAGCAAATGTGCGCCCATCCTCCCACATACGAAGCTGATATAGATGATTCCAGCGCTTTGTACAGGTATCCCAGAGAGATTCGAATCTTGTGTGGATGGTACACAAGTAAAAGAGGGCCGCAACGCAATGACCCTTGCCATAGCAGTAAAACCCCATGCACATGACGCTCACTCTTGCCTGCAGTACTGCATGCAGGAGAAAGCATTTCAAGAGTGACAACGTCACGTGATATTAGCGTGACTGATTGCGTCACATCACAATCCATCAAACAGGCAAGTGGGATTAACATGGACGTGTATGCAAAGAATGAAACTGAATAGGGGCCTATTGAAAGTCATAAATCGATAGGTTGAAAGAAAGTCATGCTCAGCATTGCAAGAGAACATCCCCCTCTTCCATTGTCAGAACATCTCGGCCAAGTTTTAAAAAAATACTTGCGATATCAACGTCGCACTCAACGTGGCGAATATATTGCGAAGAAAAAAGGAGAGGAATGGTAGGTCTAACGGAGGAGTGCGCACCTTGATGAATGTTCAGAGATAGTACATGAATGCATCGCCGTTCGTGGACGATAAGTCATTTCTGCTCTGTGTCCTCGCGGTCTTGCGATAGGGCCTAAGGCATCCAAGACGTCGTCCAAATCCAATGATACGGTAGGGCGGGCCCGGGATACCTGTTGCATAGCAAGTAGACAAGGCGATTTCGTACCTTGGGCCACGGGATAGAATTTTCACGGTTTCGCTGGGGTGCCATGTCACCAGTATGCACGATATTCGACCTCGTCTTGATATTACCATCCATCCGGTCTTATGTCCAATGCGTGAGCTACCCATCGCCTTAGTCGGTGGGCGCCAGTTGTATGAGCCACTGTTAGGTGTTCAGTGATTTGTGGAGCGAGAGCCGGCGTCGAGTAGGTGGGGATCATCCAGAAAGCCAATTCGCCGAGAGCCAAGACTAACGGTACTAATCCTCAAAGATAACGATATGGTGGATCCATAAAACCTCAGCTCTTGCTTCGGACTCGAGAACATATTAAATGTGCAAGCAAGCAAGTCTCTGAGACTTGGACCGGAACCCCGGACAATGGAACCCTGACAACCGAAAGTTATGACCGCGAGCTCCGCTAGCCAGCAAATTGCAGCGTATATTCGCCACCTCTCTCAGACTCAGACTCTCTGTATTTTATTTCTGCCTCTCCCCCTCATCGTTTACCGTCACTATATTATTGCCAGTGACATGGAGTAAGTAGTGACATAGAAACCGAATATCTAACATCTCCTGGGTTATTACACCTGCTATCCACTTTCACCACCGCCATTTTCTTTATTTTGTTGTTCAACTTATTTCAACTTTCCCTCTTTTCCCTCCTACTATTCATCCATATTATACCGGACTCATGTCTGGTACAAACGGTTGATGGCAGTTCCCAAGCTCAACATTATCTCCTCGTTTCTCTACTTCGAAATGCCTTTCCTCAGAGGCCAACGGACGACACTCCAAAAAATCCATTAACTCTCATGCAGTCTTCAAGACTATTTACTCATCTTTCGAAGGAAGCCGCCACGACCCCTCATCCCCCAGAGTATTATCAGCCATCGATACATCTGATTTCATTTCCCCGATATGGAATAACTGGCCGAAAGATGTATAGTGTTGCAACACAAACAGACACCTACCTGGATGTGTAGACGATGCTAAAGGCGGGACTCGCCTGATTCCATATTCTAGATTGTAGACGCCTCTACGGATGCCGCCGAGCTACTTTGAAAAAAGAAATACTTCGGCATGTAGCTTTCACATCAAAAAGCATGGGACAATTTTGCGACAGAAATATACCAGGCTCGATCGTGCGCACTTTAATCATCCCCTCGCTGTCCAGCCAATGTATCGGTGGAGAAATGCAGCTCCTTCACGTATCTTCCTTTTACAGGCTTGCTTCGCTTTCTTCCTCGCACACGAAGGGCGTAACACAAAAGAATTCGGTGACATAGTTCGTTATCTTTCATAACAATGTGGCAATAAACAACGCCAGTCTCAACATACGTATCATGCTTAACGTTTCCTCGAAGTAAATGTCTATCTACACTGCACCATGGGTACATGTCGCGGCTCGAAAATGTACTGGAAAATCAACTTTGCTCATGTCACCGGAGACGAAGTTTGCGGCGTGACTCGAGCTCCTTCGCTCGTTTCCACACATCGGTTGATAATTCGCTCTCATATAATGAAAGGGCCAGTAATCTATCCAGTTCATCAGTCATGGATGTCCTAGGCTCAAATCATCAATGATCACAAACCTTGCCACGGTCATTAAATGTATAAGATCGTCGACAGTAATGGAGTTGTCACGTTTTCGTTGTTCTACAAAATCATCTTGTATGTACTGGCACCAACCTCAGACTTGAACAAAATGAGGGAGGATGGAGAACGCACCGTTGATGTCTTATCTGCTACCTGCACGTTACCGGCCTTGGCGCCAGCCACTAGACGCCTGAATGCTATCAGTTCGTCTGTGGCTGGCATCTTGATTTGATCTTTGGCCCTGTACACGTTCTCCGAAGATATTATTTGTAACGGGATATTGATACTGGTCTATGGTGGTCTTATGAGGGAAGGACGTGAACCTAGCCAGTATCACTGACCTGGAAAAATGCGCTTTTTCGTCCTTCACTGAGCACAATGAAGGTCATATCCGTCTGGAAAGAGAATCTGCTGTATGGAAACACATATTCAAGCGACTGAGCATTCATGACCTCTTGCACAGCCTTGACATTCATGACGCCTAGATGCCAATTCAGTTGACATCTCCATATGTGGGATTACGGAAAGAAACCTTTTTCGACGACTCGACCTTCTTGGATGCCACTCTCTGTGAAGAGGAAATTTGTTCCTCGAGGGACTTGTAGAAGGCCAGAGTGTAAAATCTCTTCTCTACTTTCTGGGGCGAAATTATTTTGATTGAGCACATCCAGTGTCAGGGGTACGGTGATAAACATGGGTACAATTTCCGAGAGGACGTGGGTTAATGATGGGATAGATGAAGGATTTCGTGGTTGAGGGAAGCGCGATAGAGTAAGAGGGGGAGGTAGGAGGGGCGGTGTGCGAGATTTTCTGTATTCCATGGTAAGCCTGAACGAGTCTCGTCAAAAGACAGACACCAAAACTTACACCCTGGCGATGATAGCCAGCAAGACCCATTCCGCTGCATCACGGTCTCCTCCAAGGGATTCTTTAGATATCCAATTAATAAGATTATCCCGGGTTTCAGATATATTTGGAACCGGAGGCCCCAGAAGTTTTTCAACAGCGGGTTGCGGTTCATGAAAGAGGACATGTAAAGTGGGCACTTCCGGTGGTGAATCCATTTCGAGATAAATACTTCCTTCAGGGTCTGAGAATCAGGCGCAAGGAGATAAGAACACAACGCACGGTTCTGACGTTAGTATGCCGACAAAATTGACAATGTCAGTTGGTTTTATGTTTTGCGCTGCAGAATGGTCGTATATCTTGTAATTTTTGTGTGTTTTATAGACATATAATTGAAATAAGCAATACTTTGAGCCCACCTTCACTTGAACACCGACATGAGCAGCACCTGGTATTGGAAATTTATGAGGTTGCGACGGTTGATGAGAGGTATGTTGCGCTATCAGAAGTCAAATAATGGGATTCATAGAGAAATGGAACGAGTGAGTTTCAGCTTACAGGTGTTCGAACTTTCGGATTCTCGAGCGTGCCAGGCTGTTTCACCGGGTATGGAGACAGCCCAAAGCACAGTGCACTCCCTAAGGCTTGAGTAGTCTATATTATGAGCAGTGTTATTTCCTGCCAAGTCTTCAGTATTACCCCATCCGCCACATTTGTTTCCTTTGAGTTTCGCCAGATACATCTCTGGTGAAGCAGATGTATCTTGCACCATTGCACGGAAACGGACGAGAGATCGTTCGGGAAATGATTCCGGAGGGTTGATGACACTAAGATAAGGGACCTGATAATATTTTACAATATATGATTTGTATAAATCGCGCAAATCGCATAAGGGGGGTAGAGATACGAACCTCGCGCACTGTGTCCCTTGTTTTCAAGAGAATATCAGAGAAATACTTCGATACAGCCTTCGGGAACTCGTCGCCATGGCCTGTGATGTTTCCCTTGTCATTGTAGAAGTCCTGCAGGACGCTTGTAGGGCTTTTGAGGGCGTCTACGAGCAATGCTGAAACCATAATGACTATGAATGAAACGCGCTGGTCTTCGCGGTCACGGTTTGCCTAAACCGCGCCACTGGACGTGATTCATTAGGGAATGCTTACATAAGCGACTGTGCGATGGCGGTGAGTTGCGCCGACGAGGCTATTCACAGGTTTCCCTTACAACTTGTTCCCAACGACATGGCTCTCTTCAGCAGGAAGAAACGGCAGGACGAAAATGCAGACAACAGCCAGGATTCAACCACTGAACGGAAAAAAGAAAAGGGTGGCTGGAGAAGGCCAGCAAGTATGACCAGTTTATTAAAAGTCGTGGTTACATATCTCATGTCTCAAATGCACCAGATACCGCTTTCAAGCAACAGCGGCTGAAGGCCTGGCAACCCATTCTGACACCAAAAACGGTTCTCCCGACATTTTTTATCATCGGCATACTCTTTGCGCCAATAGGTGGTTTGCTTATATGGGGCAGCAGTCTGGTACGTCGCTTCCAGTTTCTATTCTACGAGCGAGCAAATAGACCTATAACCTTCCCCACAGGTATCGGAAATGACCTTTGATTACACCGATTGTTCAAACTTGACACCCCAGTCGCCCAGCTCGACCTTGAATTATGTCGACATGCCCACATATTCTTACAATCTTCGTTCATCAGACTCTGGGAAGAGCATCCAAGCACCTCAGTATGCTTACGTTGTCGACTCAAATGCTCCTCTGAATCAAACTCAACAATGTCACATGCAATTCTCCGTCGTTTCTGATCTCGGGCCTTCGGTGCTAATGTACTATAAGCTTACAAATTTCTTCCAAAACAATCGGCGCTATGTGCAAAGCTTGGACAGCAATCAGCTGCAGGGTAAATACGTCAGCGCAAACAGTCTCAGTTCCGGAAATTGCAAGCCTCTCGCAGTGACGTCAGATAACAAGGTTATTTACCCGTGTGGTCTTATTGCCAACTCGCGTTTCAACGGTACGTGCCGTCGCAAGGGCATATATGCATAGTCTTTAACAGCTCTGTAGATTCTTTCTCTGGTTTAACCTTGCTTAACCCATCCCCAAACGTTGCTTCGATATTTAATTTCACAGATAATGGTATCGCTTGGCCAGGCGAAGCGAAAAAATATGCAGCTGCACCTGGCTACCCGCTTGATCAGATTGTACCTCCTCCGAACTGGATGGCACTGTACCCTAACAACTACACAAATTCCAGCCCTCCACCGGATTTAAGTACCGACTACCATTTCCAGAATTGGATGAGGACAGCTGGTTTGCCTACTTTCACAAAATTGTACGGGAGGAATGATACAAGCGTGTTGGCCGCTGGTCGTTACGAAGTTGTTGCATATATGAGTAGGTTCTTTATCTATACTTGCCACTAGGTCAGTATCTGATACTGTTCTAGACTTCCCCGTTCAGGGATACAAGGGAACGAAGGCATTGGTCATCTCAACAGTATCATGGATAGGAGGTAAAAACCCCTTCCTTGGATGGGCATACGTTGCAACAGCGAGCCTTTTCGTCTTTCTCGCACTTGCTGGTACTGTGCGACACCTCATTAAGCCAAGGTAAGGTTTTGCATCATTTAAAAAATGACTAAAACTTTTCTGATATGTCATCACACAGGCGCCTGGGAGACATGTCGCTTTTATCTTGGAATCGATAGATTAGAAGTTGTCATTATTGGATGGACAATGTCATGTATTGGAATCTATGACCTCTCTTTGTAATACATCAATCACATAACTTATTTAACGTGGGGAACATCCTTCAAGTCCAATCTAACTAGGATGTATTGCATCCACGTCAATATCTTCGTAATAAGCAATGGCTTTATTTATGACGCTTGAGGCGAATATCCCGATCCTTCGCAAACGATGGTAGCGTCTGACTCGTTCTCTTGCAGGGCAAATTTAGCACCTGTCATTTGCTCTGCAACCCAAACTGCAGTTCTGTTGCATATTGTGTGAGAAAACGAAAATTGCGGGAATAGCTAGTTCAGCTTACCTCGTATGCATAGTGATTGGACCTGTCTTGATTGTGGACTTACCTTTTGCGAGAGCAAGAAAAATGATAATTTGGTCCTAAAAAGCGTCTGTAGCAGAAATAAAGATTATAAGCGAATTGAGACTGACCTGCAGGTATTCATCAACGCATCCCCCATGGGCAAGGTTCAAGAGTAGTTCTTCAGCAGCCCCCTGGCCAACTTCCTCGGGAGTTTTGGTTTTGGTGCTCACAGCACTACCACCGATAATGCATCCACCTTCTGTTTCGGCCCAAAGCACAATCCCACCGCCAGCTCCAAATGCGTCTCCTTCCTTCTCTCTAACAGAATCAATCTGAATGATGTCGGCAGGTATCCCACTAGAAACAAGTTTTTGATGCCCAGCTTCCTTCATTCGTTTTGCCAGACTTAATGGGAGTCCTCCTACACGAGCTTCGCCGCGAATAGCCGTCACTGCACCACGTTCTAGCAAAGAAATGGCAGGAAGAGGGCCACTCATTGGAGAGATGGAACAATATACATTTCCACCACCTTTCGGGAAATACCCTCGTGTGTTTATCTTCAGGGAAACATCCAGTCCCATTTTCTTTCGCATGAAGGGAAGAAATACATGCTGAATATAATCCACTTGAGGAGCTTGTGTAGCATTTGTTCCTCCTCGCAGGACCAATGATGAAGGTTCCGATGTATTACTGGAAAATAGTAGGCAAGGGAGGGAAACTTGCAGGAGCAGCGTTGTTGATGCGGCCGTACCCGGGTCAGCAGAAAACGTACTGGGTAGATGAACGGTCCCTGGCTTGAAGCCAACAGTGGTTGACGCAACTGCAACGCCAGTAGTGTCAGCTGAACATATTTCAGCTGCAAGCTTTATGCCTACGAAACGAACAATCACCCGGTCAGATAGGACTGAAAATCAAACAAGGACGCAGAGGAACACACCTGCCTCGTGCTGTTTTCTGAGGCCTGGAGGTTTGCGATTGTGACGAACGTTGCAGATGGATACTGGTTTCGATAACAATGCAGATAATGTTACTGTGTTGCGGAGAAGCTGACCACCTCCTTCGCAGAAGCTTCCATCGATGAGCAAGCTCTGAATAACTTTTGTCGCCATGGTTTCCCTTGAAAGAACTTACACGATCCAACAACAGACTGAAGCTTTGCGCTCAGCGGAATTTAAGTTGAATATGCTGTGACTCGAACGATGAGTTATGACTTTGAATACATCGTATTGTTGAAATGTCAACTTGAAACTCCTGGCTGTCGATTCCTGGCGCTGCGTCACAATTCGATGACATAGGTGTGGAAATAAGGTATATCGTGATGTCTGTAGCAGTTTATACTGTGGTCCGACTCGGATTGGCTTCAAGTTCTCATTGACTAATGTCCCAGCAGTTTACATCAAAAAAACGATGAACAGTATCTGAAAATCTAAAACATATTACCTACGCGTAACGATACAGGATACACTCAAGCAATGCAATGATAAAATAAAGGAATGGTCGGGTATTAAGTTGTAAGGTTCCTCCTATGAAGATGATCGAGAAATGTGCAGTGAAATGGTTGGTAGAGTCGTCGGTCACCGACGTAACGTTGGGCCCAGCTAAATGAAACATGAGTGCGCGGAAAAGATGAGACAGGTTGACTGCTTACGTTTTTGCGTTGTTGGCCAAGCCAGCTGGTAGGGGCTGCCCGAGCATGCGACGCTGGAGCACCCATTGGATTGCGCAATCTTTCCATACCGAGTCTATGGAGAGCACTGAGCACCAACTCATACTCTCTGCGATAACGCTGTGTAGACTCAGCGTGAAGACGCTGCACGTATGACGAACTGAGTAAGCACGGAACAACCGATCAATAAGTTAAGCTAACCTTCTGTCGAACCACTTCTTCTTCGAGTACTTTGATTTGGGAACGGAAACTAGCTTCTGCCTCCTCAAACAAGCCCTATATTATGGATCTAGTGAGGTTCAATCGCAAAATTAAAGCTGAAGTTACTAACTGGCGAAGACCCTGCTACCTTTGCATGCTCTTCTTTGAACAATTTGTCCTGCGACTTGATAAACTGGAAATAAAAAATTAAACAGTCAGTATAAATATTGCAAAGAACCCCTGGAGCGACATCGCGTACCGATTTAGCTTTTAGCAGTTTTTCTTGGGCGGTTTTGTATGATTCTTTGAGGTTTACGTTTTCTTCGTGTAACGCAAGAAGTCTAGCTTTGATATCTTCAGGCATATCTCTTCCTGATAGCGAGGCACGTAGGTCACTTTGTATAACAAAAGACTTGAGTATTACGATAGCCTGAAGATGGTATGAGCTTACCCAAAATCTCGCTCACGCTGAAGCATTTTCTCTCTTTGGCCGATGCCCTCACTTTGTAGATTGACCTTCTCCAACAACAATGCATTGACCTGTTCAAGTTGCATTCTATTCTTTTCATTAAGTTCCTTGATTTGATTTTTGAGACGATCCATATCAGCCTCGAGGCCAACTTTGTCTTCATTAACCGATTCTCGCAAGGTAGATAGGATGTCAAGTTGGTCCTTGTTCACGAGATTGACTTTCATGTACATGAATAAGCCAGAGTAGTAACCAGTTGTCTAACAGATGACTTACGATCAGACTTGGCAATAGTCAGTTCCTTACTCTGAGCATCGAACCTGACCTCAAGCTCGGCATGTTCTTTTCGAAGAGTATCCAGCTGATCCACAGTTTCGTTTAACCGCTGGCGAAGGGCGATTGCAGCCTCGGCTCTGGAGCAGTAGTCATAAGCAATCGTGCTTTTCTGATCAGTGAAAGCGCGTATACCCATCACCCATTGACTTCCCGCTTCGGATCTCCTCCAAGTCCCTTTGAAGAACTAGCTTTTCTCGATGGGAAACAAGGTAGTCGCTTTCGTAGCGTGATTTCATCCGGTTTGCATCGTCCAACAGATTTTCAAGCACAAGCATCCGACTGGCATCAGCCTCGTTCTTCTTGACGGCCTCCAGCTCGCGCTTAAGCTTTCTAATTTGGATCTTGAGATCAGTCGTGGTGGTCCCAGTTAGGGCATCATCAAGCTCGCTGCGGAGACCGTGGGCTTCACCATCATCGTCATCCATCTGTTCTACATCCGTAGGGTCATCTGTACTGCTTTGAACTTCGCCGTTGGCTGCACTACGTGGGGTCGGTCTATGGGATGTCAACTCTAGTTCGCGCACTCGCTCTTGATATAGTTCAAGGGTCTCTGAGTCCTTCTCACGTTCTTCGGTGGTAATTTTTAGCTTCGTTCGCACTTGATCCAGCTCAAACTTTGCAGTTTCTAATTCTTGAGTACGCGTAGAAACTTTCCCTTCCAGATCGGAGATTTGATTCTTATAGGACTCCATTAACGGTTTGAACGCTGCGACCTTACGATATTCTTCCTCCAAAGAGGCGTTTTTGTCGACAAGATTTGCATTTTGTTTTTCAAGTGACTGCAACCGGCAAACCGTCAATATGTTTAGCTTGCATCAAGCGAGTGACACACTTTGACATGCTGCCGAAGATCAGCGCCTTCCTGGAGTTTCTTCTTGTATTTCTCCATGACGTTCTCGGTTTTCTGCAGCTTGTCTGCAGCATGGCGGTACCTTGCCGTATGATTAGTTTATGCAAGTCGTATAGTTCAGAAACATACTCGTCCACTTGGTCTTTCAACCGCCCGGCCTCATCAGCTTTTACTTGCAATTCGTCGACTCTTCTCGTTAGATCTGTTACAAGTGAAGTATGTTTGTCAAGCTCTCCTTCGGCCATTGCCAAGTTGTCTTCGCTCTTCTGACTGAAATTTCAGATAATTAAATATAAATTGGATATAGATGAACAGGTAAAGTTACTCACAGCTCGGTCCTCAATCGATCAATTTCTGCTCGCATCATAACATCAGCCTTGTCGTTCCGTCTGTTGTCGATATCCCTTTGAGCTTCTCGTAGGCGCGAGAAGGCATCATCTTTCTCCAAAACGACGTCGTCGTAAGTGGTTTGTAAAGTACGATGTTCTTCCAGCAAAGTTTGATACACTTTTTCCAGCGTTTCTTTCTCCGAAAGTATCTGACTTCGTTCTGACTGAATTCGATAATAATGATCGTCCCTAACATTAACATCAGAAATTAGTAATCACTTGTGGGCTGAGACAACTTACTCAGTCATACTAACTTCTCCAACTCCTCTGTCATCTTGAGGTGAGCTGATTTTGATCATGACCTACAACAATGTAAATAGTTAGAATCGGCCTCTTCAAGTAAGCTTTCTATGTCTGACCTGTTCAATGGCCTTCATCAGATAGTGCTGATCAGTCTCACTAAGACGCTGTATCTTCTCGATGATCTCCTTGTTCTTCTCGCACTGCACCGCGATAGCGATAGTAATGCGACACATGATTAATGTAGCAGCGACATTGAAATCCTTTGCGATGGCTTGCAAATCTGGGACATCCAGACCACTTGTTGGTTTCTGGAGAACATCCGCGAAGTACTGTGTCATTAACCTATAGAGCCGTTTTAGTGCACTGAAGCGCAAGACCCAGTTGTCCGAGAGCTGTGATGAAGGTCGACTAGGTTGCCTGAAGTAATCCACATCTCTGTCACAAGAAGTAAGCCTCGCAAGGCCTGAAGCGAGCAATATTATTGTACATTTACTTACACGAGAGCCAATACTTCGAAGAGAGCAGCACCATCACTGAGGTCAGAAACGGTAGTAACTGGCCTGGCCAGCTCAAACGTCGCGAAGAAAGAAAAGAACGCATCGATTTCTTGCCTCTGAAAGTCGGTCATTGATATTCCTCAAATCGCTGGCAAAGAGAGATACGAAAGGAAAGCCAGCTCCTCGTGCCTTGGTGTAATGGCCGTGTTTTGGACGGGGAATGCGTGCCCAATGGCAACCAGCATACGCCTGTAAAAGATATGGCGCTTATGTAATGTATTGATGTTCAGGGGAAATATTGTACATGAATGGCCAAACGCTGTAGCCATAAACCGAAAAGTAGGATGTAAATGAGCAGTCCAGTATGCTACACGGTCTTATCACCCTCTATACACCCGCGAAAGAGCAGAGGCAGTCAAGAACAAAACAACTGCGAAGACATAGAAAACCCTTCCTTCCTTCGATGGATCACCCGAAGCGAGCAGATTACGAACAGGAAGAAAGAGTAAACCGACGATAAAATTGGCGACCCCTGGGACAGATTGAGACCAAATCACACGGACATGAATGATGGACTCACAGTTCAGAGACAAGCCTACAGACGACACGGCGGAAACAGCCTGAGTGGGTGGTTGATAGTGAACAAACATGGGGACGCAGGGGAAGGACATAAAACACGAACATGAGCAGGTGCAACCTCAGGAATGATAACAAATGGAATAGGACCAAGACCGATAGCGAACGACCTATGGAATCATTGAACGCCTAGTCAAACGCAATATATAAGAGGTGACTTACATGACGAATGTGATGATGGCAACACTCGACAATGCGACAAGCCCTGAGTTTAATCCTAGACCGACAACTGCATGCGAGAGTATTGCCCCAGCAACAGACATCTGGAAAAGTTGCTTTCTCCCAACACGCTAGTACAAATCTTTAATCAATATCGACGATAAATGAGTCTGGATTTTTTTGTACCTCAATGAGAAAGATTGGAGGAAAGGTCATCAAGGCATTCATGACGGTTATTCCCAAGGAAACATATGGCCCAACCTCAGGTAACGACTTAGAGAGTATATCGTTGCTGTAATATAAAACTGACGGCGACTCAACATGCATTTATACAGAAAGCTGACCACACGTTACCTGCATTGATGCCTAGTGCAGTAAGCTGATCAGAAGTAGTTGAGGTCTCAAGAAATTTATGCGACACGAACCGGATAATTGCTGGGTGAGCATAGCGAATACAATGATAAGCAGTGGTCTGCGGAGCTCCGGAGTTACGAGAAGACGAGGTACAGTCACAGCAGTTTCATGATGGCCTTCCTCATGATCATCGGTATTTGATAATAAAGGCTGTTCACTGTCATTTCTCTCGGCTGCAATTTCTTGTAAGTATATTTGCAAGATGCAGTAAACTGATACTTACGGTCTGGGCGAAGAGTACTTCTGCTAGTTCCCCAAATCCTTCCGATAGCTAACTTCTGTTCATCTATGAGACCCTGTCTATTCAAATAAACAGGAGACTCGACTACGAAGGGGCTGGAGAATAATTGAATAGCGGATAGGGCACAAGATATTAACAGCACATATCGCCATTGTGTTGAAGTTGCAAGACGTAGTCCCAACGCCTGTGTGAACATGATACCAATGACTATGGCTAATTGGGTGAGAACCCCTAAAGGTAACATAAATTTTATTAACAGATCGACTCATTTCTCGAGACATGTACTGTGCACACGCACCTATGTTTCCCTTGAGCTTAGAAGGGGCAATCTCAGAAAGGTAAATGGGGCCCACGCAAAGACCTATACCAGCCCCTGCTCCAACCAGAAATCTGTGATATCAAGTAAGTCAGTCTTAGTTACTTGTGGGAGTCGTTTAATTAGCACCTTCCCAGTATTAGGGGAGCTACGGAGGGGGATAGTCCCGACATACAGGCACCTGAGGCAGTGAGAACAGCACTCAGACGAGAAGCACCTTTCCTGCCCCAACGGTCCATTGCGATATTTGAAGAGAGACTGCCACAAAGCCCTCCGATAGTGAAAATAGCCGTCACGACTGAAAACGCAGTATCCGACATAGGAATGCAAGTGGGCAGCCCGTGATGGAAGGGTGTATTTTCGTCATATTCACGACATGTCAAAACGGCTTGAATTTGATTGAGAGCGGAGGTATGATAACCATACTTTCGAAAAGAGTGATGACGATATAGCTAAATGGACAAGGGAAGGGAGTAACTACCTGAAATGACACGACAAGGACCCAAAAACAAACCGACCAGCCATATTTTGTGAAAGACTGGTTATCGTGCTGAGCAACCACCATTTCCAAGAAATTAAAATTGCTGGATGTGCCCAGACTTTTGAGCTAACAATGTGCTAGGGAACGTAGGTTGGAAGGAGGATGCTACCCGCGCACACAGGGCCGACAGGCCGCCACGACGGACCTGGTGTTACCAAATCTGGCCATGCTCCGGCACTGATCCAAACACCACTGAATACATAAAATTTTGATGAATGCTGATACATCACTGAAGTGTAAAGAGTAACCAATCAGAGCTAGATATTCCACTGTGTCAGCAAGGTGGCAGCCTTGCAGCATTGGTGGTTGGTTTCTGGAGGCGCTTCAGTCATCAAAAATCAAATTTTGTAAACAAGGTCGCCCCTTTGATTTTTTCAATGAGGTTGGTGTCGATGATGAGAATATTGAAATATGAGATGCCACCAGCTAGCATATGTGAGACATGACCGTTGAGAGCTTGTCATTCAACTACCTAAAGCAGACATTTGTGGCCAACTAAGTGGCTGTGCTACTGTATCGTACTGTAAGTGTCTATGTATGGAAATCAACTTCCAACACACCCCCTCATTTATGGACGTGAGTCTCATTCCCACTCCCTCGCGCTCACACTATCTTGCCATTGATGGACTGGTGCATTTGCATTTGCAGGTGTGCGGCCATTTGTTGCTGGCAATGTGCTGAGTGTGGGAATTGTGTGATGTACGAGTGTATGCGGCTAGGACAGGGTGCTGCTAGCAGCCATTTGCGTTGGTGAGTCCTCATTTGAGTTGGCTCACCCCCTTGCTCGTGGCAGTCTTATTTTGGACTTTTGCTCAGCCGTTATGCACACCTGTATTTGCTGTTTGTAGTTCACATGTTTTTGCATTCATAGATGCGGCGACATTGGCAGCTGGTGTGGTGTTGAGTGGCATAGCAAGTTGGGTGCGGGATTTGGCTGGCCGCTGCTTGTGCTTGCATTTGCATGTGGGCTTGTCACCGCTTTTGAGCGGCTCTACGGTTTTCTCCAGGTACTGGAGCTGCGTGTCCTACGGCTATTGTGGATGGTGGTTCAGGCTTGCACTTGAGTACATCTGGATGGGGCGAGTGAAGTGCTGTGTGGCTTCGCTGCCCCTTCTCTTATCTCACCTCATCTCCTTCGCCTGTATTTGTTATGATAACACATTTTTGGACCTTTAATTTTCATTCTCCTCTTTAACCTTTTACTGTAGTTTTCTCACATTGTGCCATGCGGCACTTTTCCTTTTGTTCAAACTCCTCTTTCTTGCGCTGCACTGCCCTTCTTCTTATCTTAGCTACAAGTCTCTCACATAGTAGAGCTGGTCACACAGGCTAGGCCCCATGACATCATCAACCACTGCCTCTATCAACTGTACAGTACACATGTACAAACAAACCTGTAGTAGTATATATAGACCAGTAGATCAAGGAGACTCCTCAGCGAGTCCTCCTGTTGTATCCTCACAACTAACTTGTTGAAGCCCAAAGGGTAACCACTCCCTCATCATCCTCTCTATAGCTTGTCTGAGTTGTGCGCCAGAGTAACAAACTCTTGGTTGTTACAGTATTCCCCTCTTGCTCATGTTGACCTGCCATGAATGGATCTTGCCCGCTTGCACTTGCAAATGTGTGGCTGTCGATGGCTGGTGGAGGTGTTGAGAGTGCGGGAATGGGGGTGATGGCCGTGGTAGTGCAATATTTGCATGTGTTTGGGCTTGGTTACATTTGCGTACACAGTGCAGAGTGCTGGGCCTTGCATGTACTTGCGTATGGGCTTGTCGCCACTTTCTCACAGCTTCATTGCCTCGCTGCTGACTCGCTTCTCTGCCTCCTTCTCTACTCCCTTGCCGTTTTATTCCTCTCCTCCCTTCTCTGCCTCTGCTTCTCTCTCCTCCAATGTTCTTGGCTCGTAGGAGTTTGCAAAGAGGCGCAGGTTGTCAGTTTTTGAGCGTGGGAATGGTGGTTGCAGGGTGGTGTGAAGGCCGTGGCTGTTTGGTTGAGTGGTTGCATTTTGCGCTTGCGGCGCAGTGTCGAGCCTCGAGTGGCCAGGTGTTTGACACTAGGTACATTGTCTTCAGCTGTGGCATTTTGCTGACTCGTTTCCTCTCTGTAAGAGCTTTGGGGCACTGGTGAAGGTGCATCAACAATTTCTAGGTCATTTGACAAGTTTGTTAGGTGATGTGATTTGGATGGATGGAATGGACAGATGTTGGATGACATTGGACACTTCATGTGCATTATTTCATTGTGGTATCTAGCTGACTTGTATAATCTCATGCAGGCACTTGCAATGTGACTGATGGTGGATAAATGGCATTGATAGCCTTATGCAGCTTTGTATACACTTCTCCTGGGCAATTTGTGTGCATCTGGGGGCTAATTTGCAGGTATTCTGGTTCGCAGTGGAGCGAATGTGATATGATGTGGCAGTGCAGTGTGTACCTCAGCAAAGAGGTCGCTTTTGAGTGACTGCCAGTTCAGAATGTCAGTCAATAGAATGGATGTATACTAGCTAGTAGGATCTGGCGCGAGCCAGGGCTCATAACATATTGAAATATAAGATGCTACCAGCTAGCATATGTGAGACATGACCATTGAGAGCTTGTCATTCAACTACCTAAAGCAGACATTTGTGGCCAACTAAGTGGCTGTGCTACTGTATCGTACTGTAAGTGTCTATGTATGGAAATTAACTTCCAACAGAGAACTGTTGTTAGAAAACCACACACAAAAACAAACAAACACGCAATCCTCCCAGATTCCACAGAACTTGTTTATGGGCTTTGCCTCCTAGAAAAGTGGGTGGTCTGGTTGTTGTGGGGTGGTACATATGATGATCCTTCAAAGTAAAACCCAGAGATGTATGGGTGTGGGTTTTGAGGAGGAGGGATAGTTGGAAGATAGATGATAGGGGCATTGTGACGAGTATGGACAAGCACTACCTTGCTAATCATAGCACAAGGTAGGTTTGAGAACGACGAGGTGATGAGGTTCCCAGTGATAGCAGGCTCCTGACGCACAGACTGTAGTGCTCAGAAGGACTCTAATTGAAAGGGATAACAATAACTTCAAAAGGGACGAGTGATGATATAGCAGTTAACAGTAGTAGCAGTGGGAAGTGTTGTGACCACACTGGATCACAAGTAGCAGTGAACAGTAGACTTGAGATTAGAGAAGAAGTCTGGATTATATTTCTTTTGTTTTTGTTTTTACAAGGTAAAATACAGGGGTTTATATAGTAAAAAAAAGGTAGGCTATGCACCAGTATAGCTGTGCAAAAAGAATGAGAAAGAACATGAAGGAAAGAATGTACGCTGACAAATCCTATGTAGGTAGTACAGGATAAGATCATCAAAATAAGGAAAAGAAAGGGATAGAATAATGAAAGCTGTGTAAGTAATGTCATAGGTTTGTACAGCCATAAAATAAAGTCCAATAGCAGAAAGAGAGCAAGAAGATCATAATGTCATGGGAAGATGCAGTAAAAAAAGCAAGGCAAAAATAACTTCAGTATGAAGACAGTTCCTTTGATGTCAGTCAGGCACTCTAAAAAAATGTGTCCATATGTTACAATACACAAATCAAATTTTTGGACTAATTTCATTCTCCTCTTTAACTTTCTTCTGTAGTTTTCACACGCTGTGCCATGCGGCACTTTCTATTTTGTTCAAACTCCACCTTCTTGCGCTGCACTGCATTTTCTTATTTTTAGCTACAAGTATCGCATGCAGAGGAGCTGGTCACACGGGCTGTGCCCCATGACATCATCAGCCACTGCCTCCATTAACAGTATAGTACATATGTACAAATAACCTGTAGTAGTATATATACCCCAATAGATCAAGGAGACTCCTCAGCAAGTCCTCCTGTTGTTTACCCACAACTAACTCGGTCCTATCCTAAGAGGTGAGAGCGACTTGATTGCCTAATACAGGTGGGTTCTGATCAGCCACAAGTTTGAAAAAGGCAATATTAATTACTATTCCACGTGGCACTGTGCCTGTGTGGTGCACATCAGGAAAAACGGGGGTAGCTATATAGGGCTTTATAGCACTATAAGTACTCATAAAGCTGTCATAATGGTCAAACCTGCTATAGAATCTCTGCCATCTATAGAGCCTCATATAGCTCTATAAATGCTCTTATAGATGTTGGAAATTGTTGTGTGGCTGATAAAAAATAATTAACACAAACAGGATTTGAACTCTCAACCTGATAGTCCGCTCTTGGGTGACTAAACAACCTATAGCCACACATCACATTTATCCACTACACCATGAGAGCTTACAAAATGTATTATACAGGTGCTATATATTGACTTTTCACGGACTCAATAAGAGAGGGAACTTGCCATACTAATGTTGGTAGACACTAGAAGAGGACTCGCTGAGTCCTTCCCCATGTATTGCTCCTGTGTATATACTAAAATACACGAGGTACTGTACAGTTGTAAATAAAGTTTAAAGTCTGATGTCTAGCATGTGACCGGTCACATGATTGGTCATGTGACTATGAAAAGTCCGAAAATGTAAAGTTAAGTAAACAGTCACATGATCAGTCATGTGACTTGAAAAATGAAAAGTAAAAGTACAAAAAGTGAAGCGTAAGTAGGTGCTGGTATGTCAATTGTAACACAACGAGCGACCAATGATTTAATAGTGGATGATGGCAGATGATGACATGAAGATGGACCTGTTGCCCAATTTGGACCGGCCACTGGGGCTTTGCTGAAATCAGCAGTGGCATGTTGTCTGAACCGTGGCCTCTTTGGAGTAGCTGTTATGGCTTAGCTTGTGCGCTAGACCCTTTGACGGACCTTGGTCCCTAACTCGTTGGGAATGGATGGGAGAGAGTAGTGTTACAATTGACGTACCAGTACCTACTTACACTTCACTTTTTTGTACTTTTACTTTTTATTTTCCAAGTCACATGACCAGTCATGTGACTATTTACTTTACTTTACATTTTCGACTTTTCACAGTCACATGACTGGTCATGTGACACAACACCTGACCAATGTCTAGACTCATCATGTGACCGGTCACATGCTAGACAGACTTTAAACTTTATTTACAACTGTACAGTACCTTGTGTATTTTAGTATATATACAGGAGCAATACATGGGGAAGGACTCAGCGAGTCCTCCTGTTGTCTACCAACAACTAACTTGTTGAATCCTAATGGCTAACCACTCCCACCTCTTCCTCCTCTTTTGAGTGTTGTTTTTGTTGTGCTCCAGTGCCCCAAGACTGTGTCTTGTTGGTGTTGTCACAAGTAGAGGATGAAAGGGGAGCAGAGTAAAGACCCTTTGGAGAAGGACCGGAAGGCTTAGAAAGAGACTTGTAAAAGGCAATGGAATCTAGTTGAACTGCAGGAACAGAGTACAGGAGCTACAACTTATATATTGTTGGAGGAGTGGGGGCTTGTAAGACGTAACTCGCAATGTAGGTATGGAGTTTCATGCAGATAATTATCTAGCGAGAGGAGAACATATGTGCAAGGAGTGTATCATAAGGTCTAACTACAGAGTCTGTGAGGAATACTAGAACATGCAAGGAGAAATGTATGGCGGACTAGAAGCCCAGTGCAGGAGCATTGGAGCAGATGACCGGAGTGCCATGTGGAAATGGGGTGTAGACTTATGCTGACTGGCAGACCATGAGGGATGTAATCCCGAGTATGTTGATGGTTTGGGGGTTTCGAGCTTGGAGAAAAACTCCTTCGGAGATGCCGGAGTTCTGTTTTCCGGTACGGATATGACACCTGTCCATGCTACCAATCAACTTTGGTGCATGACACCAGTGCAGAGAAAAGGGGCATAGGAGTTTTGAATGCAAAGGCGCACAAGAAAAGAAGCCCATCTTTAATGTGAGAGAATTCCTCAAAAAGATGACAAAGGAGGAAAGAGAAAAAAATTTAGAGGGTTTTTAAAGGAGCCAGCGGTAGAGCATCAACCTGTTAGTATTATACATTCACATCTCTTATATCTTTCTTTCTACCTATGTTTGCAGACTTCATTCTATCTTGTCCGCTTTTCTAGCATTACCTAATACATAATTTTCCCACGGTTACACCAAAAACTCATAGATTTCCATTCTAGAGCCTCAGTCTTTTACACACAGACTGAGGTATGTTATTTCATTATAGTCACAACAACGTTTACTTACATCTACCACAGCATTTAACATTATCCTTACAGAGTTTATATCAGCTATCACAACCAACTGAGCCCAAGAACAATGTTCAAAATTGCTTCCTCCCTTTATCTATAGAAGACTGTAGGTTACCCAATGGTTGTATAACAAATAAAACTATTGAAAATGCTCAGACAAAGAAGGAAAAGCAAATTGAACAAAGAGATGCAAACCAGAAAAAACTGGTAAAACAAAAAGAACGCACAACTGCAGCACAAGCAGCAGACAACTTACTGGAAAGTGCAGCAATGATGGCGGATCTGTACTCAATACAGTGCACTCTAAGGAAGAAAGCACAGTAGAGACTACTGAAGAGTGGTCAGGCACCCCTCTAAACACAAATATGACATGGATTTTGACCATTGCTCATGTGATCAGACTTCAGCACCTCAGAGAAGTAGATATGTAGCCTTCGGCATGGATATGACACACACACAAAAGTACTAGTAAGTATCCATTAATTTGGACTCTTTCTGTTTCACTTTGAATGACAGAAGGAACATCCATGTACACCCATACTACTTAGTCCAAGATCAACCCTAAGAGTTTAACGTTTAACTACCAAGATGGTAAGACCAAAGTCTATGAATCTATATTATAGTCACGTTCAACATATATGAAGTTTATTGTTGTTTCGTGGTATCTGTCAAACCTGGGACATTCTAAGTTACAGTTACATCACAGGTTCATTCTAAGGAAATCCACTGATTCGCTGCCAAGCTCACATTGTTGATGGACCCATGGTTTTGAAGGGTTACTGACTGATCACCAACAAAGGCTATACTGAATTTGTTTCGATGGAATGGTCAATTATGACACCCTCGTGCTGTACTGCGTGATGCAGTTCATCGCCTGCAGGTACTACAAACTTCTGATGGAACTAATTCTCATATCACCGCATTTCTTTCAATGACTATGCAATCATACCTTTGAAGTTGGGCTCAAAAGAACATGGCGCGCAACTACTTAGTACCAAATTTCTTATGCTTTGTTAGAGGAAGGCCTCCAAGTGATCAGAACGTCGTAATACATTGAATCGCCGTGTTCATGAGTTGTTGAATGAACTCTCGTCAAGTGATGTGATGTGAGTCTAAATCAAGTTGTTAACTGTTACGTGAAAGCTTGTTGCGCCACCAGAATTGAAGCGGAGCCTTAAGACCGCCACCGTGGTCCCGCGCGTCGTTCATGCATCCAGCTGCCACCGACCTCGCTGTTGGAGTCGGCCTACGTGTTTCTTTCCAAATTCCCCCCCATTCATCCTCCAAAACGGCTTCTGGTGGTGGAAGTGTCGCAAGGCGCCCGGAGACTTCAAGCAGGTCTTCGGCAATGGACAACCCTCCAAACGCCAATATACACACCATAGTCAAGGCCCAAATCGTCTTTCTCCTCTCGACCCTTACAGAGGACAATTTCGAGAGAAATCAGATAGAAATTCGCTCGGTAAGTGTCCCTTCTGTTAGGCAGCTTTTTCGTCCTAGTAGCGCTCAAATTTTCACCCCTTTACCCAGCTATCTGAGCAGCACGGCCTTGATACCTACCTCCATTTTATCCGACGTCTTATCGTTCACTCACAGTCTCGACTTGTCTCGTCTGCTCCCCCTTTAGCGTTCGACACGTCTACTTCCCTGACGTTTCGTCTCCTTGTTCAAGAAACACAGCGTCTCGCTCGTGACCCTTTTCTTGCAGACCGTTTCCGTGACGGGGTCGACAAGGGCGAAGGGGACATATTTCGGCACTTTGATCTCGTCCGATTCTCTGATAGAGTGGGCCTGCGTCCTCTCGAACGTCTAGTCCTAGCTTCCTCCATCATCTCCTCAGCAAGTCGAAAAGAGTTGGCAGGTCAGGCAGCAACAATTATTCGTCAAGATTTCGAGAACGCAGTTTTATCTCTTTGCCAACATCCGTCTTTTGACCACGCAGACCTTTCTCCCCAACAAGTTGCAAAACTCATGTTAAATTTATTATCCGACTCCCCTAGTGATTCTCCTACCCTTGACGCAAATCAACGTCAGGCCTTGATTGCTGCTGCACAAGCGAAATATGGCCCAGAAATCGTTGCTCCAATTTTACAAAGAATTTTCCCGACTCTCAGGTGAACATTTACGGCTTATCTTTGTCCTCGTTGCTTACATGCTTTTTTCGTGCAGTTTACCACCTGGCGCCTCTCTTGTGCAGACTTTAATCCAGCTTGGCCCGGACATTACAAGTGATGCAGACACTATTCGTGCATTGCTCTTGCGGTTTGGGATATCAGATGCTACGCCTCCTCGTGATTCCCAAGTTATAGAGTTGATCACAAGTTTAGCTCGTCTGGCTGCCGAAGGAACCACCCTATGTGATGTTGGTGCCTTAGTGCGTGCTCTGAGCAGTTTTGTAAGTGCTTTTGTAAAAAGATACATTGCTAGTTTACTGACAAGTATCTCTTTAGCCTGTGAATCTCAATTGGGCAAACGTCATCAAGGCATTCGATTGGCCAGATCGTCATGGCGTTGATACGGCGACTCTCAAATTATTAATCGCTATTCTCGTCAATTGCCCTCGCGAGGCTGACCCCCACGCTGTTACCGGGTTCTGGGGAACGTGGTCAAATTCTTTGTACCAGTTAAAATTACTCGACGCGCTACTCTCCTTACCTGCGGATACCTTCAGTTTCGTCTCTTTGCCCGGGCGCCGCATCGTTACCGTTGATGATATGGCCAATGCTAGCCCCACAATAAAATCCTTGGCTGCGAATGTTCAGGGACATACCTGGAATTCCGTGGAACTTTTTGAGGTTTTAGTTCGGCAGTCGTGCTCAGAAAGCATTGACATAAAGAATTGCGTGCAAGAAATGTTGGATAAGGCGCTGAAGATTAGTGCTGAACTGGTGCATATGGGACTATTGGAGGTCAAAGTTCGTGTTTTTCATTTGATTTTTTGCATGTCATTTGTACTGAGCTATCAAACAGGACCCGAGATGGAGCGAGATACGCATAGAGTGTTCCCAGAAGCTGTTGAATATGTTCCTTGCTGGCCACCCTAATCATCAACTGGTTTTCATGCGTTTGTGGCAAATTGAGCCATCATATCTTACCGATGCATTCCGCGACTTCTACGAGGAAAGCCCGCTTAATATTACCAGAATTTTGGACGTGGCGCAAGATTTAAAGGTATGTTCGCCACATGGCTCTTTCTCATGGCACATCCTCATGTTGGTGATGTCAGATTCTCGAAAATCTACTGGAAGTTCGCCCATTCACGTTCTCGTTGGATGTGGCTGCGTTGGCATCTCGTAGGGAATATTTGAATCTGGATAAATGGTTGCTGGATAATGTAAACAACCACGGGGCAGAATTCCTTCACGCAGCTATCCTCTTCCTAGAGATTAAGATGGACGCAGAGAAAGCAGCCCGAGTTTCTGACCCTGCCACAGAAAGCCGCACCATGTCCCTTAACCCTCAAATTATCGCTGTCTTCCTCCGCTTGCTTAGACATAAGTACGTTCATTTCCCTTAAACATCAGAGGCGATTTAACGAAATGTGTCCCCAGTTCGGCCAAGATGTCTCGAGAAGATATTGACTATTGTCTTGATGTCCGCAACACATGCCTGCAGGTGTACCCTCGATTAATGAGCCTGACCCCAGGCTCTGATGCAGAACCAGGGCTCACTGTGGTCAACTACTCTCCTGAAATCGAGGCCGAGGTGGATGCAATCTACAAGCAGATGTATGACGAACAGACCACCATCGATGAGGTTGTATCCTTGCTGCAGCGCAGCAAAGCATCGACCGATTCTAGAGACCACGAAATATTTTCATGCATGCTTCACTTTCTTTTCGACGAATACAAATTTTTTCAATCGTACTACCCGCCACGCGAGCTTGCTATGACCGGTTACTTATTCGGGTCTTTAATTCAACACCAGCTCGTGGATTACCTTCCCCTTGGTATCGCTATCCGCTACGTGGTGGATGCATTGAATTGCCCCCCGGAAACCAATCTGTTTAAATTTGGTCTTCAAGCGCTATCACGGTTTGAATCACGTTTGTCTGAATGGCAGCCCCTGTGCCAGGCGCTCCTTAGGATCCCCCACCTTATGGAGGCTCGTCCTGATCTCACGGCCGTCATACACCGTGCTATCGTTGCTGGTGGTGACGAGTCCCTTAGCAGTGCTGACATGCGCGGAATCACTGCAGGTTTAACTGCGGATCCCGCGCCTGTCTTCACAGCCATTCAACCAGACACACTCGAAGGTGAAATTATCGCCCCTCCGGAAGAGCTTTCCGATAAAATATTATTCATCGTAAACAATCTGGCGCCGAGCAACTTTGATTCCAAGCTTGCTGAAATGCAAGAGCATTTTGATGATGCATTTTCTCGGTGGTTTGCGAACTATCTCGTCGATCAGCGGGTCAGCACGGAGCCGAACAATCATCAGCTATACCTGCGATTCTTGGATGCACTGGATAAGCAGCCATTGGCCAAGCTAATCCTCCAGGAAACCTTTATTAAATCGGCTGCTCTGCTGAATAGTGAAAAGACAGCCCAAAACAGCTCGGAGCGTGCCACTCTGAAGAACGTTGGCGCATGGCTTGGCAGCATCACTCTCGCTCGCGACAAACCAATTATGCACAAAAATCTGTCTTTCAAAGACCTCCTCGTAGAAGGCTATGACAACGGTCGGCTCATCGTCTCCATCCCCTTCGTCTGCAAAACTCTCGAGCCATGTGCCAGGTCGAAAGTCTTCAAACCTCCCAACCCTTGGTTGATGGCTGTGATCAGTTTATTAGCGGAACTTTACCATTACGCCGACCTGAAGCTCAACCTGAAATTCGAGATCGAAGTACTTTGCAAAGGCCTTGACATCGATCTCGATGCCGTAGAAGCCACAACTGTGTTGCGAAACAGGCCTTCAGCAGATTCTCTGGCTGGTCCGCCGTTGCCAGAATATGTGGCTGACATCGATTCCATTCCTATGGGTGGTTACGATCCAGCTCAGGTGCACGGTGATCCCCAGGTTCTTGGTCTTGGACCAACTAGCCCGGCAGAATCACAGCGAGCGATAAGCGCTCATATAGAGGCCATCCTAGCAACCCTTGTGCACCATGTTGTTATCAATCCTCAGTTTCCATCCTTGCAGTCCAACCATAGTTTCAAGCGGGCAATACAACTTGCTGTCCACCATGCTGTCCGAGAGGTAAGATTCGGGCTCCTTTACTTTGGTTAATCCACATTACTAATAATGGTTTAACAACACAAGATTATTATGCCTGTGGTGGAGCGATCAGTGACGATTGCAGGAATCTCAACTCGTGAGCTTGTTGCTAAGGACTTTGCTACAGAAGCAAGCGAGGAGAAGTTGCGCAAAGCTGCTCATTTGATGGCTCAAAAGCTGGCTGGTAGTCTTGCGTTGGTCACGTGCAAAGAGCCTCTCAAAAGCAACCTCGGGACTCATATACGTTCATTCCTGGCTGAGCATGGCTTCAATGAGGTTGGTCTCCAAGCTCTCAGTCGATATATTCTGCTTATTGTCCTTATAGCAAATAGTACCAGAACACGTGATAGTTATTTTGGTGCAGGATAATCTAGATATTGCCTGCTCTGCGATAGAAAAGGCAGCGATGGAGCGCGCTATCTCTGATGTGGATGAGGGATTCGCGGCGTCGTACGATGTTCGTCGGCGTCATCACGAGGTCAGCGGTGTGGGTAACAAAGTCATGATTACTGGTGTGCTCAATGAAACGTTGCAGACTCGAAATCCGTCAGTGTTTTGGGATCCTGCAGCTCCTCCATCTAGCTTCTCGGGAAATCTTCCAGAACCGTTGCGCATCAAGTCTACTGGTCTGCAACCTCATCAAGCAGCAGTGTATGAGGACTTTGGTGAGCATTCTCAAGGGATTTCAACGTAACATTGCTGATGTCCTCTAGCTCTCGACTCAAAACGCCGCGTTGTAACCAGTCGACCTAGTTCTACGGTCTCTTATCGCAACGAACAAATGGGCGCGCTTTACTCAGCATCTCCGGCCCCGGATCACACTTTACACAATCCACCAGCTATGAACCATCAGGACGCCATGGAACGCTTCAGCGTGAGTCGCCCCACAAAGCGAAGTATAACTTATACTTATACTTCAATAGGTGTTGTTGAGAGATATGGAGGCCGTTGTTATGCAAGTACCAGTACAATCATTGGCCTCATTGCCGCCAAACCATGATATTCGCCATATGGTGCGGCAAATATTGTATCTCGCCTCGGAATCCCTCGACAGGCAGCGCACACCTCTCCTCATGTCCCAGAAGATTGTGCAGTTACTGTACAAGAGTTCATCTCAGCTTGGCAGAGAGATCTATGTCACCTTACTTGACCAGCTTTGCCATTCGTTTGAAGATGTTGCTAAAGAAGCCATCACGTGGTTGTTGTATGCTGAGGATGATGTGGGTATTTTCGTCTTGAGATTAGGATAATGCTAACGATTAGTTGTACATAGCGCAAACTTAATGTTCCCGTCACAGTGGCTCTACTTCGCAGCGGTCTTGTCAATATGTCCTTGCAAGATCAGCAACTGGCCACGAATATGTTCAAAGAGCCTCGCCCGACTTTACTCACTTTTGCAGCAAATCTTATTCGGGAATGTCTATCCAGTGAACCGCCTGTCGCTTCACAGAGCCAGTTTGCGTACTCTCTAGAAATACTCAATCAGCTTTCACAGGCCGGCAAAGTTAACGAAGAGTTTGTTTTCTTTAACTTCTGGTACCTTCATTTGCCTAACTATGTTCACAGGGTAACTGTGCTTCTGCAAGACTTGCGGGGTGTTCGGAGGCCCAGCACTTCTGTTCCTACGAGTGCCCTTCCGATCCGTCAATCTTCAGTAAAACCGGAAACGGAGCAACTCCGAGAAAAGCTGTTCATATGGTTCCAGCAATGGGTCGCCATCTTCCAGAGGTCTCATTCCCCGGAGAAGGCTTTCGTTCCTTTCATTACCCAACTTACAAAGCAGGGCATCCTCAAAGTCGAAGATGTCTCCTCTTTCTTCTTCCGCGTCTGCGCAGAGTCTAGCGTCAACAGCTATATTAAATGTGCATCAACGGGAGAGTACGAATATGCGTTCCAAGCCCTGGATGCGATGTCGAGGCTGATCGTCTACATCATCAAATACCACGGAGATGCCTCGGGCATAAACAACGATCAAGCCAAGGTTCACTACTTAACGAAAATACTTTCAATTTTTGTGCTTGTTCTTGCCAATATGCACGAGGAGCAAGGAGCGGTCTTCCAACAGAAACCATTCTTCAGGTTCTTTTCCAGCCTTATCAATGACTTGCATTCAATCGAAGCGCATCTGGGAACAGCTTACTTCCAGTTGTTGATTGCAATCAGGTATATCTCGAACCGCTTCAAACTAATGATCATTTTGCTAACTCCCATGATAGCGACACTTTTAGCTCACTGCAACCGACGTATTTCCCTGGGTTCTCCTTTTCTTGGATGTGCTTGATTTCTCACCGATTATTCATGCCTAAGTTACTTCTATCAGAGAACCGCGAGGTATGGATATTTACAACCATTCATTTATTCTACTCAATCGCTTTTGTAGGGATGGTCGGCATTCCATAAGCTTTTATTGTCGCTGTTCAAGTTCCTATCGCCTTTCCTTAAGGAGGCAGACCTTCAGGTGCCTTCCCGGGACTTGTACCGTGGTTCTTTACGCCTCCTTCTCGTGCTTCTTCACGACTTCCCCGAGTTCCTTAGTGAATACTACTTCACTCTTTGCGATGTTATTCCGCCCCGCTGCATTCAGCTCCGGAATATCATACTTAGTGCATTCCCTCCTGCCATCATTCTTCCCGACCCCCACTTGCGAAACATCAAATTCGACTCCATTCCTGAGATGGGACCCATACCACCCATTCTGTCCGATTTTGCTTCGGGTTTGAAAAATGGCGATTTGCGCAACTACCTCGATCAGTATCTCCTGAACCGTGGAACACCTTCATTCCTACCTTCGCTGAAAGAGCGTCTGCGGTTACCTGGTGGAGTGGAAGGTTCTTCCGAGTCCTACAACTTGTCGTTGATCAATTCGCTTGTGATGTACATCGGTGTATCTTCAGTTGCGCAAGCTAAAGCGAGGAGTGGCTCTTCCCTCTTCGTCGCGAGTGACCCCGGTGTTATCGCTTTACAGTATCTTGTTACTAATCTAGACGTTGAAGGTGAGCATTTACCGTGGTCTCCATATACTAATAGCTGACATTGTGCAGGGCAACATCATATCCTCAGTTCCATGGTTCTGCATCTTCGTTACCCCAATGCGCACACCCACTGGTTCAGCTCTTTGCTTCTCCATCTTTTCGTGGAAGTTAAGGATGAGCGCTTCAAAGAAGTCATGACTAGAGTTCTTTTGGAGCGTTTCATTGTTCATCGCCCTCACCCTTGGGGTGCATTAGTCACTTTCATCGAGCTGCTTCGTAACCCGAAGTACGAGTTCTGGCACAAAGAATTCATTCGCGTTGCGCCCGAGGTCACGTTGCTGCTAGAAAGCGTAAATAGTTCTCTCTAGTATTTTTTTAAAAAATTTCTCATTTTTTCTCTGTAGGTTGCGAGATCCATTTACCAACCGTAGATTCGCATTGTTATTGTCACTGCTATCTGTCGCAATTATCTTCTTCTTTCTACCTTGGGTTTTTTTCACCTGCACTGTATTGTAACAATATTCCACCCCATTCAAGTGTTGAAAAAGGTGTACAACGCGAACTTTGATGATATCAAGCTTCTGTAACGTTTGTCTATAAAAAGCTTTAAAAAAAGTCGTTTACACTACAGTACTTATGTACAACATCTTAGGTATCCATGTTAATTAACCCATGACATATGCTCGTTCCAAACCAATGAGTTCGAATTCTGTGCCGTTGAATGGGACCATGCCCATACACTGAAGGAACAGAAAGTACATCAACATCGACGATTGATAACCGGCTGAGAATTTCAAATTACTAACCCTGCGCCTTGAACACCTGCTGCTCCAGTTTGGTCTGCAGTCTTGTCTGCGACTATCCAATCAGGTACGGCAATTCCAGTGCGTATTGGCAAAATACGAGCTGCTCTTTCCAGACCTTCATGGTCGGTAGACATCAAGAATAGGGTGGTTCCAGATATGTGCGATGGATGCGGCTGTGTAAATAGAATACCTCCAAAACAAAATATCAGCATGGTTTCTCATCGTAGCTTGCAGTTACCTACCAGAAGAGGCTTTGTTAAATGTCTTATGACCGGTTAACACCCAGGAGTCAGAACTGAATTTGAAGCTACAGCCCACGGTTTCAATATACTTCTTCACAAAAGGAGATTGTGCACCGCCAACAACAACAATGTTGCCGCGCCCCAAACGTCCATCCTCGTATCTTTCCACTGCTTCGGAGCTGCAGATAATTTCAGCTGAGAGCTTGTGAAATTTCATTACATCATGTGCAATCCGTAAGGCTACCGAGAGTTCTGTCGAAGCTTGTTTAACGGGCACGATGATGATGATGTGACCTGCAGTATTCAATAATGCCTGCAGGCGACCAAAGTGCTGAAGGCGACCAGGATCGGTATCGGTGATCTAAGTTAAACCCAAAAGCAGCACAGATTAACATAACACTGCGCAGCGAGGTATTCATGAAAAGTACCTTCCACGAGTTTGAGGAGTAATGAAACCAGATTTTATCACTCAGGGTACGCGGGACCGTTAATAAACCCCCATTAACGTGAACCTCGGTGATATGGTTATCAGTCAGGGAAACCGACATAAGCTCTATATTAGAAGCTTCCAGTTGCACAGCGCCCTCGACTACAGTCACACGTAACCTGGCCATTCTAGAGGAATGACAACGTATGAGGAAAATAAATTTTGGGGTAAAAGACAGTTACTTACCGGCCAGGAACTTGTAGGCCAAGTATTTGCCATCCATGCAGGGAGCCACTTTCGGCTGGAATGGCAACGGTGAGGGTGAATGATTGCATATGCCGAAGATACTGCGATGTTTTGGATGCGGCAGACTCTAAGAAATCTCGGACTTGGTCGTTTTTGAAGATAGAAGGATACCAGTGTGGTTGGCCTGCGTCCTCGCGGTACCTAATGTATGGGAGACGCGTCTTTGGCTATTACCCCGTCAAGACAATGCGGGGTACATACGTTACATTGGCTGACGGCTTCCATGTTTTTAACACGCTCACTGCTTCTCGCGTGTGCCAAGTCGGAACGTTATCGTCATTTCCACTAAAGAAAGCAATCTATGATAATAAGGTCAACGGCTATTTGACGCAAAGCAGTTACTTGCCCGTGTATCGCCAAAACTGGCGTGTCCACAAGGTTTGACAAGAAGAGGTCATTATCATCAGGGGTAAGTGATGACTCGAGGATAGAACGCAACGAGGGATCGATATAATGTGCAGATCTACGATCATTGAGCTGCGCCGTCCTTTCTTGATACACGCAAAAAGATAGCCCACCTCGACATAGTCAGCGGCACATACGCTTGCGATTTGATATACCCAGCAGCAGGCACAACTACTCGAAAACGTCAGCGATATTTTAGGGAGATGGAAGATAAGGCAACATACCTCCCAATACTCTATCGGGATAACGAGAAGCGAGGAACCACGCCCCTTGTCCGCCATTCGAGTGGCCGATGAGCACCACTTTCATGTTATTTGGTATAGTCCAGTCTTTCAACCCCTCGTTGCTTGAAAGGATATGGTGCAATGCATTTATCGTCGCCCACGCGTCCTGTGCACTTGGACCATGCCAATCAAGGCCCTATAGATGTTCAACGCGGTACATCAAAAACCGGATTTGTGCCGAGGATGCTTAAATTTACCCAAGAAGTGCGGCCAGTGGGCATAATAATCCAACTATGACCTTGGCGGGGCAAGGAGTCCGGCCAGAAAGTGTGTTCAAAGATATCAACACCCGCGCCATCTATTCGGATAGTAAGAACAAGTAGTATACTACAAAGAGGGTGCACGCACGAAGAGCCAGTATTGGAGCGCGTGCACTTCCGGAATCTAGATTTGGTTGCTTAGGGGGAAGAGCCAAGAACGCAGTAGGCATGGATTCCACAAAGAAGTACGTCGCTTTGATAGCCTCATAATGAGTTGGCGTCCATTGCACATGGTGTTTGATAGGTAAGGTGAGCGAAATCACAAAGGACGTTGATTCCGAGACGACGGTGAGATCAATTGGGAGTTCCGTGAGCTTCGTATTTTTCGTCTGGGATATGTGAATGGGAATTATGCCAGTTTGCGTGGGCGCTATATGAGCGACTTGTATCAAGCTAAGTACAATATCTTGCTCGAGTTGTTTATCTTGGTGCTGCCTCAAAGTGGCCGAGGTAACAGCCCACCAGCCGTCGATGCTACGCAGTCCAACACCGATAGCATCACCGAATGCCATTCCGTCTACAAAGTCGCATACAACGTCTTGCATTGGTTCCCGAACGATCGAAGAGATGGCAGGCTCGATTTCGACATGGAAGTTGATGCTGAGAATTGGAATCTTGCTATTATATGCTGTTGGGTCTCCGAATAGTCTTATCTGGGAAACAATAATTAAAACCAGAGTCTGATGGAGTTTAAAAAAAATAGAATAAGACCAACCTCGTAATCTCCACTAATGTATACGTCGTAATCTGTTGGGCTGGTTGTTGATGGCGGGAATGGCAAGGTCACAGTTTGAAGAGGAGATCGCTCCAACGCATATATGTTCCCAGAATACCACTCTGGAATTATCTTGGGTGAATCGTCATCACGGTCCTTTGCGCTGGGCACGATCGCGAAGTACGAGCCTTGTAAGAGCTCTACACGCAAACGAGGAGGAGCGAGTGATACTTCACGACGAGATGGAGGGAACACGGTGATCGTTGTCCGCAACACGCTGTGATGTTGTAAACCTGCCCATCCTTCTGTTGCGCGGATGCTTTCCCATCTGCAGTCTCATAAGCACTTTGACAGGTTGCAATAATTCGATGAATAACACCTGATACGAGGGTAGGAAACCTTGATATTTCCATAGTTATCTGAGTTATATTTACTCCACGAAACGTTTCCTCCGTCAGCGTAGGAAGACGGCCAGGTTCTGTTGAAATCTATAGTCCTGGACACTGACCGGTGCTTTATAGGATCTGAAAAGTGACATATTCAAAACCTAATCTTACAATCTAGTGGAAAAGAGGGAGACAAAAAGTGTTGCTCTCTGGCTTGGATAGGAAAAGGTCCAAGCACCTGAATAATGTATATGTTTAGGGTGATTAGAAATTGATAAATAAGACCAGTCGAGTAACTCACATCCCACGACGTCGACACATCAGCTCTCCATTGTGCATTAGGAGCGATATGCCCCTCATCAGTGCTGACATGAGTGAGCCTCGACATGGCAGAAATATCTGGAACAATATCGTTGAACGGTCGTGGTTGTATGCGCACACAAAAACGTCCCGTGTCTTCTCGAGATAAGATATCTTCCGGTCACGTGGTCTATTTACATTTCAAGCGCACTGCCGCCCAAAACTGTTCAAAAACGTACTCCATCATGTCGTCGAGGCAAGGCGGTAAGTTGAAACCATTAAAGGTTCGGTCTGCGTTACCTTGCGGATTGGTTCTCTATTGCTCAAAATGGTTCTAGGCACCAAAGAAAGATAAGAAGGACGAAGATGAGGAGGACAAGGCTTTTAAAGACAAAAAGAAGGCAGATGAAGCTGCAGTAAAGGCAGCGAGGGATAAAGGTGTGTGTGCGCCCTTAGATACTATCGTTAACAGGTATCGTAATCTGATCCTCGACGTCTAGCTCTGAAGGGTAAGTAGCAAGATCTGAATGCATTTTTGGATGAGATCTCACAGACAAATAGGTGGCGCTCCTGGAGGAGGTATCAAGAAGTGAGTCTCAGACCACCTTTGATGTGTTACACATCTCTCAATATTCTTTCTAGGTCTGGAAAGAAGTAGATACTGTCAATATTCAGATTGTTCTGGCGTAGCGTGTTTCATCTTTGAGCGCTTCCATTGAATGAACATTTACTTGATTGTCAGACGCTCTGTCTGTGAAGATCGTTACTACATTCAGACCGCTACTTATCTCCAGCGATGAAACAAGCAAGGTGGAATCAATGGAATGTTCTGACACAATAGCGCTTGGGAAACAACTTGAGCCGCGGGCGGTCAGCGTACCACGGAAGGCAGTGTGGCCGTAAGTCTTGACAGAACACATGGCAATGTGGCAGAAATGCTGTGCACCTATTGCCCGTGAAAAAAGACCGTTTGCGGGCTTTTGGCTGCATTTTCTGGGTGTACCAGTGCTGTGATGAGTTTTTCAGGATGTAGTCTAAGTGAGAAGACGTGCCAGAAGATCTAGATATAAAAGAAAGGTACAGATATGATATTGCAGTAGAAAACGAGGCAAAAAAAAGGACACGAAAGCGGAGGATTTGGGCATAAATTGGAGGATATTTGGCAGGGTCCGCGAGAACGGTCTTACTATAAGCTCTGTGTGTTTTAACGTCTTGTGCCCTCGCTGTTGTCGACGACGAGGACGGTGTCTGAGAGCGTAGCCATTGTTGAGACTGCATCGCGGCGTTGTTGTTTGTACCAAACAGGATGATGCTCGCGGCCTCGCGAATCACAAACCTGTCGTCCTCAAAGTCTCCGCCTCCACAACACCAAAACACGCAAATCCACCATCCTCAGACCATCCAAATCCCCATGCTGGGCGCTTTGCAAGGTCTCCAGCAAAACTCGCAGCAGCAGGCTCAGCAGCAGCAGCAGCAAAACCAGCAGCAACAACAACAGCAGGGCGGCCCTCAATCCAGTAATATTCCCCCGCCTCCACCACAGAATGGCCAGGACTTCACCCTCTCCAGCGTTTTGCACTTTCTTCAGACGGAATGGAGGCGATATGAGCGCGACCGCAACGAATGGGAGATCGAACGCGCTGAAATGAGGGTATTCTTCCTTTTTCTCGCTGCTACGTTGTCTTTCTCATACTCCACAACAGGCTCGTATTGCCCTTCTCGAGGGAGAACGTCGTTCCTTCGAAAATGTCAAGCTCGATCTCATGCGTCGTATCAAAATGCTTGAGTATGCTCTTCGGGTTGAGCGGTCTGTATCCTGTCTTCGTCCTCGCTTATCCTCGCTGACGCTATTGTTTCACCTTTCTCTTCAGCTCAAAGCAACTTGCTCAGCCGTCTTCCCAGTCTGTCCCACCCACAAAACTTGCTTCTTTGCAGTCGCAGGGCGACAAATCATCCCAAAAGGATGATGCTCAGAGTCACAAGGAAGGCAGTAGTGGCAGCTCTCCCAGGAGCGAAGGTGCACCTTTTTTTTTTTTTTGCTCCACATTCTTTTTTTTCTTACATACCTATCTACGCAGACTCTCCACTACCTCCCGAAGGCCGTATGCCCAATGGTGCTGCAACCACAGGCAGACCTTCATCGTGGGGTGGTACAAACTGGCCCAACATTCCTCCTGGTGGGACGGCAGCTCTTGGAAAACCACCTCCGGGTCGGGACCCAAAGAGTAGAGCACGGAGTAGGGACTATTTGAAGCAGTAAGTCCATCGCAAACCATCTTTTTTGCTCCATCCGTCTGATCGCACGACAGGTGTCTGCAGGAAATTTCGTATTTGACTTCGCCTCAAGCTATGAATCCTCTCCCAAACCGACCATTGATCAACAATCCTTCGATGCCATTGTCTCTTCCAAATCTTCCTCCTTTCGAGCAGATCTACAACGGTCGACCACGTAAAGTCATGCCAGAAGGCGGGAAAGAATTCCCTTTGCTCAACGGTATGAATAATATGTCAGGACCGTCGTCTGCTCCGGCAGGGACAGGGCCCCAGGGAAACCTCGAGCGAGGTAATCCTATGGGTTCTAACATGTTCCAGGGCCCACCATTACACCAGACCCAGGCCGGCCCGGCAACACATCAGATGTCTCAGCAGCAACCGCAATCTATGCAGCAACAACAACAGCAGCAACAGCAGTCCTCTAGTCAGCCCCAGCAAGCGCAAGCATCCAACCAGCAGCAATCTGAGAAGGAGCAAAAGGAAAATAGCGACTTTGAATCTCGTCAGTTGACTGCTATCTTCCGACCTGATGAAGCTGGCGATTGGAAAGAGAAGCTGCGTTCTCAGTACGAGCAGCAAGCGAAGATGCATAGATTGATAGATGATCGACCTGGACAGTATATCAGTGGTGCCGCATCTTGGGACAGACGTTCACGGGAAGATGAGGAGGATGTCAAGGAGGACGAAGGTGAGCTTGAGGAAGACGAGTCTACTGTCGTCGGTGATGGCGAGGATAGCAAGCTGTGGAAACCAAAACGGACACTCAGGAAGTCAGTCGCGTGATCCCTCTGGCGCGTTTTTTCTGTAACAGACGAGGCTGATATTACTTTCAGTCACTTGGATGCCGTGCGTGCTCTTGCATTTCACCCAACCGAACTGTGCCTCGCCACTGGCGGCGACGACTACACTGTGAAAATATGGCGAATGGATCTTGCCACTTTGGCTTCTTCTGCGTATGTTCCACTTTGCTGATCTTTGGTTGTGTTCTTAATCGTATTTCAGTACTCGCAATACGACAGAAGTCGAACCTCAGCTGACACTACGCGGTCACTCGGCGGCAATCACTCGACTCGTCCATTCTCCTTCGAAACAGTTGCTCTACTCTGCATCCCTAGACTCTTCCATTCGCATCTGGGCACTGCCATCATCCTCGCATACCACTTACGCTCCTTATGATGAGACAAGTGCTCGGGGTGAACTGATAGGGCACACGGATGCTGTTTGGGACCTCGCACTTGTCAGGGATGAGAGCACTCTTATTAGTTGCGGTGCTGAAGGTGCCGTGAAGATCTGGGATGTCAGCGGCCCCTCTGGAGGTGGCTCGTTGAGGTTGACGTGGGGGTACCATGGCTTGGACAGCGTAGAACACGTGGCGGAGGACGCTGATGCGCCCGGCGCTACCGCTGTAGAAGCGATCAAAGCTGATCTCAAGAAAGTGGCAGTTGCTTATCAAAATGCAGTGGTAAAGATTTTCGACATCGAAAGTGGCAAGGAGCTGTCTCGACTGCCAACTGATGGGACCTACAGTGAGTCCTTACTGTCACTTGACCGGCGCTTCTTTAACGGCCTCCTTTTCCCGGTATAGACGGTTCTCCGGCCACGCAGATCAATCGTATTGTCTCGCATCCGACCATGCCCATTATTGTTACAGCTCACGAGGATAATCTTATACGGATATCTGATATTACGACAGGTCCGTTTTACTTTTTGATGTTGGTACCTGACCATGTGCTCACTAAATTCCAGGGCAATGCACACACACAATGCCAGCGCATTTAGACGGTATTACTTCGCTCTCCATTGATGCGGCAGGTTTTTCCCTCGTCTCTGGAAGTCATGACTGCTCCATACGATTCTGGGACCTCTTGGGTTCTCGGACGTGCACGCAAGAACTCACGACACATCGTGAGAAGGCTCGTGAGGGTGTGCTCGATGTGGAGTTCCATCCATCGTTACCCTTCATGGCCAGTGCGGGAGCGGATGGCGTGGTCAAGCTCTATGCGTCGTCGTCGTAAAGGCATTTAATATTTTTTCCACTGTGCACACTGTTATTCCATAGACGATGGTACGTATACGAAGGATGGGAATGTTTTTGGTACATCTGGTTTTCTCCTGTACATTCTTTTGTCCATCTTTTTATATATTAATGACTTGTTACGACCTAGACTGACGTTTCAGCGTCGCTGAAATTGAAGTATAATCTCTGTTACGTGGATAATGAGAGTGGTCTACAAGTAAGGCTACAATGATTAAGTATACAGTGGGGGTATCAAGGGCTCTCGAAGAGAAAAAACCCTTCAATAAATGAAAAATAAGAAAATAAAACTGTCCACATGTGTTCAGATTTCTGGAAAGGATGAATTTTGGTTTTTGCCAGAGATGGAAGAGATGGACTAACCTATCAATGAACCCTGGTCTGCAGCCAGTATCTCTGCTCCAAGACCACTGGCGCTCACTAAAGCTCTGACTTGTCCAGCAATCACATGATTTATGGGCGGATCAGGAGAGCAACTAAAATCCTCCTTGCAGTGTATTATAAATACTCGAAGACCAGTGAGGGCACCGCGCAAGGCCTCTTGAGATAAAGGGTTCACTCTCTGTTTCTTTCGTGGACGAGATGTCAAACGCGTTTCTCGCTTGTGGACCTTACGTGCCAACACAATCTCTGTCGCCAGTGCCTTTAACTCTTGCACAAGGTGCTCAGGGCTGAGGTGACCATAAAGCAAGTCATCCGGCCGTCCGCTTGGCCAAGAGCATTCGATGAAGATGGCCGATAACCGTTGAGGGATTTTAGGAGCAGCTGCCTGCCACACAGCTATATTCTGTGGTTTGGATGCCACGCTATCTGGCTCGACGTCGCCGAAGAAGAGGAACTCGTGAGAGCTTGGGTCATGTCTGATAAAATAGGCAGCAGATTCATAATTTCCTAAAGTGTCGTTATGCCCATGGTTCACAGGCATGAGTCGTACAGAGATGTCAGGGGATATCTTTGCGTATTTGGCGTCGGCGTGAAGGCTGGAGGGTGGGTTGAGCGTCAGCGAGGGACGATGTGCTATCTACTCACATGTGATATAGGAGTTTGTAAGACTCGTCATTTTCATCCCAGGTAGCAAGATTAGGCCATAATCGATCAGAGAACACTAACTCGACGTCCTTGAGAGTCTGGGAGGCACCGTATATGCGCTTAGAGGGTCCAAGAAGAGAACCCGCTGACAAGACTAGGCTGTTGATGTGGTCCAGATGTGCATGTGTCAGAAGGAAGCACCTAAACATGAATTAATGACGGTGTATGCGTTTGACATATAGGTGGTGGTGAACGTACTGCACGAACGAGTAAATCATCGGTGCCGAGAGAATCTTCTCATGCCCGTCGCTGTCCTCCCGTCCGCCAAATAGCTCTGGATTCCGCTTCAAGATATGTGATAGAGCACCTTGGCCTGAGCCTTTCGGCAGGAAACAGATAATGTAAGCAAAAGGTAACAGTGAGTTGGATACCTGTACACACCTGCTTCCAAGGCTACGATACCATCTTCCCAAGCATTTTGGGAGGGCTTTAGGAGATACCTAAAAACGTTAAGTATATAAATACGGTGATATCATATAATTCGAAACCACATACGCAGATAAATTTGTTTCGTCAGGTCCTCCCCCCGAGCCCACAACTACGAGGTCAAAAGTGGGCATAACGCGGAGAGGAGGATGGATATGCTTCGGACGGAGGCTATCAGAATCGGAACGTGGCTTTATATCTTTATATGGCGGTACCGGTGCACCTCATCCGAAAAGACATTGCATTCCTCTTTTTATCCTTCAAAATGTTAGAAAGGCTTTATTCTGCGCACGAACCCTTGCTCATGTATCCACTGCACCCGTCTCGCCTTGTCTTTCTGCGTTGTTCTGACTCACGGGGACTCGGACAGCATAGCTTGTCCAATTTCACCCTGAATGGTCCTCAGGCCTGAGGGCTGTGGGTGATGCAGGGCGCAGAAAATGATGGGCATATTTAACACGGGCATTACCCACCTTGTTATTGATGAATAGGCAAAGTGGCCAGGAGGTAGCCAATTTCCACCAGTGCTGTACTGACTCGGACACATTGACATGATGCATGGGCTAGTAATAGGTTATTGTTGTGGCCTTGTAAACTGCATAGCACTCATTTGCTTTTCGAAGGCTTGTCATTGTGGAAGAGATAGCAGTGCAATGATACTGGAAAACGCGACAGTGGCCCTTACCGAATCTACGCATCCATACTTACGTGGTCTATGCGACACCAGACACAATTTTCAGGAATTGCATAAAGGTGCTGTGAATTCAACCAGGCGAGTCTGATGTACCCAGTCACAGGTTTACAGTAGATCGGAATTATAACTGCATAGAAGGACTTTCGTAATAGAGAATAGTAGAATGAGTGTGTACCAGGAGGCTCCGCCGTGTCCACGGTCAGTTAGGGAATCAGAGTGACAGTATCAAAAAGGAAGATTAAGAGATAGAGAACGACAAGAAAAGGTTACGATACCCGTACACCATTTAAGGCGCACCAAGCAAGCTATTCAGCGCTCTCTGCACGTCGTAGCCGTGTGCTTCGAGAGCGGCGACGGTTTGGTTTCGACTGAAGCCCATTGCGGAAAGTTGTTTCACGGGTTCAACATCATCTTCGACTGCGGGCGTCACAGTCCCCGTTGGCTCCTCTACGAGTGCGAGGTGCTGCATAGGGCGCTGTGCTGATGGAATAGGAGGGGCAGGGACAGGGGCAGGAACCGAGTCCTGTTTCTTTTTCTTCCCGAACGGAAGGCGAATCTGAATGATATCACCAGTTAATATAAACACTAAACAAGATATTTGCATCACTCACGCTAAGTTTCGAGTGTCGAGGGGGTGGAACTGGCTTTTCCTGGACGACTTCTTTGTTAGAGGAAGACGTTGAAGGTCGCTGCTTAGGGGAAGAGACGCGGGGAGGAGGCGACCCAGATCGAGGTATAGGCGAACTCGAGCGTATCGAAGTAACTCGTGGAGAAGTGGGGCCTCTAGGAGACGTCGGCGGCGACACGGTTGGGAATGGTTTGACTGGTTCAGAGGGCGCATGGGACGGTGCCGAGGTGAATATGTTAGAAGACCTGGATGAGAACGAGTTATCCAGCTTCAGCGACTGGGAAGCATCAAACCCCCCAAAGACCTCGTCAAATGAGATACCCCCTACATCAGACTGTACAGGTGCATTCTCAGCCGCGTTTTTCTCAGGTTGGGACGTAGCAGGAACCTGACTGTTCCACAAACCATTAGAGAAGGCATTATCAAAAGCGGGTAGGTTGGAATTTTGCGCAGGAGGTGCCGCTGATACTGCATTGCTTGTAGGTTGCGCAAAGGAAGGGGAAGTTTCCTTGCCAGGGACGATAGGTTTGAGGAAAGAAGCGGGAGCTCCATTTGTAGCCGAAGGTGGCGGCGGGAAGTTTGAAGTGGTAGCAGATGCAGATGCAAAGTCGAAGTTATCCTCGAACTGAGCCGTGAATGGGAAATTAGAAGCATCCTGACCGGATTCGTCACCAGAAGATATTTTGCCCATAGCTTCGTCAAAAGCGTTCAATCCGCTAGTGCTGGAAGCCAACGTGAAGTCGCTCGGCGCACTTGTCGGTACGTCGGAAGAGATCGAGGCGCCGTTGGCTGGCACTTCAAATGGGCTTGGCAATTTGTTCACTGGAGCACCAAATGCGTCTAATTCAGCAGCAGGGGCTGATGAACCATTATGGAATGGGGGAACGGCATCTGCGGTTGGAGCGGAGGTTGGCACAGCCGAGATACTTGGATCGCCAAAGGCGTCATCGAAGGAAATACCACTTGGCACACTCGAAAGAGATGAATCCACGATCGCTTCGCTAGCCTTCTGAGATTCCTCAGCTTTGATTACACCTAAAGGACGATTATCCTCATCTTCATCACTGTCGCTATCGCTATCGCTGTCTGTTTCATCAACATCAAGCTCTTGGATTGAAGGCCCAAGGTCAGTCTCTCCAGTCTGACGTTCCTCTCCAACATTCCCCGGAACATCACTCGTGATTTCGTCGATGGCTGGGAAGTGCACCGCAGCGCTATCAATAGAAGATATGTGGGATATATCTCCCTCGGGCTGGTGATTATCTGCGGTAGTAGGCGGCGTGGTAAAGAAATCGCTATCACTGGTAGGTGAGGCTACAACATCACTGTAAATTCCATGGGGTATCGAATCAGCCGGACGAGGAGTCGCAGCCTCAAAATCGACTGTATCGAGTTCTGACTTCCTCTCGGTCTCGTCTTCTGTGTCAAATGCTTCCGAAAAACCGAATGGATCATCCTGAGTTGGTTGAGAAACTGGCACAGCCGAGAGTCCAGGGGGCGTGGGCATCGTTGAGTTGGTGAAGGGAAGGAAAGGAGACTGCGCTTGGGGATTAGGAGTAGACGATCCTGAAGACATGGCCAATCTGTCGAACGGGTTGTTGCTTCGCCCCGAGGCGGGGCTCATTGGGCCAGTGACATCGGGTGTAACAGGTAGAGGCTGAGCAGCGGCAAAACGCAAAGAGTCGACTGGAGACTTGGCTCTCTCAGGGACGATGGACGGTATTGAAGCCATCCTCTGCAGCCCAATTTCTGATTCCTCCCTTTCTTTCGTAGTGGTCGTCAAATCGTCTCGTGCGTCCTGAAGTTCTTTCTCCACTTTAAGCCTCTCCGCTTCCTTGGTGGCAAGCTGTTTCTTGGCAATCGCCAACAAGCCCTTTTGCTGCTTGGCGTCTTTTTTCGCTTTCTCTATTTCAGCCTTGAGGCCTTCGATCTGCGTCCCTGCTTCAATCATAGAGCGGTTCAAGTCCCGTACTTCTTCCTTGTCACGAAGGACAGATCCTTCGATTTCCGATTTCTCTTCGCGTATGGCACTGAGATCACTCTCAGCTCGAATGAGCTCCTCCCGTACCCTCTGCATGTCTGCAGTTTGAGTGTTGAACCGCTCACGAAGAGAACCCAATAATGTAGTTTCAGTATCATACGCTGCTTTAGCTGATGCAAGCTGAGTTTGTAGAGCGGAAAGTTGTGCAGCTTGATTAGCAAGTGTGCTTTCCAAGGTTTCGCGCTCAGCTTTAGCTGTTTGCAGTGAGCGGTTGGTCGAACTGAACTGGTTTTGGACGTTGCCAATTTCGGCCGATTTGTCATGCAGCTGTGTTGTTGTACTGGTGTCCTCATCATCTCCAAGCAGATCCTTATGCAAAGCTGTGAATGACTCTTTCGTAAGTACGCTAACAGAATATATGTTACATTAAACTCACAAGAAGTGTTTGTTACTGGTACCTCAAATGGATCCAGAGATCGAGTCGGTTGTGGGTGTCGAGGTGAAGTCGGCATGGTATTGAAAGGAGCGTGGTTTCCTGATAGCTGGGACTGTAAGTCGTTTTGTGAAGTTGTATTTACAGCAGATGTCGGAGGTGAGTCGTCCCATAACAGGTCTCTCAGTGGTTCCTGAGGCTTTGGGGGAGCAGCAAATGGTGTACCGTTTAAACGCATAGACGGGGGCACTAGCGTCGGAGGAAGTACGTTGGGGACTTCTTTTCCTGCAAGCTTCCCTTGAATAAGATGCATGGCTACTGCAAAACCATCACGAGTGAGACGGCCATCGTTGTTGATATCCGCGAGGTCCCTGAATTTGACATTGCACAATAAAGATGAGCCCGAAAGGAGACTTTAGGTTTTACCCCGAAACTTACCAGACTTGTGCTAAAATGTCTTCAGGCAGCTTCGACTGGAGCATGAAAGGAACAGCAACGTCGCCTTCAATGTATCCTCTTTTCGTAGTGTCCAAAGTGTCAAAGAACCTATCTGAGCTAGCTTTCTCAGATGGCGTAACGTCCCACTGGACAGCGCTCTGAGTTTGGACCGACGGGAAGGCTGGTATAGTAGGACCAGGACCATGCCCAACGGGTCGTCTCGCTGGAACAGTAGGAGCAAACCCTGAAAGGTTTGCTTGGCCGGTAGATTGTGCCTGCAGCGGTTGGATCTGACCTGTAGCATGCCTTGAAACATGCGAAAACGCGCTGGAAACAGGGCTATGGAAGGATCCACTGCCACCTGTTGCATGAGATGCCACACCATTCGAAGCCCTTCCACCAGCTTGTTCATACAGTCCAGGTGGAAGCGAGCTTGGGACAAAAGATAGCTGGCCTGACATAGAAGCTTGAATTAGGTACATTGCAATAGTGAAGTCGGTGACATCAAGCGAGCCACGATCCTGAGTATCAGCGAGGCCCCTGTAAAGAAAAGATGTAAACGAATCGAAGTATCAAAACGCGGGGATGATCACGAACCATATTTGGGACAACTTGTCCACATGTAAGTTGGATTTGACGAACACGTCGCGGGCTTTGTCGCCTGTGTGCATGAGTAAATGGATCAGAATAACTCAGTATTGGGCTGCGTTGGTATCGCACCACTCAAAAGGCCATTGACCGGGCCAGAACTTTGGAATATTCTGTTAAATTTGGCTTTATCTTGTGGGGTCAATATTGGAAGACCAGGCGGAGGAGATTTAGGCGAAGACATCCCAGTGCTCTGTGGAGCTAACGACGTCTGAATTCCTTGAATGGTAGCCAGTGGGCCAGCTAATGGATGATGACGTTGAACACAGCGTATGACGGTCAAAAAGATTCATCTCACGTTTAGTGATGAGTGCTTTGGAAACTTTTTCGCCTTTCTGCGCCCATCCTATGAGACGAGCAGCGACGGCTACGCCCTTCTTCGTCAAAAAGCCGTTGTTTTCATCGTCCGCTATGCCCCATATTTCCCCGAGCACGGTTGGAGGTAGCTTTGCGCCATCGAACACCTTTACGGCGACATCGCCAGTGAGAATACCTACTTTCTGGGTATCGAACTGGGTGAATATCTGATTAACGAGCGCGAGCTCTGCGGGTGAAGGCGCAAAGGTGCTCGACATTGTGTTGTACGGTGAAGGGGATCTACTCTGAGCTGCGTAACCTGTTCTGTGGTCTACCCACGCCTGACTGCCGACCCGGCCGGCCACGGCGCACGGCATCTCCCTGCCGCCGACTTCCCAAAGCAACCTCCGACGAATAAAAGCTGTTTTTTGTGCAAAGTATGGGGTAGAGCTTGGGGTAAAAGTAATTATTTGGACCGATAAGTGCGACGGTATCATGCTACCAATGAAATAATATTTTATCAATAATTGACTTATCCAAAGAAAGAACACCAGTGCACGTGACCAGCGCGTCTCCATTTTTCGACGGTTCAGTTCTTTTTACAGTGTCACAGTAAATTACACACAAACACCTGTTTCCCTTGTGTGCCATCATCTTGTACTTCATTTGTCCAGCATCTTTCTACACCCATGGAACAAGTTACCTCTTCTCTCGCTCCTCCTAGAGCTTCCACAAAGCCTGCAACTTCAGGTCCATCCAGCGAGGGTGCTGGCAGTGTAACAAAACGGTCAGCTCAAGTTCCTCGAGATTCACTATCCCGCTGACTCTCTATTGTAAATAGTCTCAGCAACGAACTCATGACTTTGATGGTACGGACATCTGCTCGCCGATATTTTTGCTATGCTCATTTATTGTACAGATGTCCTCTTCTCCTGGCATTGTGAGTGGGTTTTATTTGATCGCAAGCTTTGTCTCATCACAATCGTTTAGTCCGCATTTCCAAAAAGCGATGCTAATCTATTCGAATGGATCGGGACGATAGAGGGCCCTGCTGGAACTGTCAGTTGAACCCACCTTTTTATATAAAAGAAAATTGTTCTACAGTATTTAATTAACATCCTACAAGATCTACGCTGGGCTGGCATTCCGAATCGCTATATCGTTTCCACCAAATTACCCCTACGTAGCGCCTTCCATCAAATTTGATACCCCCTGTTATCATCCAAACGTCGACATCACGAGTGGCGCAATTTGTCTAGATATATTACAGGTGTGCATTATTTTTACTAGCTTATTTTCCATACTTATCTTATTTTCTATCAGGATAAATGGTCAGCTGTTTACAGTGTACAGACGATTCTGATATCTCTGCAGTCATTGCTTGGAGGTCAGTAAATAGCTTTGATCTCATAGCTTGAATCTTCATCGGCGTCATCCAGAACCGAACAATCAGTCACCGCTCAATGCTGATGCAGCAGGTTTATGGAAGTCTCCAGATGGTATGAACTACTTATTGCAGTGTTGTCAGCAAATCACTGATGGCCTGGCATATTTTCTCAGCCTTTAAAGATCAGCTGATGAAGCATTACCGCCCGTTGAACGACGACTCAGCATAGCATTTTTTTGTATTGATAGCATGGTGTTTTACCCGGTTATAATTAGGTTGTCGTTCTTGAAGTTTCGCAATGTTCTCGCAATTTTTTTTTCGATTATCGTGAATCATACTGGTACCTCAGGTTGTTGCCTTTTACACAGAATCAAAAAAAAAAAGATGAAATACATTCAGCGCAAATTTTTACTGCATTGTTTTCATTAACCATTGTGCGTTCATTATGAGAGAAAAAAAGTGTTGGGCGCCGGAGTGATGATTTTTCATATTTTCACATGACTTAACAGGATAGTGTCAAAAGATTACTACCTTCGCAACGATCGGGGCTGAATGCGACGAGCGTCGTTTCTTGCTACCACCATTGTCTTTATATACTTTGTGCAAACCCTTGCATCAACTCAGGCAGCTGTGCTCCCCTCTCCTTTGTTTTCTGCTGCGTTCCTTTTCTTCTAAGCGTACAGACTTGTTGTGTCTGTATCGCCGGTTATATCTTCAAAAGACTTTGCTCGTGCCTTTATCAAAACACCGGTTGCTTTGCTTATCACTTGCATTTATAATCTGGTGCGTTGCGTCAAGTTCTGTTCAAGCACCTCGATAACCTTTTTATTCTTTCTTCGCCTATAGTTCGCGGGATAAAGCAGAAAAACCTTCCACTCCTTCCAGCCCGCAATCACCTTATAACTATCATCGAAATGCCTCGTCGCTCCCCTCCCACTGCTCTTCGCCTCGTCCAGGGCCCTCTCCCACCTCGCAGTCAGCCCAGACACACCCTTCCTTCCGTTCCGCGCCCAGTCTTTCAACCTGTAGCGTATCTTCCCCGTGGTCCTTCGCCCACACCGCGTCCTCGCATACCTGGTGAAAGCGCTGCGACATACTCGCAGCTGCCACCTCTTGATATCAACTTCTCAAGTGCTCCAAGTAGCAATAGTTCGAGTCCCGTGTTGGGCTCATCGCCAGCTTCTGGGTCTAGAGTCCGAGGCCCCTGGGACCATCACAGAAGCATAGAGTTGCGCGTCGATATCGACAGTATTCTAAAGATGCCTATGCCGGTAGTGGTCGGTGCTTGAGTAGGAAGGGTAGACGTTTATACCATGGGGCTGGTTCTCCATTGTCCTTGTTTTCAAATGGGTAGGGTTCATTCGAGATTTTGGCGATAGTGCCATGTAATTCTTCGTTGGCAACGGGACATTATCAAGTCCCTCTAGGTCCGGGCACCTTCTGTAAATACCATACATTTGCTTTGTGCTCTTATTTTCAACGCTCACTACTTGATACACAGGTATGAACATTGTATTAGTTTGCGAAATGCAAATTTATGGCTATTTACGTTGCTTTATTCCAAGCGCTGGCGGCCGTGATTGAGAAGAATGCCTTGGGACAGTCCGCTCAGAGAGCGCTATCGACCGAGAAAGTGCTTATCGAAAAGGGAATGATTATCAGCGGCGCGCAAAGCGGGCCCGGTCCTCGTCCAAAAGCCGTGTGGGATCAGCACTAGAGTTGCGTTATGTCCGTACGACCGAGTGCTTTGATTCGATGTCGAGTCTCAACTGCTGCTGCCATTGCAGAATACGGGCAGCAACGAGTACGGAACCGCCGTGATTCAATCCGCTCGGTACCTGAGCTCGAAAAATTGCGGCAGTGAATAAGCAATGTGAGAGAAAGATTGAGGAACGTGGTGGTTTATCACTACAGCCCTGGTAACGATACAGGCAGATCACAGCAATGCGAACAATGGATTTGGGTTTGCCTGAGACTGGTTGAATGATGGGATAGGAATGATGAGACAATGGACCAGCGACAGGGGGAATGAATGATCGCCGTATTTAAGAAAATAAATAGTTAGCCAAGTGGTTAGCTGTGGCGTGGAACAGCATGCAGGCCAGCAAATTTGCCACCCTGTGTCCTATTTGGGAGGTCATCAACGGTCTTCTTCTTATACGCTTCAAGGTTTCTCTTTGCCCTGTCTTTTTTTCCAGTCCTTTTACGAGTGGTTTTTAAGGCTAAATCCAAGGTCAATAGTTCTTAAGATCCATCATGACAAGCTCCCCTACTCCCGATATCTCTTCTCTGTCGCTTTCCTCTCAGCCATCTCAGCAACGTCTTCACGATACTTACGATTATGAAGGCAATGGCAGCGGCAACGGCAGGTCCCAGTATCACTTCCAAACGTCTCCCCCTCTCTCCAGTCAGTCCCAGTACAACCCTCTTGGCATGACTCCCTCGCCTCTCAAGAACAAGCCTCTTCGCGGTGGCCTTCCCACCGTACGTGTTGTCCATTTTTCTCCTCTTTTTTCCACGAGATCTCACGTTTATTCCCTCTCAATAGCAATGGCTCGACAATACTAACACAATCCTCGAAAATCGGTCGCTTTCGCCGAACAATACTTCTGATTTTTCTTCTGCTGGTGGTTCCCCCCCTATGGCTCATCTCAATGCACCTCCTATCGCGCCTTCCACGCCTAGTCAAAACGCCGATGATGAGATAATACCCACCGCCATAGTTATCAAGAACATTCCTTTCAATGTTAAGCGTGAAACACTCCTTGATATAATTGTACGTCCAGCTCTTCACTCAGTCTTTCGATGAATACTCATTGCCACCCTGTTTAGGCCTCTTTGTCCATCCCTACACCTTACGCATTCAATTATCATCTCGATCAACAAGGCTCCTTCCGTGGGTTGGCCTTCGCCAATTTCCGCCAGTCTATCGACGCAGACGCAGTCGTAGCTGCCTTGAATGGCTTCGACGTTCAGGGCCGTAAACTGCGCGTTGAATACAAAAAGGTACTGCAAGCTGGTGAAAAGGAGCGTATCGAAAGAGAAAAGGCTATTCGTCGGATGCGCTCCATGCAGCTTGAAAAAGAACAGCAGGCGGCAACTCAAGGGCAATATGACGACTTCGGGCCTGTGATTACACCTAACTTCACCCCTCAACGCTCCTTCTCCACGTCTTCATATCATCAACAGCAGTATTCTCCTCCGCCGGTCCCTCCTCTTCCCTCCTCTCAGCCATATAATCCAGTCTCATCTCCTCCGGTTGCTCCTCCTACACCGAACCCTTCGGACAAAGCGACTGCTTCAGCGGAACTGGACTTGAATGATCCGTCTACTTTGGAGATCTATTCTCGTGTTTTGCTGTTCAGGGATGATCGCATGCGAGATGAACTCGCTTTTTCAAGGACACTCACTCCCAAGCAAAGGAGGACTGTCCACTTAATTGCCCAAAAGTTGGGCGTGTATCACTACTCTGTTGGAGAAGGTGAAGATAGGTACGCAGTTGTTACTCGCATCGACCCGAATAGGGTAAGTGGTACACATTTTGTATGTGGAAGTAAATCTCAGGTCTGCTTCTAGACTCAACGAGCTCAACCCGCGACGCTTTCCCGTGCTCCCTCTGCCTACTTGTCACCGCCAGGATCACAGTCACAGCTTGCTACTTCTCTCCGCATGAAGAAATCCATGCCCGACATGAAAACACTCCACACTCAGGCGCCGCGCCTTGCTACACGCGCCTCTAACGGGAACATCCGTGAAGGATACGCCACCATTGCCTCTCCTTCTCGCCGTTCTCCGGGTGGGTTTGGTTCCTTGTTTGGCAACGGTGGGTTCGGTGGTGGGGCTATACCGCCTGTTCCCAGTCTGCCGTCCAGTGTAACCGGATCCATGAACGGTAGCTTAAATGATGGGCCTGGCAGCGGCGTTGTTCGGCAGCCTCGAGGCCCTGGAGTAGGCGGCTTCGGGACCAGGAGACTTGCCACTACCGACAATCAGGGCAGAGGTAACGGTTTGGAAGCTCGGTCCCACGAGCCTTTGGAAATATAGATAAATGATATCGGAGTATGTAAGGGCACCCAACCAAGACAAGTTTATGGACGGTTTTGCGGATTGAACAGTGGTTTCTGTTCAGCTCTTACAATTTAACACTGTCGGGGTTTTTTCTACCTTTCTTTTGTTTGCCTCTGGTTGCTTAAACTTAAATTCTTGTATACCGCGAAGCCACTTTTCTGATCCGTTGTTCACCTTTCCCATCAACTTTTCTGACCCTTTGTCTCAGTTCTGCTGTGCAAGAAAATCGCTCTCTATCAATCATTGTGTTTTCTCCCCGGATTCTCCTCGTTTCAGTTTTATATCATAACCTCTGATTTTGATTCAGATAAATCTATGCATTTCTTCAGTCACATTAGCGTTTACTACCTTCATAATCGTAGCTGCGCCTGGCGCCAATCCCCGGCTCTGGGGTAAACACAAACAAATCTTAAGGCAATGCTAAAACTTTGTGCATGAAAACTGTTGTGCCAACTTCATATACAGGTTTGTTTACTGACACTGATAGAAGACAACATGATGTTACCAAAAAAACACCCATTTTCCTTAGGCTAGTACAAAGTTTCACACCATTATTATGAACTATAATCTGACATCTCCCAATCAAGGTCTAGGTCTTCTTAGTGGGCAATTTGTCTTCAGGAAACATTTTATAACCAGAATTTTTGTGTGCAACACTACTGCATTGTTGTGCATACAGTATTAAGACCAGGACAGATCACAGTTTAAAGTGATGGTGAAATCAATGTATTTTTGGTCAAGTTGCATACTGTATTTGTCACAGTAAAAGTTTGTCACATCATGGAGCTCTTTATTTACTAATTACTAATTGGCATTATTTTGTTTTTCCGGCAAACTGTGTGCACATCAGAATGCAGACAGGTGTCCAAATTGATGCAACAGATAACCCTTCCTCCATACTGTTGTTTATTTTACTGTCAGTTTGGATGGGGGGGATATTTGGACATTTCTGAAAACATACATTCCACTGTCATTTTTCCTCAACAACTTAACCCATAGCAGTTTTATGTATTCTTACCACTTACTCCAACTTTCCTAGCACAAAATCCTGAATTATTGAGTGAGCTCCTTCCATGTGTGTGATTTTTGAGAAAGTAACACTCTACTAAGGTACTGCAATCTCAATTTCAGAAAGTTCAGGTGCACCACACTCAAAATCATGTTCAACAACTGATAGTGCCTGTTACAATAACACATTTTCGGACTTTCCCTTTACTTTTATTCTCCGCCTTAACCTTGTACTTTAGCCTTTACACAGGGTGCCATGTGGCATTTCCCTTTCTCGCGCCGCGTTGCCTTTCTTCTTATTTTTAGACACAACTCTCTCACACAGTGGAGCTGGCCATGCGGTGTCGATGATGAGAACTGTTGTTAGAAAACCACACACAAAAACAAACTAACACACAATCCTCCCAGATTCCACGGAACTTGTTTATGGGCTTTGCCTCCTAGAACAGTGGAGTGGTCTGGTTGTTCGTGGGGTGGTACATATAAAGATCCTTCAAAGTAAAACCCAGAGGTGTATGAGTGTGGGTTTTGAGGAGGAGGGATAGTTGAATTTATAGAAGGATAGGGGCTTTGTGATGAGTATAGACGAGCACTACCTTGCTAATCGTAGCACAAGGTAGGTTTGAGAACGACAATATGACGAGGTTCCCAGTGATAGCAGGCTCCTGACGCACAAACTGTAGTGCTCAGAAGGACTCTAATCGAAAGGGATGACAATGACTTCAAAAGTGGGAAGTGTTGTGACCACACTGGATCACAAGTAACAGAGTAGTGAACTTGAGAGTAGAGAAGAAGTCTGGATTGGAGTTCTTGTTTTTTTTTTACAAGGTAAAATACAGGGGTTTATATAGTAAAAGAAAAGTAGGCTATGCACAGTATAGCTGTGCAAAAAGAATGAGAAAGAACATGAAGGAAGGAATGTATACTGACGAATCCTGCGTAGGTAGTACAGGATAAGATTGTCAAAAAAAGGAAAAGAAAGAGATAGAACAATGAATGCTGTGAGTAATGTCACAGGTTTGTACAGCCATAAAGTAAAGTCCAATAGCAAAAAGAGAGCAGGAAAATCAGGATGTCATGGGAAGATGCAGTAAAAAAAAGGGCAAGGCAAAACACTATCAGTATCAACACAGTTCCTTTATTGTCAGTCAGGCATTCTAAAAAAATATGTGTCCATAAAAATGATTCAAAAATCAAAAATAATCGCACTGTAAATGAATGTTCTGCTGAAAAAAAAGAAACTGGAGCCACCGGTCCACCACCTAGTCCAAATCCGACAGTTCCATGGCCTTACCAATGGACTGGTTGTGTTGGACCACCTGATCAAACGAGGGAGGGAGAGGAGTAGTCCAATTTGGAACAAGTGAGTCCCAGGCAGCGTGTGGTAGGTGTAGTTGTAGCGAAGACGATGGACAAAAGATAAGTGTACCCAAGTGAATGGGACAGCGATTAACATGGGCGACGCAAGGGGATGAACCTTCTCCAGCTCAAAAATTACCCACCCACGCTCCAACTAGGCAAGACGAGCGACCGATGTTTTGATGGTATATGATGGCAGATCGACGTCATGAAGATGGACCTGTTGCCCTATTTGGACCGGCCGCCGGGGCTTTGCTGATATCAGCAGTGGCACGTGGTAGTCAACGGATTGGCGACGGAAGCGGATAGGAAGTGGTGACATCAGAAATGGTGGGGGTGCAAATAAGATGAGGAGGAGGAGGGTGGAGGTGACAAACAAGTGGATTAGAATGGGGATCCAGAAACGACTGTCAGGTGAGAATAAAAAGGAGAGGAAGGGGCCCATGGTGGGGCTAGGCAAAGGAAGGGGAGTAAGGGAAACGACAAAAGCGAGGGCGCAATGCAATGTGTAGCCAGTGGCAACGCAAAAATTTGCCGAAATGCCGAAATGCGGAAAGTACCGGATGGAAAAGCAAAGGTGAGCGTGACTGGATTGCCTAATAGAGGTGGTGCTGATCAGCCACAAGTTCAAAAAGGGCAATATTAATTACTATTCCACATGGCACTGTGCCTGTGTGGCGCAAAGGCGAGTCTTTTTGAATATTCGCTTCATTATTGACACCTGTCCATGCTACCAATCAACTTTGGTGCATGACAGCGGGCTAGGCCCCATGACATCATCAGCCACTGTCTCTATCAACTGTATAGTACACATGTACAAACAAAACCTGTAGTAGTATATATACCCCAATAGATCCAGGAGACTCCTCAGCGAGTCCTCCTGTTGTATACCAACTAACTCTCTGCATTCTAAGGGGTAACCACTCCCTCATCATCTTTCTCTATAGTGTGTTCCAATTTACACATAACTAAATCTCCCAACACCTATCTAGATGTCATACCTGACGTACTCAACAATGCATGATCATATAACGCAAAATTGTAATCCTTGGGCAACGTATATGAAGGTAAATAAGGGTTTTGTAACAGTAACAATGAGAACGAAGACAACACCACTTAATGAAGCTCACAAACACCAAATGTCTGTGCACAAACAGCGCAAGTACCTTGACTAAGTGACCTTACACTCATACAATCTTGCCATTCCTCTACTAATGCCTTCTTCTCAGACATAGTACGCTTCACAGGAAATTTAACAGGCAATTTGACAGGTGATTCCATGCTAACCGAAACCGCTGGAGGTTCAGTGTTCCTTCTTGCTGTCTGTCTCTCACACCTGTGATGAAGCGTGTTTCTGACATCCGCTACATCATCAAAAGGAGGAGGCAAAATGCTCTTGCCAGATAAAATTCTCTGATGACGAACATGCTTAAACAAGTATAATAAACATGAGCAATAATGGTTACACACATGTGTATGCAGGCAATCACAAATCCATAGCTTCTTATAACACAATCCAATAGCAATACCATGAGCCTCTGCAATTGAACGTAAATTAGCAATAGAAAAGAACTCAAAATCTTCAACAAGAGCGCACAAAGACGCAGTACTAACTACAAGATAATTCCCTTGTGGATACATGCGTCTCAAATCAATTATTTTCTTGTACATAGAATAGAAGTCAAATCTCTTGCGCAAACATTCACTAGACATAAAAGAAGTACCATCCCCTGCCGTGAGTTCATTAGAAGACACATAAGGAACAGATTCTTATCACAAATAGCAAATCACAACAACGAAGAGTTAAACATTAAATCAGTCACGCAAAGACAAAAAAGAGAACCATGCACCAGCATTATTCACAGTCAGAATATTAGGGGCCAGGCAAAACCCATCTTCGACAGATACTGTTCGCAAAGAATCAGCTGCCACTTCAACACACATTTCTATTGGTGCTCATATAATTCTCGCATGCCCACTTGAAAAGACGCCGCCGACGAGGAAGACACAGCGCAACGGGAAATCATGATGACAGTTGGTAGAGAAATGGCTACGAAGCAGACGACCCGAGAGCGATGTACAATTATGCTAACATTCTCATGCCACAACCGGACCGACCTCCGTCAAATTTCTTGAGGGCAGGATTTATTTTGCCATACCTGTCCCATTCTGGGCCAAGAATTTATTATAGACAACCCCACATATATTTTTGTTGTCTACATCAACACCATGAGTTCTCAGACCCCCAAGCCATCCATTCCTTCCAGCTGGACATTGCTGTTTACAGAACTTGCAGCACAGTGTGCTATTTCACTTCCAGCAAGCATTAATTTGCATGCACACTAAAGGGCCTGACCTCCTCCAGCCACAGCCAGGATCCCAGTGGGATTGGAATACAAGAGTCCTCAAGGGCAGGTTTTCTAACACTATGGATAAAGTTTCCAAATACTTAAACAAATACAAATGCAAGTCAGAAAAAATATGGCTTTGACACAAGCTCATTATAATTGCAGTCTTTTGATCAGACATTATGAGTTTGGGCAGCATCAAAGTCTCGCACATGCTCATAAACAAATCAAATATATATATGATGAACAGATGTTACATATACAGTTAAAGAGGTGCCCCAAAATAATATTATACAGAAGCCATCACAATACAGCTACATCATAAAATCAGTGATGTCACCAGATATAAAAAACGACATAACTTATCAATGCACAACTGATGGTCCTTGCATCAACAAAATCTTTGGAATTAAAGGTGATTCACTATTTAATGATGTTGGACACAATAGCGCTGAGTGTGTTAGCTGTGGTGTGTTTAAGGAGACAGACTAATCACATTAATACAGAAGTAACAAGATTTACATCCCCAGCTCTCATTTCAAATCCACTCACTGGCGTTGTTCATGATAGTTGAAGGATGAGAATATTACCGCAAAAAGTGAAATCAATACTGTGCTCGTTTCCAAGCAAGTGAAGCAGATCATTTTTGACAATGATTGGCCTAAGTGACGAGACAGCAACAAAC